CATCCGCGCTCGAGCAGACGGGTTGGGGTTTTTAGCAGCAATTTAGATTTGTAATATCCTCCAGCCTGCTTCACGTCCCCTGCCTCGCCCGCCCTAGCAGGCGGGCCTTCAGTCACTCTGCCCCCATCCTCCAGAACTCACTCCCACAGTCCCTCCACCTCGCCCCCTCCCTTGCTTCCTTCAAGACCCATCTCAAGACCTTCCTCTTCAACCATGACTTCGATCACCCTCCTTTCCCCCATGCCCTGCACGCTCCTTGATCCCCACCCCAGGTCTGAAACACTGACTAACCAGCACTTTGGGACATCCTTCCAACGCGAAAGGTGCTATACAAATGTAATTTTGTTGTTGTTGTTTGTGGGACATGTGCAAAATTGACTGCCTTGTTCGCCCACCAAATACACAGTAACTACATTGGGAATCCTGTGAAGCACTTTAAAACATCTTGACAGTGTGTTAAGGCTATGTATCAATTGAAAGAATTATTATTATAATTTCTATGAGAGTAATCTTGTACTATCTGCCTTCTCAAAACCTTTCAGAATTTTGAATACCTATATTGGATCCACCCCCCTTAATCTTCTCTGTTCCAAATGAAAACTCGTCTTAACTTTTCACAACGATGTAACTCCTCATCTCTGGAATTAGTCGGGTGAACCTACCCTCATGCATTTCATGGGAAACCCAGTTCCAATACTGCAAATGTAGCCTAACCAAAAAGTTGTGAAGCTACCCTATTATCTAAAAAAAATCATAATTTCTTTATAAGACTTATTAGACTTTGTAGTGGTATCACGACTTTTGGGGCACCCTGCACAAGGTTAACTTTACTTTTCTGGTTTGGCTTTAGTTATTTTGGTTAATTTGGATTTCAGAAGTCTCCTCTGACTGTAATGTTCAGTGCACATATAGTGATAAATCCTGTGATGCATTGACACTGGTGATTAATGTTTTGAGCTCATGATATTTAACAAAGAGACTGGTACCCAATGGGCTGAAAGTGACTCCCCCACAAGACATCCTTCTTAACGGCCGCAAAATACTCACAGCCAAATCAACTTTACAGTGGATCATGTGAAGCGCTTTGCACTCGACTTGATGACATAAGGCATGATATCAAATACAAGGATTATTATTATTATTACCTGACAAGACTGTCTTGCCACACAGCGAAATAGCAGCTTAGCACAAAAAAATCCAATGCAAGCCAAGTGTGTGATTTCTCACTGGGAACGACACTGGGAATCTGCCTCTCACACACCCAAACCATTCAATGTGCTAAATATTACAAGGTCTTTAATTTGATCACCAGCGTTAATTAACACAGTGCAACAAAGGCCAATTTATCCCCACTGAGTTTGTACAATAGTCTGAATATGTTATCATTATACTTCACTTTTACGGACACTTTGAGCAACTATATCAATTTGCAAAACTTACTTTCTTTTATGTAGATGAACGAGGCATTTTAGAAATCCACAATACAACAATGAGTGATTTATAATGACACAAACAGATGCTTTTAGACATCAGAAGCAGCTGTTGAAGTATGTATGTGACAGGTGGCACCACATCACAATACAGCAATCATATGATGTTAATATCAGTGATGAAAGATTTCTCTGAAGAACTCAAGCAGCAGGATGTAGTTTTAGTATATTAACAATCCTTACAAACCTCATGCCTTTCAAGTGAGGAGGATATCTCCAAGAACTTCACAGGACACACTGTAAAGTGTAGTGATTATATTTAGTAGGCAATCCTGCACCTAATTTGAACACAGCAAAGTCCCACAAACAGCCATGGCCACGAGAATGATCCAAACATTCAGCGTCAATCAAATCTTTCAAATGAAGTGTTAAATCCTCTTCTCCCCTTCCCATCTTCGACACAGATATCTGTTCACGGTCCGCTGAGTGATTAATCAATTCAATTCTCTTTTAAGTGCTCCAACTCTCACTACTTTCTACAACTAGTGACCGTCTCTTTTATTGGTCAATAAATTGATAGGTGAAGGACTTAACTTTAGCTCCTGCCTTCTTGAGCTTTATTGATGTTCTCTGACTCACATATCCTGGCTTTCACTTTCACACCACTGTACAGACAATTAACAACAACAACAACAAGATTCCATTTATAGAGCGCCTTTCACGTCAGGAGGACGTCCCAAGGCGCTGCACAGTTGGGTCATGATCCGAGCAGGGGGGAAATGGTCAGGGTGAGGGGAGGGAAGGGAGGGAGAGAGGAGGGGGAAATGGTGAGGGTGAGGGGAGGGAAGGGAAGGAGCGAGGAGGAGGAAGAGAGTCGAGAGGGGAGCTGAAGGCACGGTCAAAGAGAAAGGTTTTGAGACCGGCCTTGAAGGAGGAAAGGGAGGAAGGAAGGCAAAGGCACTGGGGGATGGAGTTCCAGAGCCTGGGGGCTGAGAGGCTGAAGGCCCGACCACCGATAGTAGGGCGATTGGGGCGGGGGACGTGGAGCAGACCGGAGCCAGAGGAACGGAGGGTACGGGCGGGTAGGTAGGGGATAGTAGGTTGGAGAGGTAGGAGGAGCAAGGCGTGAATGGCCTTGTAGGTGAGGGTGAGGATCTTGTATTCGATCCTCTGGGGGATGGGGAGCCAGTGGAGGCGAGCGAGGGTGGGAGTGATGTGGTCCCGAAGCCTGGTGCGGGACAGTACACGAGCTGCAGAGTTCTGAATGACCTGCAGCTTGTGGAGGGAGGTGGCGGGAAGGCCGGCGAGGAGAGAGTTCCCATAGTCCAGCCTTGAGGTGACAAAGGCGTGAACCAGGGTTTCAGCGGCGTGAGGGGTGAGGTAGTGCCGTAATCTGGCGATATTCCGGAGGCGATCTAGTAGAATACAGCTTATCAACACATTGGATAGCCAATATGCCCGCTGCAGTTGTGCAAGTAAAGCCGTCCCAAAATGCTGGTGAATTTTTTTAAGCTGTGCAGATGTACACACGCATCGACTGAGCGAATTTTTCTTCGGGTTTGAACCAGCAACATGAAGCAAATGTGCTCATCCAGCAATTTGTTACAGTGTAAGGTTAGAGAGCGAGAGAGAGAGAAGGAAAGGCAAAGAGAAAAAAGAGAAAAGGGCTGGCAAGATAAAATCGCACACAGTGTTCCTAACCTCAAGTACTGAAGAGTAGCTATGGCCACTGACATTGGTCAAGTAGCTCAGCCAAATCGCTCTTCAAATATAAACTACTTTACAAAATTATAGCCTGCAAATTTGGATAAATGCTGAGGAAAGCCGAGATGGCAATACTCTGCTTATCAAGTCACCAGAGACTAACCGAAGGAAGCGGACCCGGAATTAGGTTACATACCAGTGTGAGAAGGGAGAGGGTCAAAAGGTGAATACAATGTTAAGAAAAAAAGTGATAGAATACCGACTCACTGCCCAATGAAGCAGAAACCAAAGTATTTAAAAGTTTCCAACATGAGGGAGAAGGGAATAAATAGGGGTACGGGAGAGCGGATTACGAGGGGTGAAGACTCATGTGGAGTATAAACACCGGTATAGACTAGTTGCGCCACATGGCCTGTTTCTAGGTTGAACAGTCTATGTGATTCTTTGATTTCCCACGAATCATCTATGGCATTCTTTATTTTATTAGCTTCCACATGTTATTGGCTGCCACATTCTCCTCAAATGCTATAGATTACTGTAAATCATGTGAAGCACTTTTGAGTGGTTTCAACAACGTAATCAGACGCTGTATCAAATGCAAGAATTATTATTATTACTATAGGAAACAGGACAGAACATTAAATTATATTTATAGATGGACCACACCTTGATTGGTTGAACAGTTCCATTGGTGAGGCAGAACAGCTGACTTTGAGTCATTATCCACTCATAAGTAAAGCTCTTTAGCATAGAAATTTCAGCGTAGGAGGAGACCATATGGCCGATTGTGCCTATACTATATTAGTTTTCCACCAAGGTTATCTACTCTGATCTCATTTCTATGTTAAATGCCCATAACCTTTAATTTCTTTATTCTTCAAGTGTCAACCTAATTTATTTTTCAAATGACAATTCACTCATCTTTAATACCCACCTGTGCCAATTCAACCCATATTCTAATAACCCTTTACGTAAAACCATATTTTTTGATCAAACTGCATAAATAACATGGCATACAACAGTCTACTGCAACATCTGCTTAAGAAGATTTTAAACTGAAACAAGGAAGTTTAAGCAGTATTTTTTGTAGATTGTGTGTTCAAGTAAATCAGTGCAACTGGCTTTCTGGTGTCACAGTGTCATACCCACACAAACAGCAACAAGGTGGTCTAATTTCCATATTAGGAAAAGAGATGGGAAATACACATTAGGCTCGACAATTTCCCTAAATCAACAAAATTCCAGAAGAAAAAACTGCCATAGAGCAAACACAGTTACCTCATGGCCCATTCCACTCTCTGGTCTTTCAGAAAAGTCACCAACATCAATCCTCAAGGGTGACTGAGGAGTTTCAAATCAGTAATTTCAACCCCTTATGCAAACTTCATTGACCTTGATGTCTGCTTCAAGCTGTGTTCTATATTTAGCTTCAAATTAGAGCACATTTTTATACTTTTTCACAAATAAAATAAAGACTAGCTTCTTTTTAAAAACTAATTAGATCTTGCAGGGATCAGAGATTTATTCAATACAAAATAATTAATAGGAAGCAAAATTCATGTGGCTTACAATTCGCCTGAATCCAGAGATCAAACTGTAGCCTTAAAATTGCTTACTTCTGCTGGTTATATGTCAGACATGCAGTACAAAGTGCAGTCTTTGGATATTTTTGCAAAGTGATGAGAATAGATGCAGAGTTTGTACAGAGGTTTACTGCATCTTCAATGTAACAGATTATTTGCCCCTCCTATTTTGGTCTCTGATCACATGTTAAATTACTCCAATGGCTTGATTTAAATGAACCAATCTCAATTTTACAGTCATCGTCTTGGACTGAAAGCTATAAGATGGCACATTAACACCTACCGTGCGCCAATTAGGTCCAAGAGGTGCTGCCAACGGTCGCTGACTTTGCCCAGTTTGTACTCGATCTCAGATGCTTTGCTTTCATGGCTGGCTCGAACAAGCCGTTGGCCCATCTGCTGCAGCTGCATCTTGTTCTCACTGGCGGCTGAGATTTCCTCCTGGTAATCCTGCAGTGACAAACAGTGACGTTGGAAAGACGCAGAGTGCTTGCTAATCAATAATCAACTTTTACTTCCCATATTACACACTGAATGCTTTGCAGGTCAAAATAAACAGGGCTGAACAAGCAAAAATTCAAAGAAATTAGACTGAGTCCATATTTGTTTATTTCAGCCAGTACTTATCCGTTTTCATCTACACAAAACAAGATTTGTGCACATCTTTGGCTATTTTGGACACACAGAGGTGGATTGTGATGAAAGGGATAAGCCAGCTGGAATCAGCTCACAAATTTGCATCCAGCCTTGGGTTTGATTCATTCACAACTGTTCTATAACTTGAATTGCTATGTGATTTTTTTCTCTGAGGAATTTGATACAGGGCGCTATACAAGTGCAAATTGTTGTTGTTGTTTATGATTTCCCCAAACATACATTTTCCCCTTTCTTTCAATCAACAAAATGGATAGCCACATCAAGTTCACTTCAATTTGTCTTAAATACATTATTGTTGCAGAATTGGACATGATTTGTTATAGAAATTTACAGCACAGGAAGAAGCCTTTTAGCCTATAGGGTGGGTCTCAATGGCTCTCAGAGCATGATGTTCATTCAATCTCACTGTCCTGCATTAACCCCTTACCCCTTCAAGCCTCTATCCTTTCTATACCTGTCAGCTTCCCCCGTGAAACTCACAATGGACTCTGTCTCTACCACTTTACTTGGCAGCATTTTTCCAACCCAACAACTCTGAGTGAAAGAAATTATCCTAAGGGTAATTTCTTCTTGTTCTCATGCGCTGCAAACAATAACAATAATAATCCTTGTATTTGATACAAAGTCTTATCACGTCTTCGAGATGTCTCAAAGCGCATCACAGAATATACTGTAAAATGAATTGACTGTATACTTTGTAGGCAAAACACAGCAGCCAATTGCACACAGCAGTGTCCCACAAACAGTCATGGATTGAGTGACCAAATTATCATTATTATTTTTTTGAAGGGATTACTACCCCCAGAAAAGTGATCCATCATTCGATTAACAACCAGATTACCACTTACTGTGAGTTAAACAGAGGTATGTGAGTTAGGCATGTGGAGTAAGGAAACTTGCCTAACATTTCGCCCTGCCTGGATATCAAAACCAGGTCCTCTTGCTTGCGAAGCAAGTGCTCTAACCAGTACGCTATAGGACTCCACAAATAGAAAACAATTTGGCCATAGGTGTTTACAGTAAATAGATTTAACAAACATTGGTAAAGATGGTTGGTTGGGAATTGTGAATTGCTGCTGTACCTTCTTCAGCTTATCGATCATTTCCTCAATGCTGATGTCTCCATTCTGTGAAACTTTGCTTTCCATTTGGGTCAGCCATTCGCAGAGTTCCTTGTTCTTCTCATTGAACACTGCCCACTCATTCAGTTTCTCTGTGACCTGCTGCCTGCGCAACGACACCTGGAAAATTACAATGGAGGAAAGTTGACTCTACCCTGTGTAATAAAGCGGGTCCTTCGTAAAATATTGAGGCAGGTTGGGCAAGGAGCAATCAACAACAGCCAAAAATGGTAAAGGAACAATCCTTTACAGAAACAGCAAATTACATTCATATAGCACCCTTAATGCAGGAAAGTATATTGGGGGACTTCATTGCATGATTTTATGAATGCAAATGCAACAAATTAACAGCAACCACGTGAAGAGGCCCCCACAGTACATGACATCAGCTCCCTTACCTGCTCCTGTCTGGACTCAGTGTTCCCGGACATGGGAAAACCCTTTATATCCCCAAGGCTCCTCTCTAAGACCATCTAATATGCTTCCCATCTGCAGGGGAACATGGATGATCCCATTCTGGAAGGGAGCTCCTCCAGGCCACTAAAGGGCGCCGTTGCTAAAGTCCATCACCAGCCACTGTTGGGTTCTCCCTGGTTTGGGACCCCTGGGCCTCACCAGCATCTAGCTCCATAGATATGCTGGTGGGATATCAGCCTGCAGCACCATTGGTTCCACCCTCAGACCTGAGGCCACACCACCCATGCTCTGATCAGGAACGCAGACATCCCCACATACAGCATACTGTTAGCTCAATATTGACATTCCAGGGAACGTGTGCATTTAGCACTGAATCACCAGTCCTTAACTACAACAACAAACAACAACAAAGTTACATTTGTAAACCGCCTTTCATGTCGGGAGGACGTCCCAAGATGCTGCAACTATTCAATTAGCAAAACCAACCTCCACAAAATGTCACAAACAACACAAATCATTGATTGCCTTCTACACTGTGGAGACAGGCATTAAACAGAACCTTTGCTATTGGTCACCAGTAATGTGATACTTAAGGTCATATTTCAGATGATGGCAGCAGTTCTATTATTCAAAAATGAGTGAGACACGAGCCTGGAAATACAATACAATTCACAGTTAACGAGTGCCTTTCATGTTGGGAGGACACTTCAAACCGCTCGACAATGCTGATTGGGCAACTGAGCCTGGGATGGGGGATGGTGGGGGAACGATTACCAAAAGAGCATCATAGAGGTACATTATGATTCATACCTCATATTATAAATCATAGATCAGGTATCCTAATGCAGTGGTGAACAGGCCTGAGAACAGTATATCAACCATCGGCTCTATATACATCAGTTCAGATTTGGAAGCAATAGAATAAGCCTCACAAATCTATTGGAATTCTCTGAGAAGTAACTAAAATAGTGGCTGATGGCTAGCTGGTCAATAGAGCTCACTTGTCCTTTCAGAGGCACTTGATAATATTCCACCCGTGAAACATTTAAAGTAACTTGGATTGAAACTGGCTTAGCAAAAGGAACCAGCAACAAACAATGATTTTGTTATTGAACCTTTCACATCTCAAAGGGCATGTCAAAGCTCTTCACTAGATTTACTGTAAAGTGCAGTGATGGTGTATTTTCTAGACAATAGGAAATGAAGGTGCAGACAAATGGGCAAAAGCTATGGACTTTAAATAGCATTACCAATAATACAAAGATAAATATCTCGCTCTTTCATACTTAATCTAATTGCCGTTTGAATTTGCTGATACATTTTGGATCCCTGGATAACCCATTAAATATATTCAGGTCTCTCTGTAGAATAACTGAAGCTGAATTGTCTGTTCACCTTCCCACTTCTGACTGGAGTCTCTGAAACCTCTCCAAATTGTTGTTACGTCAAGTATTAGGTGCACACTAATACTCTGTAGGAAACAGGGCTTTGTGTAATGTTGGGGACAGAAAATACGGAAAATGTTATTATGGTAACATTGTGGAGATGTGCAAATGGGTGAATATTGCACTTAATTATAGGGAATCAGAGAGGAGCTCTATGATACTTTCCTCTCAGAGGCAGTATGTGTGAGGCCAGATCAAGGATGGGATAGGTATTATCTGTCTGTTGATGGAATGAGTGGCTTGTTTTCTTCATTCCTCTTTGAAGACTGCAGCTGGGTCAACTTTATCAGATGATAATGATAAAAAAGTTAAGCTTGAAACCAGGAAAGGAACAGACTACACTTTGATCACAAATGAATTCAGTTCTGGCAGGTCCAGGCTAGGCATTAATTCCCTGCACTAAAGAAACCACGCACAAAAAGGTTTTCACTGTTCAGAAATGCAGTTGTATAAGAGAGTTGAGTAACACATGTGCAATGCAACAATTACACAGAACAGGAGTGGTCACTGCTTTGAAAGTTGGATTAAGGCTGCACTGACATTACATTCCAAATGATGGCAGTGATATTGGCACATGGACGTCCAGATGTATCTGTCATCACATATATATCAAGGATGTTGGTCTTGTTGTGCGGGTCACCATCTTGTAGTTACCAGTGTTGCTTGCTTGGTAAAACAGCAAGAATCTTTTGTTAAACCAACTAACTCACTGCTTGACACGAGGATTAATATAGCTAAGTTTCCTCTTTTCAAAAGTAATTTTTGCCTTCAAATACACTTTGCAGTAAAATCCTGTGAAGCACTTTGCAATGTTTGACAACATAAGGTACTAAATCAGCTTTATTAATTTTTGAATCAAAGCATTATGCCTTATAATTCATTGTGCCTTATAGGAATTCTTATGAATATAAATTCACTGACTGTTGTTCTGCCATGACAATACAATACAGTATCCAACTCTCTTAAATATGCAACTGCATTACTGAACATTGAAAACCTTTCTATGCGCTGCTTATTTTCCGTTGGAAATTAATGTCTAGCCTGGACCAGCCAGAAAGGAATTGATTTGTGGTCAAAGTAACCAAAAGGCAGAGTCTGTTGCTTTCCTGGTTTCAATCTTAACTTTTAGAAGTTATTATTAAAGTTGATATAATATAAAACTTATTATTCCTTTCCTGGTTGCAAGCTTAACTTTTATAAGTTAATAATAATAATCCTTACATTTCATATAACACCTTATCATGGCTTCAAGACACCTCAAAGCACTTCACAGAATATACTGTAAAGTGTAGTGACTGTGTATTTTGTGGGTAAAATTTGGCAGCCAATTGCTAACAGCAGTGTCCCACAAACAGTCATGGAGTGAGTGATCAAATTACTATTTTATTTTTTGGAAGGGATTATTACCTTCTGGAAAGTGATCCGTCAATCGACTAACAACCGGGTTCCTACTTATTGCTAGGTAAACAGGAAAAATACCTGAAGCAACATACTGACGTTGATACTAATATAAATAAAATTAAAAAAAATTCTTGCATTTGATATAGCACTTTTCACGTCTTCGAGATGTTTCAAAGTCAAAGCGCTTCACAGAATATATTGTAAAGCAAATGGACTGTATATTTGTGTGCTAAACACCCAATTGCACACAGCAGTGTCCCACAAACAGTCGTGGTTTGAGTGACCAAATTACTAATTAATTAATTTTTTTCTTGAGGGATTATTATTATCAGGCATGTGGAGTAAGGAAACTTTCCCAAGATTTCACCCTGCCAGGAATCAAACCTAGGTCATTCGCTTGTGAGGCGAGTGCTCTAACCATTGGGCTGCAGGACTGCAATATGTGGCTGTCAACAATAGAGCATGGCTAGCGGGAATTTAAAAACAAAATGTAAAGCTGCAACTTGTAATGACAGCAATCGGTAAGAAAGAAACCTTTGTAATGACTAATTGGTAAGAAAGAAACCTTTCTTACCAATTAGTTATAATAATAAGTAATCATAAATGACCTCACATAAATTGCCAAACCGGGACCGTTAAGCTATACTACGAAGGGTGCTATATAAATGTAAATTTGTAGTGCATTGCGGTGGTAAATCAATCAATCAGTGAATGTATTTTCAGCACTGCAGCATCCTGTTGCATGCCAGGGTCACGATTTTAAACGCTGGTTGTCTTAACACATCACCTCCGTGTGTTGGTGCCCTTGGGGCAGACACAGAGGCGACAGACACCACAGCTCAACTGGAAAGGATGTGCTGGAGGGTCTTTTTTGTTTAATAAAAAAATTAAAAAAAGAATCAGTACAGAGGAAAGGTTAGATTTTTCTAAAAAAAATGAAAATCTAAATTGAAACATATCAATTTTTTCCCAAAATAAACAGGAAGCCTTTTAGTTTGACATTTTACAGGGTGGGGGGGAAAACATACACTTACACCCACACCTAATAAAAACCCAAGTCCATTCTTGTTGCAGTGAGGGAACAATTTATATCACACACCATCCAAGCAATTGCTTCTCACATAAACTGTTGCTTCTGTGTGTTTCCCAAACCAATGCAAACCTAAATCTTAAGACATGTGCCGAAATTATATTTGCAGTGAAAAGGAAGTTCAAATGACACGTCACAAGGTATTTCAAAGCTAACTTTGGCGGAAAAAAAGAGCAAAATTTAGGTCATATCTTTTTGCCAGAAGATACAGTATTTATGGTTTTAATTTAAAAGACTGAGCTGCACTGCTTAATGCCAAGAAGCACGACATACATCGTATGATTCAAGACACCAGAAAAATAATAAAGTAGCTGCTGCTCTTTAACTTGAAAAAGTAATTATGAATTATGCGCAGCCCTTTCAGTCACGGCAGGAGCTCTGTAAGTAGAGCATTTTGCTACACACAACTAATTAGTCACACAAAGTTCACTACACAAAGTTCATCATATTTGCCCCATCACAGAAGATAGCACCTGAATTATGCGTGAAGCAAATCCTGGAAAACCACATCCATTCTTCCAATAGGATGCACATTTCAACATTAGTTTTAACAATTAAAAATGTTCACTTTAAAACAGACCTGCTCGCAATGCTTCCTTCCATCTTATGCTGTCAGGAAACCGTTCACAGGTTCAGAGATTAACACACATCCTGTTTGTGGGTTCTTTTTTTACTGGTACTACCAAATGAGTTCGCTACTGCAAAAGTTCAATAAATCGAGACCAGCCATGTGCAAATTCAACCACAGAGAAAATTTACTTCTTACTCAACAGGCATATGGCAGTCCTCTAATTTGTGTCATCTGGTTAGAATCCAGATGTTTTCTTTCTAAACTTGTCTATTTCCATAACATCAACAAAAGAACTCCAATGATGCAGGTAACAGAGTAGATGTTGTTTTAAATTCCTGGTAGGTCTGAAATGCTGATGAGAGTAGATTGCCTGACTTAAACGCATCAACACATTAATAATACATATTTTAATTGAATTGCCTTCGTTCTGTCGGCAGATTCAAATTCAATGCATCATCGTGCCTTTACCCCTTAGTCTGCTGCTGATGCAAATTTGTGTAAGATCACTGTTTTTTCCCTGGGCTTCGAAACACACACAGTAGTTGCATTTGTATCAAGTAGAGTTCCTATACCTGATCTCTTCCCAGTGACCTTTGCTGGGAATTGTGCAAGAGCACCCGGAATCGAATCTATGACTATTTTGGATTGTATGGCACAGTGCCACAGCATCGATAGCAATTGAGACAATCGGGAGTGCAGATTAGTTTCACAATTTGAAACAAGTGGACAACAAAAGCCTATCTTACATTCTATGGAAAGACCCTCAGGAGTGATATTAACTCAACAAGGCCGGAGTCAAATACAACAACAACTTGCCTTAATATAGCACCCGTCATGCGGGGTAGCGTCCTGAAGCTCTTAAATACACAGTTTGCTGGCATGGAAGTATCTCACTTGGTGAACAATGAATCTATGATAACAATCTCATCATCCCTTAAGAGTCGGGTATAAGATTGGCTGAAAAATCAGCTTTAGAGGTTGATTTTTAAGATTTTTTGCCATCTTCAAAAAGAGCAGAGTACGCACGTTTAAAATTCTTTTCTAAGAATAAAAGACTAGAGGGAAAGCTAGAGAGACCTGATGCCCAATACACATTTACCAGCATAGATCAATGGAGAACAATGAGGAGCAGGAATGCTGACTTCTATTTCCCCTCTGCAACTTAGCTGGTACTGAGCCCAATTATTGACGTGGCTGAGATCAGTTAATTTAGCACAGAGGTGCTAAATTGATGATGTGTATGACCTATTCTATACCAAGCAAGGCCATCATTCTCAAAGAGCCAATACAGGATAATCATTTTTTTAAAATACACAATGGCTTAAGGGTTAAATGGAAATTGTTGAATGAAGGAAAATAGCAACATAGGAAACAACTTCCACTTATGTAGCACTTTTCATATAGAATGATGCCTCAAAGCCCTCAAAAGGGAGAACTGGAACCTGAGCAAGGTGGAAAATGGGGAGAGAAGGGGAAGGTGACCAAGGGATTTCATGACAAATGATCATTTTCTTACCTGGTGGCACAGTTCATCCCACTGCCTATGTAAAAGCTCAATGCGTTCCTGCAGTATTGAAAGATCATCAGCGCTAACATAGTTAGACAGTGTGTCCTTCAGAATTGAGAGATGGGTCAGGTCGTCAGTCCATCCTTCGAAGGAGCTTTCCAGTTCCTACAGTGAGATTGTCAAACAATCTGCATTAAAATTGAGATCTAGTGCTATTTGGAAAACCACAGAAAGACAGGGAAAGGATGTCCTTATCTCGGGGTTATGAAGTTTAACTACAGCTGCGAAATAGACAGTCAGATTGATAATAAATCTATGCTATTCTGGTGCATAAATAGAGCAGTCGGTGGGAGCGTGAAAACTTTTGAAAACGACAACGACCGTGTGTTAATCAAACACTGAATCTTAAACCAGCAGTAACAAAGAAACAGGAAATATAACTTCACCATGCATCTCATCTGCTCAGTGTGTAGCTCTTCATGGTGGTCAGGCAGCGGCTGAGAGAGCTTCTTTTTGAAAGACCTCAGTTTCTCAAGGGAAGCGCAGATTTGTTTCTCACATCGTTCCCAGTCCTGTAAAAGGCATTAATGGCATTGATTAGACTTGTAGAAAATCAATTCAAAATGTACAGGGGGGAAAGCGAAGAATGTTTCAACCACAGACCACTCAGACAATGCAGAATTCCAGGCTGCAAAACTCCATCAATAAGCCATCCGAGTTGAACCTGCCAATACGCTACTGCAGTATTTATAGAGCAGAGTTGCGGATGTACAAGAGCAGATACTATCCAATTGTTAGGCCCCTCAGACAGAGTGCGTTACGTGTTGTGTGCAAGCAGAATAGAGAGCTCTGGATTTACTTAACACGTTTGGCAAGCCAATTATATGGATCTGTGTCTTTCCAACAAGGCTCAAAATTGGGCAGGGAAACTGTAGCAAAGCATATCAAATAACCACTACAATACTGATGTAACAGTTATAAAGACAAAGCAAGCTTTATGACGTGGCACATATTTTGTTTCAGAAAACAAACCCGGTTAATAAGATCATTTCCAGTCTTCTGACATGAGGAAAGAAAGGCTTGATCGTATGGTATTTTATGAAAAATTTCCATGTAATGTTTAGTAGGAAAATGAACAGAATGGCAGAGGGAGATTAAAACCGTCCAGTGAGTAATGCAAAAAAATTAAACACCAGGGATAAGATCATGTGCATCACAAAAGCATTCACAAGTTCAGATTTATTTTTAAATTATTGTTTAAAGCAATTTTATCCACGATCAGAAAGGTCTAACAAATGCTTCTCAGTACACATAAGACGACATTTTAAAAGCTGTGAAGGGCATTTTATGATCTCCTCCGATAATGTCTAATGCCAGTCACCGGGCTCACAGTGACTTACCCAGCTATGTGGTCACCCTTGCTAACAGATAGAGACTCTGCCTGCATTCACCAAATACACTAACTCCAGGAGCTGAGTGAGAGCTGCAAGTCCACATCCAGGCATTCCATGGGACAGCTTCCTGCAGATCCCCTGCACTGTTTGTGATTCAAGCACGATAATAAAGTTTGCAGGGATGATCTCAAAAGGCACAAGAATATTCTGCTCAGATAATATGTCTTCAATTTGCATACTTTCCCACTGTCTCGACAGAATAACCTCAAACATATGTTTACTACAAGACTTTCTGTAATGCCGGTTTTTCCTGATGCCTTTCAAGCTAATGATAGATGCATTTCAGGCCATGAACTCAGTGAGTTCACAATATGATTCACATTTCAAGTCCTAACAGTCCTTTATAGATCTCTCAATTAGATACTCGCTGAAGAGATATTAAGAGCATCAAAGCAGCTTTAAATTTGTTGTTAGCCTACAAATTATTCCATTTCCTTCAGACACACAACAGGCCTTTTGTAGAATCACAATGGGTCAATGTCAAAGCATTAAAGCAATCACACCATGCTAGAGGAACATCTATTTTAACATAAGCCAGGATGATAAAAGGCCATTTAGCCATCTCTTTCCAAAACTGGCTATCATAGACTTCATCTCATTTATTCTATCTCTTGGGGTTAATGTCTGTAAAGATACTTCCTGATCCTCAAAGTCAAGACAGCCACAATGCCAAATGTTCAGCCATGCCACATCCTTCCTTCCACTAACATTTCTCCCTGAATGACCTGAGCGGCTTACACAATATTTCTCTGTTGCTATTTTGCAAGGACTGGGGGACACTTATGGACAAAAAATACATGGCACAAGGTACACTTGACATCTCATCCTGTTGCAAGTGAATCTCACCAGTTAGCCTCCAGACCTCCCAGTTGGTGAGAGGTCCATGTCTTGTATCAAAATTTTTCCCACCGAGTACAAGTCTTAGTGTAATTAACTCTCAAAGTGTCAATTGAGATCGCAAGCATGCAAGAATTCCCTCCAGGAACAGACACCTACTTTTAGTAAAATGGTGAGTTGTTTCCTTTGCTCCTCCAGGTGGACGTGAGCAGCCTTCCATTGCTCTTGGATCTCGGTGAGCTCAGTATGCAGGACAGCCTCGGAACCACCATCAGCTGAGAGCAGGAGTTGCTTACCAGCCTCCACTGTCAGGATATAGCTCCCCTGCTGCCGCTGCAGCACTTTCTCTTTTAACTGCAAAACAGAACATTCATCAAAATCTGCTGGGCTTGAGAGAGGGAAGGACCAGTTTAGAGTACAAGATGCAGGCAAACAGACACCCCTTTTTCAAAAAGGAAAATAGATCTCAGGTGAAATAACTGAATGCTGAAATTAGCAATCAAAGCATTTCACTGAGTGACCGGACAGATTATGATGGAAGCATTCTAAGTCGTTCATTGAATAGAACATTAAGTGGCTTAGGTAAATGCAGAGAAGACTGTAACTGAGGTTAAAGTAAACAGCTGCAATATGAAGCAGTGGGTTAGATAGTTGTGGCAAGTAGACTGAGCACAGATGGTGAAACACAGGTTGGAGTATGTCTTGCTGCATCACGTACAAGGCTTTGCACGGCAAGACTTACAGAAACTCAACTGGGTGTCACCAGGCCTGTCAGGTTTCCAGGTCAGCAAGTGCTGAACATTCCTCTATCTAAGGTGCTGCTCATCATTTTGTTTACTATTAATGATAGATCCGCAACCGATACTGATTATCCCCCACCACCCCACCCACCCACCCACCCACACACACACACACACACACAAAGGAGCATTGGTTGTTCTCTCAGGTTGGCTGTGCCCTGCTCCATTACTAACTTCTCATCCACATATCTTCCAGCAGAAACCCTTATAGCACCAACACCCTTCCAATACAGCTACAGCAAGAATGACAATTGATGAGTTTGCACCTTGGAAACTAAGCTTTGTTCCTGTCCAATGAAGAGTGGACAGCTGACAGACTGCAGACTTGTTGTTGACATTGCCTACCTGCACCTCATCCAGCAAAGCCCTGGCCTGCTGCAGTGGGATGCATGTGCCACTGCCCAGCCTGGTCTGCGGCTGACAGGACGTTTCCACCAACCATTTCCTCAACTTTTCGGCCATCTCCCGGTAACGCTGCCACTGGCGGATCTGACTGTCAATGATTCCTCTTCTCTGCTGTGCCCGTCGGATCACTCCCTGCCACTGGTTACTTAACATAGCCAGCTTCAAGTTAAACTCATCCCTGAACGAAAGGGAGAGAAAGTGTTATATTTGTATTATTACATCCCAGAGCTTTAGGTCTCCCCACACTTTGCTGCAGGACATCTACAGCCTAGGGAGACCCAATCTCCCCATTCTCTACCCAGGGGAAGTGCCTATCGTCTCCCTGCAAATGCCTGCGATGGGCCAAGTAAGAGTTACAAAGAGTAACACGGGACTGAAACCAGTGAACCTATAACCCGATTCTGGTTCATAGTAGGCATGAATTAAAATGACAAGGTATTTATATTGAAATCAAATCTCATCCTGTCTTAATATCCAAATGTTAAAATAATTATTGCTGGTGTGTAAAGAGTGACAGAGCAAACTAGAGCCGTTACCTATCATCCACCTGCCCTTGTTGCAGTAGGTGCTGTCCGTCACTGATGATCGAGTGCAGGATCTGCTGTCGGCTGAACATCTCTGCCTGAAACAGCTGCTCGGGACACAAGCATTGTGGTTACACAGAGCGTGCAAAGTGCAGGCAGAAAAACGTCAATGAGCGTCGAAAGCCATCGATTTGTTTATTTACAGAACTGAAGGAAGCCATTCAACCCATCTTGTCCATACGGTTACTGGGACTGGTCCCCCCCACCCCGTGGAACTTTCCACTCTAATCCCATTCTCCTTCCTAGTACCAGGAACATTGCACCTCACATATCTATCCAATTACATATTTTTAACCACTGTTACCGACTTGGTTTCAACAGCTGTTCGTGTTAAGTAGGTAATTAGAGAGAAAAAAAACTTGGGATTCATTCTCATTTCCTGAAGGAATGAAATGAGGTGAAAAACACTTCATCTGACTCAGCCCAATTGTGACAAAACGGCTGTCGAGGAATTGGTTGCATCACTAACCTTAGTTGTATAGTTATACAAGTGACCATTATTCTAGGGGATATCACTATGTGAGTTGACTGTGTAGCACATATTTGTAAAGGCACATTTACAGAGGGGATGAAATACCTGGATGAAATGTAATCTAATTAACAATCAATAATTGGTTTATTGCATAATTAAGGACAGTTCCCTCTGTCCACCTGATTTTACAAATGGCATCAAAAAACTTCACAAATAGTTTACATAATTTGTATAATAAACCCTATAGTCTTTAGGTATCTTCATTTTGGTATCCATTGCTTTGTAATATACTCTGTAATATACTCATATTCTGTGAAGTGCTTTGAGACGTCTAGAAGACGTGAAAAGCGCTATATCAAAAGCAAGGATTATTTATTATTACTCATCAGTCTCATTGCATCTCTCTAATTAGTTTATGCTCCTATTATCTCCATAACCCTAACAGTGAGGAGGTCCCAGATGACTTGCCTCATGTGCTCGCTGCTGCTCCAGCAGATTCTGGTGGTTCCCTGAGATCTCCACGGCCAGTTTCTGCTCAGTTTGCACCAGGAACTCCATCCATGTTTCACATTTCTCGAGGAAGGTCTGGTGCTGCAGCAAAAAGGCCTGCAGCTTGCTGCCAGGACAAAGAATTTAATTGGACTTTACCCGAATAGCTCGGCAGATTCAGGGAAGGGGTGAATAGCAGTATTCCCACAGAACGAGAATCATCCAAATCGAACAATGTTTTGATTGATCACTTTACACATTTATTAGTGCAACACCTATTGATCTCCAGAGAGGTACAAGAGTCAAATGTTGAAAACAATGGCGAGTGTATCATGCAGGCATCTGAATAGCTCTGCTGCTGGAAGTGCACCAACATTAGCTGCATGGACAACCCCCTCCCTTTTGCGTTTATCCCAAAGATAACGGGGACATTAGGTATGCCGCCAGGGAACTTGTGTATCACTAGTGTGCCTCTCTCATCTGCAGACAGGTGCTTAACAACTAGTGGAAACACTAGAGACGGGCGTGTGACGTGAGAACCTTGCAAATGGAGAGGGGGCCAGTACTGTGCAAGCTAGCTGTGAAATGTCTAGAAACACTGCCTGTTCAAAAGTCAATGAAGTATAAAAATCTCCACATTTAACAAGTACGCTTATTATAAGCTTAGTACGTGACAGCATAGCAGAAAGCTGCAGTGTTCTTGAAAAAAAAGCATTTCAGAGCCTGTATACACAAAGTGTTCACTCTCTACATGAATACTTCAGTCTGTAAGATGTTACATGAAGTATGAGAGTAGCCTGTGATCACATACTTGAGCGCAGTGTGTGCAGAGGTCAGGAAAGGCTGCCTGCAGTCCTCGGTGTTGCAGTAAAGTGCCCTGAGACGCACTTTACTGCAACACCGAGGAGAGCACAATGCAAATTGTTGTTGTTGTTATGTAAGGATTTTACACACCTCTTCATACTACAGCAGTCATTGACTCTTACTCGGATCAACTGCAGCACACCTACATCAAAATAATGCTGTGGACCCACAACCTCACCTCAGACTCTTCGATTTTCATTCAGAAAATTTTAAAACATCGCATAAGAATGACCCGGATAATGCAGGAGGTGGATCCACCCTCCCTGACACCATTCCTTACATTGCAGCGTGGGGCCACTAGCACCCCAGGACTGAGATTTCTCCCAATCTAAATGACGCTAAGCATGAGCGCTTTTGTACCATTGAGCGATTGCACCATTCTTTCCCAGTAATTGGCACAAAAGGTAAAATAAGATCGACCTCGATCCAAAACAAGGTCCTAAATTGATACTAGACTGCTTTTTCTTTGCTGCGTCCTTCAGTTTAGTGTTGACCTACCTGAATCTCTCAGTGGTCTGGGCAGAGATCGCTGACCAGTGTCGGTTTAATGTCTGCATGCGTTTGATTTCCTTGTCATTTAGGGGCAGCCTGTAGCCCAGTTCATTCAGACGATCCAGGTCAGGCACCATGCTGCTGAACCTCAGCATCTGGATCTATCAAACCAAAATAAGGACAGAATCATTCACCAACCTCCTTGTGCATTTAGCCAGATTTAATGATTTTTGATTTCATACTAAAGCCAATACATTATCATGGTATAATGGCCTGTTCCACGTCCCCCGCCCCACCATTGGTGGGAGAGCCTTCAGCCACTCTGCCCCCAACCTCTGGAATTCCATCCTCCAGTCACTCCGCCTCGCCCCCTCCTTAGTCTCCTTTAAGTCCCGCCTCAAGACCCTCCTCTTCGACCATTCCATCGGCCACCCCCCTTCCCCTCCCTTCCCCCTCCCTGACCCCAGCTCGGGTCTGAAATGCTGTACACTGTCCAGCGCCTTGGGACGTCCTCCTGACGTGAAAGGCGCTATACAAATATAATCTTGTTGTTGGTAATTTCCAAAGTCCCCATGTGATAATCTTCACACTCTTTCTTCACTCCCCCCCACAACCCACTTCCAACTTAGCTGAATGTTTTGCAGACACTAGAACGAAAAATTAACACTTTCTATATTTGAATGGAAGCAACTGAGATGTTTGAAGCAGAGATGGACTGATACTTGTGAATTGAGGTATATGAAGAAAAAGTAGGGAAATGGGATTTAAAACCATGTCATAAAGCAAGCAGGAGTGCTAAATGGAGACCATGTTCTCTGCTTGCCAAAGTGAAGAAAAGTCAGACTGTCAGGTCACTATGGTGTATTCAAACTGCAATAAACTCACTCATTCTTCAAGTAGCAGAGCCAAAATATCTATTAGCACCAGAAGATAATACTGTCAGAGGGGGCATCCCTTCATTGAAGGGTAAACAACGAAGAGAAAATTAATCTAAAAAGACAAACCATTTTGGAAAGGATCATTGATTGACATTTATTTAATCTTTGATGTATAAAAATGATTCTTCTCTGAATACTAAGGTTTGAACAAGCTTACATTCTATTCTCTGATTACCTTAAGTTCTTCCATCCGTTCCTGAATTATAGTCAGGTCAGATGAGCGATTGGGATCTTGCAGTTTTAGCATTTCTTCAGCTTCCACAATCCATTGCTCCAAGGCCTCTAGCTTCTTGCTGAATGACTCATAATCCTGGACACCAGCCTGCAGCAGAAGATTATTCAAATGAAATGAACATCAACTAGAATTTTGTGAGGGACACAAAATGTAGTAAATCTATTTTCAACACGATGGTGAAAAATGTGACATCCCCGATTGTGTCTAAAACCCTAATAATCATGTTCAGTCAGGTACGTGAAGCATTTTGAGACATACTCCTGACGTGAAAGGCTCTAAGCAAATCTAAATGGTTCAAAGATATGCGACAACAATCCTTGCACATGGGGAGGTGGATGAATTCTGGTATCAGGAAGGAGGGAGGGGGTGGGGGAGGCGGGGGAGAGGAGAGGTGACTAGAGAGTGAGTGCTCCTGCACTGGCTTCTTGCTGCCCCAAATAATTTGCTCTCTATTTGTTTAATTGTTTCGATAATGGAGAAAAAAAGCCTCCAAATAGTCATTTTTTCATGCCTTTTCCAGGTTGCTAGTCTACCCTTCACACAATTAGATCCACCAAGTACAGTATTTCAACATTGCGTCTGAAAATTTCAGATACAAAAACAAACCCTATTAAATGATCACAAGACTAGAAATTTATTACACTTAAGAGGAAAATCTTTTTATTTATCCCCCCAGATCTCCTGTGGCTATCAGTCTTCGTCAGAGGTGGGCAGAGGATCTGCTTCCAGAGACAGTCTGGTGCTGCCCTGGAGCCTCTTAAATCTTTGGCAATGTGGCCCAAGAAAGACTGATCCTTCGTTTCAAAGGATATCAACCGGCTCCCACTCCGCACCTTGCCTTGACAACACAGGCAAGACCAAGAACCTATCTGGCTCTAAATGTTATTAACCTAACCTTTAAGAGCATCCAAAATTTGGAAAATTGTTGAATTCCTCCTTAACATTGAAGGTTCTTTTAAGAACTACAGATAGCCAGCTTCAAAATAATGGAAAGAGAAAATGCCTGACTCCCTCCCCAGTGTTCAACACATTACCTGTAGTACACTCCGTTGCCTTATGAGACCTTGTTCGAGAGCAGACAGCCGCCGGATAAGGGACAGTCGATCTGATTGAATAGCAGCCGCTGCGGAAGGGTCAACCTGCTGTTTCAGCTGTTCTTCAAGCTCCAGGAGAATATGAAGTGAATCCTGTAGTGATCTCAAGTCCTTCAACACCTCCTGCAAAGTTAACTCAGTATATTCAGTTTAAGCATATTGCTTCCAATTATTCACGCAAAAATATTTCCCTCTCACATGAATACTAATGAATTAATAATAATAACATGATGAATGCTGTGCACAAACTTCCCTCCCAGCCCCCACCCCTCCCCAATCCATTACCCTGATCCAATACTCCTTGGAACTCAGCACAGAAGATGGGGATTTTGTATGTTTCTTGCGCAAATCCTGACTTATCCATTGCAACAAAGAAACCAACCTACAATTAACAAAGTATGGGAGATAAACTTCAGTGTATTATATCATGGTGATAAAATGACGGTGATCGGAAGAATATATTTAGGAAGCATCCCACTCATACAAAGAATTAGAGACACTGGATGAAAACAAACCTCCACAAGAATCCAATAAACTTCTCATGAACAAATAGGTCCAACCTAGAAAGACAATCATTCCATTCCTCCATAATTCCCATCATCTTATCTTAGTTCCTTATAACTTCAACTGTCTTATTTACTCTTCATTGGGTAAAATAATAAGAACCCAGTCTCTCTTTGATTCCACATTTGGTCGTCCCACCCCCAGCTAACAATTCTGTAGAGTCTGAAAATGATGGAAATTTAGATGGACTGAAAAGAGAAAGGATACAGCGGAAAGTCCTGGGTCATCCTCACCAACAACCACCTTCTGCTTCCTTCCCTTTAAACAATTAATAATTCACATCTTACCTTCGATGCTCCCCGACATTGGTTTGTTAATGGTTTTTTCAGCACTATATCAGAGCTTTTGAAAATCCAAGTAAATTTGCCTAAGAACTGCCCATTAAGCTGTTTTTTTAAAAAAAGGTTTTGGCCTTTGTGCTAAAAAGTCAAAACAAAAGTTAAGTGGTTTTTCTTATTGCCCCCCAACTCATTTTTCTACTTCCATAATACTCACATCACAGGCCTGAATCCAATTTGTGACCTCCTCATCAGCAATATCCCTGTTTGTAACTCTCTTAATCAGTTCGTTACTGCTCTCCTCATGCTGTTGTACAGTTACCAAGCGCTGGCTGTAAAAATCCTTATATTTCTGCCATAGTTGGAGCAAGACTTTGCTGGAGTGCAATTGCTCTACGATATCCTGAAGTAAGTTATTCCATCTGACCAACAAACAGCGCAAGAGAAAGAAAATCAGTGGATTAAATAACCAAGTTAACATTGAAAATATACTTAGTCTACATGGATTAAAGTGAGTTTCAATTCACAAACATTAATTCTACAAGAACAACAACTTGCATTTATATAATGCACTCTAAACGTAAAGCAATGTCTTGAAGTGCTTTGCAATGGCATTGGCTGATGAGGGGGAGGTGACCATAGGCATGGTTGAAGAGGTAGGTTTTAAGGTGGCTTTTGAATAATATATATAGTAATGCTTGCATTTGATATTGCGCTTCACAGAATACACTGTAAAATGGAATGACTATTTTTGGGCGAAACACGGCAGCCAATTGTGCACAGTAGTGTCCCAAAAACAGTCATGGAAGACAGACAGGGACAGACAGAAGAGTTCAGCTACAGTTTGGAAATGACGGATCAACTATAAGCAGAGAATAACCTGCTGTATCTACTGTAAAATCAGTTACCTACAAAACAAAGGAAGGGGGAGAAAGGCCCCTAAATAAAGCAATCCAGCATTGTTCTAGCCTAATATCTGGGTTCCAATCACTATTATAATTACTCAAGCTTCTTTCTGTCACTTTATGGGCATAGCTGATATTAGAAACTATGCTTAAACTTTACCTTGTAATTTTCAACTGAACTGAAAATTGAGATTACGGTTTTCAAACTACAGACAAATTATTGTACAGCATACACTGGGCGATGCACAGCTTGATAATATACAACTGACAAGGGAGTCATCAAGCGAATTACAAGAAGTCTTGTGAGAAATAGCACAACAGAAACTGTCACAAAAAGACAGTTTTTTGAAATACATTTAACTAAAAGTGAGTTCAATGCTCGTAGAAGGGAAAAAATTGATGGAGGAAATTCCTGAGTCATTTTCCAGTCGGTGGATACAATTGCACCGTTAACATTGATCTTAGGCTTAACTTTGCTTTGCATTGAACTGTAGGAGGTGTCCTGCCATCAGACCCTTACCTGAGATTAACATCATTCAGAGTTGCATTGAGTGTGTCGTTGACTGGCGGATGGCACTTCTTTAACAGCTGATCAGTCACAGAACCGAAATTATGCAAACTACCCTCCCGCTTCTCCAGCTCCTCTTGTAAGTTCTGCCACACACAAATAAGAGTTAAGGTTTGGAACTTCAAAAAACAATGCAAACCAAACTTCTATGTCATAGCCTTTTAAAATGGTCCCATTCCACCCCACCCTACCTCTTCTATCTCACCCCACCCTACCTGCCGACCCAGCTGCTTCCTTTGCTGAGCAAGCACCAACCTGCTTCGTACCCTCACCGTATCCAGTCCACAATCAGTGTGAGGGCTTTCAATCTATTTGCCCCCGCTCTCTGAAACTTTAATCCTGGAGTCCCTCCGACACATTCCTTTCCTCACCTGTCTGTCTCAAGACCTATTCTTTCCCTGCAATTTCGGTCATTTTTCCCCTCCTCAATGCCTTTGGCTCCAACCCCCAGCTCAGGTGCCCAGCCGACAGTGTCAAGTGCATTGAGACAACCTCCCAATGTGAATGGCGCTGTATAAATGTAAATTTGTATTGTATGTCGAAACATCACTTTCAAGGCATTTTTAATAACAAGTTACAAGTCACGGAGAGGAGAGGCCAACCCACTACACAATTCCCAGTCATGTCAATAAGTAGATCTAACTGTGCAGAGTCAGATTTCTTTCACTACAGAAACTGGGCTCTCTGATTGCTTCTGAAATTCAAGACTGCTCCCTGTGCACCAGCAGGCACAGACTACATCACTGTGTCAACTATGCATGCAGTCACTCTCTGAGTAAGGTTTTTCATCACTTCTCCCAGTCTGAGGGAAAATACACTGTCATGAGTAAGGCAGCATAAGAAGAATGAACGTTAAACCATTCACTCACCTGCAGGTTGTCTACCTGGATTCGGACAGCTTGCAGTGAGCCTGTCAGCAGACGGAAGCGAGAAATAGAATATCTGGCCTCCATCAAGTGACCATTAATCTCCTCATAGGCTTCCTTGTAAACATTCCACTGTTCCAGCACAGACTGGAGGACAACCTTTAATTGGCCAATCTGGAATTTCACAAGATTGAACAGTTTTATGTAAACTAAAACTATAAAGAACATGCATATTCAGTTTGCTCTAAGAGGAAATCGCTTCTTTTAAGGCAGCAACATCCTACAACATATAAAGATTTTAATACCAGATGGTCCAGGTTAGCCCAAGAAAGACTGAGTTCTCGGAGTGTGTCCATCACACCACTGCAAGATTCCTCCTCCTTCTTCTGGATCAGGAAAAGGCCATATTGTTCAACTTTCTCCATTTCTTTTTCTTTTCCTCGAATCAGATCTTCCAGCTCCTAAGACAAGGCAAGAAACCAGCCCTATTTATAGTAATAATTCTTGCATATGATATAGCGTCTTATCAGGTTGTAACCACATCTCAAAGCGCTTCACAGGATATATTGTAATGTGTAGTGATTGTTTATTTTGTGGGCAAATGTGGCAGCCAATTTACACAAGTCACTAAACTGAATGACTTGAGTCAATCTAGTGATCCTTCCACAGTAATATTCCCTACACTTGATATAGCACCTAAAGCAGCAAAAGGTCTCAAACCACATCACCAGCTTTCGCTGTAACCTGTTATTTCTGTATTTGTAAGTGAACTCAGGACCCAATTTGCAAATAGTATCACATAAACAGTTACAAAGTGAATGACCAAGTTACCTAAAGAATTGTTGGCCAAGATATTGTGAGAAATTCCTTTCTCTTTTCAAATACTGTTGTGGAATCTTTTAAGGTAGTATCTTGGTTTAATTTCCAATCTTAAGGATGACAGCTTAATAATAATAATTCTTGCATTTGATATAATGTGATCGAAATGTCTCAAAGTGCTTTAGAGGATTTATTGTGAGAATTTATAGTGACCATGTATTTTGTAAGTGAACGAGGCAGTAAATTTGCATACAGCATTTTCCCACATATAGCCATGAAATGAAAGGCCAATCATTTAATTGCAGGTCCTCCCTGATACTGGACTGCTAACCTAGACTATAGGTTCAAATTCCCAATGATGAATACAAGCTTGTTATTTAATGTAAACTGAGAACATGAGTGCAAAGATGACAAACCTCGAGCAAGAATGGAAGAAATCCCCACAGGCCGGTAGACTCATTGAATAGTCACAACAATGTGCCTCGAGAGTAGTTAAAACTCACGTCAATTCAAACCTCTAAATAATAGCTGGGAAACCATCTGGCTAAATATGGGACGGCAGATGAGAGACTAAATTGTTGTATGGAACATAACGGGGGGCCATTTTGAAATATATGCGAAAGGAGTGGGAAGCGCTAATTGCGACATCGTTTAAGCTGCAACTTTTGCAGAACAGCAATTGCTGTAACGATTCCTTGTTGTGATTCCTGACAGCCACCAAGGTAAAATGCAAAGCCGCCAAAACAAACCACCACCTCCCTGGCTGTCCACTTGATTCTCCAGCCTTTCTCGCACCAAGGATTTTGCTGGGTGACCACCGTGTCTTCTTTGGGCTGGGATCTGTTATTGCTTACCGCAGGTATATAAGATTAGCTGTACCAAAAATGAGGATTTTATAACAGGACTCGCAAAAGATTTGTAAACATTCTTTCTCCTACTTCTGGTGTCTGAATTATTACTCCCAGATTTTAGATAACATTTGCGATAAGCAGCATGGACTACACCACAAATTCCCAAACAAGAGCAGGGCACGGGAAATTAGATTCCACTTTCCAGTAACCACTTAAGATAACAGCAATGGCACAGCATCAGCGGCAGGCGAGCAGCCTCACCTCTTTGGGAACAGCCTAACAATCTGGGAAAACAAGACGGAAAAATAAAAGAACTAGAAACCTGGCAATCCTTCAGAGCATTGTGGACTGAGGCTGAGTCACCAATCTGCTGGTGTTTCTTCAGTCTTTCTTCCTGGGCTTCAAACCAGGTTTTCAAGCACTGCACACCGTTCTCATACTCCATCCATGACTCCAACAAGCCTTCCAATTCCTGGACCTGTTGCAATAAACACATTCCATTTGTTGAGATAGTAGAGTATAGAAAGCCTGCTTAAAGCCCATTGCACTTGATTCAGGTGACAAGCAAATTTCCATGTCACAAATGAAACGTCAGTCCCATTCTGTATTTTGCTTCTCAAGCACAAATAGAGAAATAATTTAATGATGGACAATACGATTACCTGCCCTAAGGACAAAAAAAGTTGTGCTAAGTGCAGAGCACTACAGCTCAATGATCTGCTCCTTTACCCCCAAAGACAATGTACTCCACTTTTCTGATTTTACACTGAGTTTCAAGTTGGAGAACACATTACATTCAAACCTGTTACCTTCTCAGTAATGAGACGCTGCAGAAGCTGCCACTTTCTGTTCATCACCCCCAGGCGTTCGGCAAAGTCGGTTTTATCACTGCGCTTGCTCTCCACGTCCTGGCTGCTGATCTGCAGCACTGATTGGTTCACAAAGTCCACCGTCAGCTGCTTACAGGACAAATCAATCTTGAAACCCTGAAAAGTACAAATAGGCCTTTGAAATATTGCTATAAATGTAAACAATGTGCATTAATCCCATATAAAGGACCACATCTACTGTCACCCATTTATTTGCCTTTCCTCCTCACGCCAACACAAACATAATTAGCTAGTTAAATAACTTGATTTTGATCTTAGCAAGTTTATTAATATCCTGACTAGATTTGTTTGTTATGAAAAAAAATGCTTCTATTCATTTCACTCAGGCCCTGATGTCCCCACTCCACACCACAAGGGGAAAAAATTTCACCTGGGTTTAATACGTATTTGATAGCATGCAATACTTGGATACATTTTAAACTCATTCTTAATTTTGAAGTCGATTTTCTGCAGGTTCTTTTATACTGGTTTCAAATTAAGACTGAATTGAAGAATTCCAAAATGCTAAAAAAAAAATAAGGTGGAATTTCGCTGCTCTGTTCCCAGGCCATTCAGTGCTGCCACTGCTCTCCCAGCACCCCAATCACGGAAACTGATTGGAGTCACGAACAACAGGAAATAGGCTGACCAAATACCGAGGGATCTGACAGATTGGAAGTTGGAAAATGACATTATATAGAATTAAGTAGACTGTACAGCAGCAAAGCAGGCCATTCAGCCCAACAATCCATGCCAGCATTTATACCCTACATGAGCCTCTGTGCATACTAACCCACTCTCCCATACCTCTTCTCTCGTGTGTATTTAATCAACTTTATCTGTATACATACATATCTCACATATGCATCAACTTTCTTCTTAAATGTTCTGATAAATATGCCCCTTTATTACATTTAAACCGCAACTGGTAATGGGGGTGGGGGAAGACAGATCCGATCCAGTGAGCCAGAATTTCTTGCTAAATGTCATTATGATGCCAGAAATGGCACTACAGGCATTGTAATGGTTTAAATCCCGTGAGCAGAAAATAGCGAGTAGGCTAAAAAAGAGCAGACATCAGGTGTGAACAAGGTACAGAATTTTCATACAACAATTAGTTTGTGTGGAACTCAGACTTTTTAAAGACTACCCCGAGATACAGGATGCAGTGGTTAGCTAACATCTGTGAGAGCTTTTCTGAACTCGTGGGCGTAATACCTTGTATTTTTTGAGGAATTGCTCGATCATCTGTGATCCCACTGCATTTTTTATTATCGTTTCATCCTCTTCAATGACCTTCTCCATGAGTGAGATCCAGGTCATGATCTCACCGATTGCACTGCGAGAAGGCAGTTTCTCCATCTGAAGCTGAAAGCGGACAAACCAACCGTTTAAACCTCCACTGCAGTCTATGTCTGTTTGCACATCAAGATTTCAAGAAAACTACAAATAGTTCAATATTTTAATTCACTCCCCCAACCCAACTCTCCAACCACAAAGTTAAGAGTGGACATTACAAACTCCCAGCCAATAGAATTGTTGTATTACATAAAATAATACACTACAGAATCAAGCCATTTGGTAAAACTAGGCTGTTTTTGTTTTTATACTCTACATCAGCCCTCACCTTCCTATTTCCCTGTCTTATTCCCCACTATTCCTGTCTTCCTCATGTATGCATCACGTGTCCTGTTAAATATGTTGATGCTGTTTGTTTCAATCGTAGCTGCAGTCAGTGAGTTCCATATTCTCATTGTCCTCTGTATGAAGACCATCATTCGGCCCAACTGGATGTACCTATCTAGCTTCCCCTTAAATACACCAACTCCTTGTGGTAGCATGTTCCACATTCCCACTACTCTCTGCGTGAAGACATTTCTTCTAACTTCCCTATTTGATCTATTTGTGACTATTTTATATTGAAGGCCCCTGGTTTAATGTTTAAGATTACACTCCATTGCTCTGGATTCTGCAACCATAGGAAAGGGTCATTTCTTATCCACTCCGTCAATCCCCTTTACTACCTTAAACACCTCAATCAGATCACCCCTCAAACTCTTCTGTTCAAGGGAGTTGTGATAGTTTTCCCATTCTAACACATAATAACAGTGAAGCTGAACTCATCATTCATATAGAATGAGAGATTTGAATGTTTGGCTATGTTTACTTCAACACATCCCGACAGGATTCGAAGAGGAGCTGGTTCACCTGATGTAATTTCTCCTGGACCACTGGGATCTGTGCAAGCAGCTCTGTCCACTGAGCGTCGATCTGGGCCAGCCCAGAGCGCAGTGCTGAGGTGTCCACCCTCTTCAACCGCAGCAGCTGATTTCCGGTGCTCAACACCGAGGACTTAAGCGAAGATTTTGAATCAATTTCTTTAGTAAACTCCTAAATGAGCAAAACCACAATTAGAAGAAGCAAAGGCTGAACTTGCTGACTATTAGTCACATGTACAATTTTAACGCAGAACGACCAGAAAAAGCACAACCACAAGGTGTAAACAAAACCCTCTATTGCTGTGGCCCTGAGATACGAATTGCAGATGAACCAGAGCATTTGACCCGAATTGAGACTGCAGGCTGCTCACTTACCAGGAAGGACTGGAGATGGTCCCTCACAGAGTCCAGCTCTTGTGGGACGGTTATGGACTGCATGGTCCAGAATTCCAGGCGCTCGGTGGCTGACTGCAGCCATTGCTTCAGCTCAGCAGATTCAGTCTGGTACCTGGCAAAAATAAGAAATGAATGGGAGAGTTTAGCTTTGGATAGATAGGGGTCACTGGAGTCTTGTATGACACATGAGCCAATAACAATGCTGAATTTCAGGTAGCAAAGGAAATTGATAGAGTGGGTAAAGATAGGCTCTTTCTTATCATTACTGAATCCAAAGCAAGAAGGCGTAATCTTAAAAATTAGAGCTGAAACCAATGGAAGTGAAATCAGGAGACATTTCTTTACTCTGTGGGCTGTAGGATGGATTTCCTCATTCGACTGTTGATGTAGAGTCGGTGGGAGTGGAGTGTTTGAGGGGAGAAGATAAATACATGGTTCCTAAGGGTATTGAGAGTAAGGAGAAAAGATAGAAAAATGGTATTGGTCAACTATCCCCCCTCCCCACCTTTTCAGCTGCCCCCATCCCAGGGTCAAGCTTCCAGTCAGCTGTTAAGCATATTGAGACATCTTCTTGATGTGAACTGCACCATATAAACATAAATTGTTGTTGGTAGTTTTCATTGGTTTACTCATCTTACCTATTCCAGTGAGTGAGAACTGTTTCCAGGCGATGAAGCTCTTTGGACACCTTGGTGTGGCTGGAAAGCCAGCGCTCGCCCAGCTGGGGAATCTGAAGCTCCAGCTCAGGACAGGTGATTGATGTCAACACCCTCTTCCCATCATCTAACACTTGATACAGCTGCGGCTGACGGTCTGTCAAACTGATTTTCAAGCGCTGCCCGGGGAAACAAGGCAGATCGAACATACATTTTACGCTCATTTTTAAAACCCCAATAAACAGATACATTGAGTTGCAATTTGACAGTATTTGACGATAAGTCATTAGGGGTTATTGTAACATTAGAGTTTAATTTGCAGTATTGAAACTTGAATGATCAAAGCCCCCCCCAACCCCCGGGGGAAATAATCCAGGTACTTAAAATGATGAGGTTAAAATGATGTTGATACAAACAGGCTGTTAGGTTCAGATCACGGCCACAAAATTACAGGGCACAAGTTTAATATTAAGAAGCCTCAAATGGAATTTGAGGTTGGAAGAATTTGGGAAGTAGATACACAGGGACTGTGGTCAGATGTTTTGGGCAGGTAAGGTATAGTGTTCTCTAAGAAAGCAGCAAATGATGAAACTACTATTTTTTTTTCTTCTACACCTGGGAAATCCGAGGTCCAACCTGCCAGCTGCGCTGAGTCAGCCGATCTCTGCTTGGCCAGTGGTAGAGTGGTAAAATTGGTCTTAGTTCTTTTGGGCTAGATAACCAAGGAGGGGAGGAAGGAAACGAGAAATTCAGACAAGGTTGTTACTCCAAATCACTGCCTGGCGCCTCTTACTGCAGAGTGCTTTTGTTTGGGCAATGGGTCACAGAGGATTGGGCTTGGCAGTGATGTCCTCCATGGTCAAATAGCTTGCTCACTGTCTGGTCTTATGCATAAAGAACAATCACTTGGGTGAGGTACCAGGAACCCATGGAATCACATTTAAATCAACTTTGTGAGAAGCAGAAGAGCAAGAAGAGAGCTGCAGACATTACCTGATACAGTGTAATCCGCTCGGCTAGTCTCTCTTCAGATTCTTCCACCAGTCCAACACTGGGAATGCTGTTCTCTACCGTCTCCAGCTGCCTGTATAGTAGCTCATAATCCTCCTGCAGACGACTCCAAGTCTAAAGGAAAGTAATAGTTACGGACTTTGTTTAATCCTTGTGAGCTTCATCAATTCAAACCAGTGAGCTCTGGTGAAGGACACTTTATGCAGCATGAATAGAAGCTGAGGTGCGGGCCAGGACTGTGCCTCTAATAAAGAGCTTCATGGTCGGGTAGTCCTAGCTGAAAAAGCAGGAGGAAAGGTTGCCAGACAGCGATCAGAGGCAAATTATGCTGTTCTAGCTGGTTAGACTCCAGCAACTCATCAATGAACACTCTGGGATCCCAAAGCCTTGGCTCTTGCCAACCTGTGCCTAATACTCTCTGGAATTAGGTAAGCAGGATGTATCCCTCCAGTGAAAGAGTGTGTATTCCATTCCAGACATGGGAAATTTCTATGTGTGGGTGACAAAATATACGTGAAATTCTCAGTCTGATTTGGATACCCTTAAGCCCTGTGATGGGTTTCAGCATGGATCAAACCAAAATAAAACTTGGAAATCTGACTCTACACTTTTTGAAGAATTTGTTGAAATGCTTAGCAAACTCCTGCACATTATGTGGATGTACATTCAAAGAGCTCACCTCTAAAATGCATTCCAGCTCTACACCCCTCCTGTGAGCCTGCTTCAGTAATGTCGAGGTCTTGTCCATCAATTCTATCTTGGAGTCTGTTTCCCTTTGGTGGATGCACAAGCTTACTTTTTTAAACAGGGTCTCTGTAAGAATTTGATGGGACTCCAATCCTTGGAAAAATTCCTGCAAAAAGGCACAACCATCAGATGAAAGTGCAAATGATCCGGACACACAGAGAGAATACCTTTACCAATTTCAATCACTGATTGGGGAGGAGGGGAAATCTTAGGAGAGCATTTGGTTAAAGCAACACAATATTCTATGATTAAGGAATTCATCTGATTCACCAGGGTGTACTGAGGAGCAAATGTACAATCAGCCAGCACTGAAGTATAGAACGGGATGAAGCTTGACACTGCTTCATCTGGCAGCAAAGTCGCAACTCACCCAACTGTAAATCCGTCCAAACTTACAATGCAGATACCAAAATCCTATGGAGCAGATGCCACATCACATGGTTTTGTTCTGCATGCCCACAATCATTCAGTACCAGTTAACAAGTTTCCATTCAATACCAAGACTTACTTTGTGCTTATCCAGGAGATGCTGGACATCGCCCCTGGAGTTCACAAGGATCTTCTGGTCCATTGTCATTTTTTCTTGGCCTGTGTCGGTCATATCAGCTAGATCCTGTAGAGCTTGTTCATACTGATCCTTCAATGCCAGGCTCTGGTTTAAGGAACTGCGCCTGGAGCCAACAATCATCATCAACTCCTCATACATATCCTGTAGAATAAAAAAAGGAGCATTAGAGAGCACAGAGGCACCGAAGACCACAAACCAATTCAATAAAACCATTAGCATCATTACATATGTTCTGGGTATCTGCACCTTGTGAGACATCTCTTTACCCTCTACAATAAACTCACTCCAGAGCAGTTCTAGTGTCAATTACCTACTTGGATTAATTCTTAATGATCCAATAAACACAATATAGTCATTTACTTGTGGCGTTTGACAATGTCAGACAATTTTTGCTAGTGTTCTCTCAGATATGGGCTGCCTGGATAAGAATGAAGCTGCGAAAATGGCATTTATTTTTGTACAATGACTGACAATCAATTTAGTAATGCATCCAAATGTTTGGTCACCAGTCTCACATCTTCCTGGTTCATACAATTCTGTCACACCAAATGATGCATGGACTTGTTTGCTGAGATACCATGTGTAGTTCTGGGAAGCTGTTAGGTTTCACTTGTAAGGAATACCTTTCTTAATTACGACAGTAAATTTGGAAACTTATAATGTAAATGCACTGCACTTAAAAGCCCTTTTCAAATCCTGCTGCAACATCGGTGCCTTTGGCCTTTCTTGTTGGTCATCACTTTAACACTGTTAAAATTTTAGGGGTAGCAGTGGTTTACTCTTCTGTTAAATATCACATTAATTGACAACTCTGTCCAGCATCCTTGCTTTAACATAAGACTTTTATTTGTGAAAACACTTCATTATTTTCTGGTCACAGTATAGTGCCAACACGTTATAATACACTGGTTGAGGTCCATTAAACCTAAACCATTAGATGCAACCATTGGACAGTGCTTCCACATTGTGACACTGTCAACAATCAGCCATGCAATGCAGTGAGTTACCAATACACCTACTGAAGCAATAGGACTACAGACCTGAACTTTAGAAAGATCCAGCAGGAGAGCTTGGTCTGGTTTCAATGCCTCTCCACGTTCCTTTAACTCACTGATCCGAATCTCATATTCTTTAAGGCCATCTTCTGTCTGCAGAATAGCCTGGGGAGAAGGGAAGATGGGAAACATTCAACGTAATGTATTTTCAACAAACTCACCATCTAGTTCAATGGTTTCTTTCCTATTGATTTTTTTTAAAAAAAGTCACATAAATTGAATGAACATATTTCCCATCATGTAAAGCAAACTGGTGTCTATTTATATTTATTTGCTGCCTTATGTGCAAATAAACAAACTTTTAAAACAATCTGTTGCACCAAGATTTTTTAAAATAAAAATCTAAATTTGTTCCATCAAAGAGCTTTCCTCAGGTTAATTAACACCAAAACTAACTTCACAAACGACTGACAATTCACTGTCAATGTACAGTGCTGGATTTTGCGATGTTGTGATTTTTCATTGCACCACACTATGACCATGATTCCTACTACTATAGACACAAGAAAGGCTACTAAATATCTATAGCAATTAATGTCTCTTCTCAAGTCCTCCGGAAAGGATAGGGTACATGATGTTTAGTCATACACACCGTTGTCCAATCTGATCTTAGCCAATCAATTACTGGTTCATACACAATTGGGCTTGTTAAGTAAAGACATGTATATAACCCCATGGAGAGGTCTTAATTGACTGCTGCCCTGAAACTTCAAAATGAGAAACCTAACCAGAAGCTTTGCCAGATTCCAAACAGTCACCACTTTTATTTTGCACAGAGACATCCTAAAGACGCCTGTGCTGACTGATGTCCCACAAATGTGTGAACATCAAGGCAACTTTGCATAAGTATCGAACGACATCAGACTTTTGCATGAAAGCTCATCGGAAATTAATTTTGCGATCTCCACTATTCAAGTATGAGTAGCACAGGCCAGAACACCAAGCAACTTTTCTCCCAATCTCCCATGATTCCATGAACATTTATTTTTGGGTGACAACGATCATGAAAATCAATTCTGAATGGCACTTTGTGCCGCACTTGAAAGAAGACCTTGAGACACGTATGGGATATCATTGGATCTGGTGCTGATGTTAGAGCAATAAAAGAAATGACAAAATGGCTCAACATACACCCTTAATTTCTAGAGATGGAAGGATTGAAGCCTGGAACAATTTAAACTGGGTTTTCACTTGAAGAATTTCAGCAGTTTTCAAATGGACACAACAATGGTTTTTTTTTACCTGCAGTTGCTCTGTAACAGGGCGCTCCAAAGCATCAGCTAGTTTTTGTAGAATAATATATTTATAATCAGCTAAGGAGGTAAACAGCAGCTTCAGTTCAGTCTGTGAGCAGAGTGAGAAAAACAGGAGAGATTAATAAAGGCCCTGTAAGATTCCCATGTATGCTTGTGTTTGTGTGAGAAGGCAGTAAATAAATTCACCAGTGCTGGGTATAAGTACCAAAGTACCAAGCGCAGAGCTAATCTGCTGTTCACTTTCCACAATTTTCAGTAGAACCCTGTTAAAAGGCTTGTGGAGATGATGTCCATAAGATTCCAACCTGCCTTATAACAGGGCACAATCATATGACGAGTGACTTCACTCTGCATGAATGCCTGCTTCCCCTGTTAAAAATAGCCGACTTCTGCATTGTAGGGTTCCAACATCATTTCCTGTATGTGTTCTATACATAAGTGCTTCCTGCACAAATCTTCCATGTTCAGCACACAGGAGGTGACCTCAGCAGCGATCTGATGACCTGGAAGTCAGACTTTTTTTTAAAAAAAGCGCACGGGAGGCAGGCCGGCACACCGGACTGAACACGGGGCACCCACTTTCTAAACCTGCCTTAAAAGTAGGATCTTATAACAGTACCTTCTGTATTTCCCCTCAAAATTAAAAGTGCCCACTCACATACAGCTTCTTCCCACCTCATTTAGAACCCTCCCCACACTGCAAACTGCCCCCCACCCACACATGGGCCTTTCATACCACCACAAAGCACTCTCAACACTGTTTCTTTACACACTACAAATCGTGTGCCCACACATAGAAGTCTATCCCCATATGTTCATTCACAAGCTGAGATAATCTCCACTGACTGAGTTCTGACATTGGTCTGTGCTGTTTGAAGAGCAAAGAGCATCAGCCAGAATAGCAATGAGGAACCTGAACTCCATGGAAATTCATAACAGAATTTTATAACAGAACACCAGAAAATGCAAATCTAGGTTGCAAATTAAATAAATGGAAGAGTCCTGCAACTTCTACATGATTAAGAGCAGCTGATAAGCTCAGTGGCTGATAAGAGATCGAGAGACCAGCATGGTGAAAACCCAAAAGAGACACAGTTGCTGAGGTGCCAAAGCTACGTACCTGATACTCCATCAGCTCCTGCAGTCGATCCTTCATTTGCTCACAGCGCTGTTTCACTGCTGTTTCTAGCACACTCAATCGCTCCTGCATGCAGTTCAGGGTCTCTTCAATAACATCCTGATTTCTGCTGGTCTCGGGTAGGACACTGAGGAAGGCATTTGTTTTCGTGTCCAATTCTTTAGTCACTTCTTCGATATCTTTGGCAAGACTCTGGCAAGGATTTTAAAAAAAATCGTCAAATTATTTTCATGTTTTTCTGTTCACGAGAGGCGAGGAACAGATAACGTATTCTCAACCATTTGCTGCCAAGATATCCAACCCAGGTCATCTTTTTCTTTTCATCATCATCTTTGTTCCACAAGTCTTCCATGATTACCTTGCTGAGATTGGGTACTTAGCATTGTAAAATTACATGTATAACCTCAGGTTCAATCACTCTTTGGTGCAGTTACACTAACAATAATCCTTACTTATAGCGCTTATTATGTTGAAATGCCATAATTCTCTTCACAACAACTACTATCAAGTGTAGGCCCTGAACATTTGTGGCAACATGAAAGGTTCTTTGTATATGTTTGTTTTATTGTACTGCAATCAAATGCTGTAGTTAATTTGAACTTAGCAATATCCCACAAAGCTATGAAGTGAAGGATCAATTAATCTGGAGGATTACAGGCCAGGATACGAGGAAAAACTTCCTTCGGTTTTTGAATGCTGTCATGGGATCTTTAATGTCCATTTGATCAGGCAGATGGGTGCCTTGTTTCAATCTCTCATTTGAAGGTCAGTACTTCCAACAATGCAATACATCCCAAATACTTCACTGGAGCAAACAGCCTGGATTATGACTTCACGTGAGGGCACAATCTTCTGAGTCAGAGGTGAGAGTGTTACCAACTGAGTAAAGTGACTGACATGAAGTCTAATCACACTATGTGACTGGCTCTCTTGCACTGCATTGCAAAATGTAGTCAACTGCAAGTTCAGTTTCTACAAATAACCCTCGTACACATCCATACCTCTTGGTAATACAGGTGCACTTCCATCTTTTCAGGTAAGAAACTTGCACTGGCAAGCAAGTGATCTTCAACACCATCCAGCCAGTGGGAAGCTGCTGAAACAACACTGTATAGCTTCTGCTCCAGGTAAAGGCTTTGTTCCTCAGCATCTTCACCCTGTTGACAGGTTTGCAAACGTTGGAACATTTTGCAGTTTTGATCACCAATGTGAAATCAGAAAAAAAATTCTGTCAGCAAAAATGTTTACTGTACCCGAGTTGAAACATCTTCAATTGCTTGACTCATCCCACCAAACAGAGACTTAACTGCCTGCACAGATTTGTCCAGGGTGTGGGCTTCTCCTTTAAACAATGCCAAGCTGCTCGCTACACCAGTGGACCTCCCATAAACCTGCCATAAGACCAAAGAGAGAAAAACAACAAGTCAGGCAATTTTTTTCCATTTTTTTTCTCCGAATAATGGTTATTTTTGTTTGGCCAGCCAGGTGTCTGACACATACTGAAATCCATCGCCATGTATGAGAATATCCAAACCAGGCCCTGAGTTCCACACATGTATGCCACTTCCTCATTAAAGGTTCCCTGTGTCTGGAATGGAATGCACCTCTACCTCGCACCCTATCCCAGAGAGTATTAACTGCAGGGTGGCAAGAGCCAAAGCTCCAGGTCCGCAGAGGGGATGCTGGAGCTTATGAATTAATTGCACTATTGATGAAGAATAAATTAAATCTGGTACTTCTTACCTGTTGGTCCTGATCCCTCTCCAAAGAAGCTTTAAACATTTTCTCTTTGCCGTAAATCTCTTTCTGGAGCTTTTGCCATTTCGCTCTCATCTGATGCAATGCAGAAACTTTGTGGCCCTCGAAACCAAGCTCCTGTGATACAATTTCAGGCTGGGCAACATTGCTGATAAAAAAAAACTATAATCAGTACTGATGTCACGTCTGTACCAAGCTCAGCAAAGACTGAGAACCAGCAAAAATCCACTCCCGATTCACTAGGAATCCTTGCATTCGTAAACCTTTCAGAGTGGACAGCAGTGAGATTATAAATTATGGGTACACACTGATACACACTGGTGCAAAATACTGAAGAGCAATTATATTTTCACTGAGCAATAAAATGTTTTCACTAGTAACACAAGTGCTCACTTGATTGGTGACTTCTGCTCATCACCAATGAACTCGGCACTGGTTTGTTGGGTCAGAAGTTTCTCTCCACTGCTTGCAACAGATCGTATCAGGTCTTTTTGTTCTGCAAGCTGCTCCTCCAGCTCCTGAAGGCAAGTCCAGAGAAAGTGCAAGTTTAATGTAAGCTACCCTATTCAACACAGCTGAATTTATATCCCAGTGCATAGACTTTATGAATCTTATGTACTCCAATCCCTCTGGTTAGCCCATTGCAACAATACACTGGCAGGTATCTTATGTGTGATATTATGCCTATGTCTGTCTTCTCAATGGAGCCTGGAAAGGGGCCTTGCCATTGTTCTTATCGGTTAAATTCAAACTATACTGCCAATACAGGTTGAGATTCTAACATTTATGTTTCAACAACAACAAAATTACATTTGTATAGAACCTTTCACATCGGGAAGACATCCTAACGCACTGGATCAGTGTTTCGTACCCGAGCTGGGGGTCGGGATCGGGGAGGGTGGAGGGCAGAGGGAGAAGAAGGGTGATCAAAGGCACAGTCGAAGAGGAGGGTCTTGAGATGGGTGTTGAAGGAGGCATCGGAGGGGGCGAGGTGGAGGGACTGCAAGATGGAATTCCAGAGGTTGGGGGCAGAGTGACTAAACGGCACTCTGGTGGGGCGGGCGAGGCGGGGGACATGAAGCAGGCCAGAGCCCGCTGAACGGCGGTTGCGGGCAGGTTTGGAGGGAGTTAGGAGGTTGCAGAGGTAGGGTGGGAGCAAGGCCATGGAGGGCTTTGAAGGTAAGGACCAGGATCTTGAATATATCCTCTTGTGATGGGAAGCCAGTGGAGTCGGGCAAGGATAGGGTCACGGAGTTTGGTGCGGGAGAGGGCTACAGAGTTCTGGATGATCTGCAACCTATGGAGGGAGGAGTTCCACAGGCATAAGCAAGCGGAAAGGAATAAGAATTCAACAAAAATCAGCAGTTGAACTTAGGAAAGACCTTCTTGACATGTACAGCTCAGTACTACACTATACAGTACATTCAGCCACTGAACTAATCTGCACATCACACAAGCCCAGATCACAAGTTTTATGTCACAATCTAAACGCCATAAGTGCAGTGCAATATCATTTTTATGTATGAACGGACTGAATGACCACACCACCACTTGCCTTCTGTCTCTGCAAGCTATCCTGTTGGTGTTGGCAGCGAGTAGACCGAGCCTGTACCAGCCATTCATGAAGGCTGGGGCTCGTGTGGAAGGTGGAATCACTTTCCGTATCCTCTTTCTCTTGCACCATGCCATGCTGTGTGAAATCAGAACAAAGCTCGTTTATTTTAATTCCATTTACACCAAATGTGAAAGTCAAAGACATTATTTTGCAATACCCTGTGTTCTGTATTTTTCCTTGCAGTGCTATGTCCCAGTCTTCCTGCAAAAGCAGGGCCCACTCCACATTCCCAGAATGACCAGTGTTCTTGAAATCTCTTGGTATCTTCCCCAAACACGCAATGAGCCCGTGCAACATTCAACATAATGTAGCTAAGGGAGAGAAATTCCATCTAGGTCTCGGTTTACTCCATTTTCTTATGACTTCAGAGTGTGCAGAAATTAGCAAATTGTTGAATTCAACCTCAACTTTGAAGCTGGTTTTCTACATTTCTTAAAAGAACTCACATAAAAACCAGACTACTGAAAATTTCTTATATTCAGCACAGTTAAAAATGCTAAGAGAGTAAATCCATACCCCAGCTTGTCACAACACAGTGTTTTTGCAGCACCAAAAGGTTATGTCCCCACAATATTCCACACAACACTCGCTGGGTTCCAAACAATGGCCCCACAGCACAAACTCGAGTGGAACTCGTGATATTCCTGAACCAACATCATTGTACTAATTTTGATTTCCCTTGCATTAAAACTGGAAGCTATTACATTTTGCTAGATTCCATGAAGCCGGCAAGTTAAAATGGGAAAAGGCAAAAAATGTTCGAATGCCTGATCTGAATTTTGTCAGTGTTCGATAAGTATAAAATACACAGGATTGGAGAGTTGAGAACTGCAAGTCAAGACACTATCGAATCTGGCTTGCAAACATTGTTAACTGGAGCCCAGTGCGCCCTTCCTTTGTTAACGCTGTGTTAGTCCCTTACATGGCACTGCCATATTCCCCAACGAGGTCAAAAGCCAACATTAGTACATGATGTCAGAAGCCAACATTAGTACATGATGTACTACCAGTTTCCTTATTGAGGCTTTTTTTTTAAAAAAATGGCTGTGGAGGGAAGAAGTGATATTTGCAGACTTTCATAATTGATCATAATAGATCAAAATAGGTTGCACATGTCTAGAAGGAGGCAAGGGAGGGGGCTAGGCAGCGGAACTGTGGGATGGAGTTCCAGGGGTTGGGAGCAAAGAGGCTGAAGGCCTTCCCAACCGCCAATGGTGGGACGGTCAAGGCAGGGGACATGAAGCAGGCCGGAGTCCGCTGAGCGTGGGTAGTGGACAGGTTGGTAGGGGTTAGGAAGGTCACAGAGGTAGGGAGGAACAAGGCCTCGGAGAATTTTATATGCACTCTAGTTTTTTTCTGATGCATAGCAGTTTTACACCTTGTACAGGTTTAGTTATAGCCTAGGGTAACGACAGTTAATATGGAAACGGGAAGAAACTCTGACCTGGATATTGATGCGTTTTTCCTGTAACATTTTCTGCAGCTCAACAAGGCTTCCCTTTAGGTTGCGAAGTTTTTCCGTCAGGTGCTCAGCGTCCTCTCTGGTGCGGGGTTTCCCTTCCATCAGCAGCAGGCTCTCACTGTGCACGGAGAGCTCCGAGATGGTCATCACCTTCTGCTCAATCTCCCCCAGCATGTTCTGCATCAGCAGAAAGCAAATCAGACAAACTCGAACAGCCCAGACACGCAGTCAGTGAAGAGCCGTGCGCCTCTCACTTTTCCCAGGGTCAAGGTTAGTTTGGTTGACTGACATTCAGTGCTTTGGATACCAACTATTTTGCAACTCTAATTATTTTGCACACAATGTTACTTCACAAGGCAAAACATGGTAGCACTTTTGTTTTACAAAGTATCACACGCTTCGGAAAAACCCGTGCTCTACATTTTTGGCTTTGTTTCATGGAGTTGCAACTGTTTCTAGGGAGGGCTGGCTAGCCACACTCCTGATGCTGAGCCAGGGATAGTGGGAGAACTTCAGATCATCTTCAACCTTCCACAGTACCAGTTTCTGGGTTCTCTCAGGTCTCTCCGACCTCCGCATTCCCCCAGCTGGCGTCTCCGCTCGACTGGCACAGGCCTCCTGCTCATCCCTCGCAGCCTCCACCCCATCATCGGAGGTCACGCTTTCAGCCACTATGCCCTAAAACTCTGGAACACTCCCTAAATACCTCCACCTCGCCCCCTTTCTTCAAGTCCCGCCTGAACATCTTCCTCTTCGACCGTGCTTACGGCCACCTTCCCCCCACCCCCGGCTCGGAGTTAGGCTCCGCCACTGTTAAGCGCTCTGAGACGCTACCTCTCTGTGGAGGGCGCTATATAAGCGCAAGTTGTTGTTGTTGTTGCATTGTCTAGCTCAGTTTTGCTGTGACCAGACAGAACAGGCAACTAAAGAAAAGACTTGCGGTCGCAAACAAAAAACATTTCTACCAGGCAACTTTCAGAATTTCAGTGACAGTTCAGTCGTGGATATATAGTATTTATGCCATTTACTAATCATTGTCAAAAGCCTTAAACACAAACCGTTCACGTGGTGCAATAGAGTTCAGCCGAAAAGAACAAACACCTGTCAAGTGTAATTTTTTATTCCTGCAACGGAGCTTCATTGCCTTTTTCCAGACTAATCACAAAGCAGCTTAATCTCCCCCGACTCCACCACAGCAACCGTTCGGAGCTGCGTAAAGCCTTGAAGAATGTCCAGCATTCTGAGCTCATGCGGGCAAATGAGATGTAACAAAGTAAGAACACAAACAAACATGCCAGATGCGTTCACTCATTGCTCAGTCAAGCGAGTTGACAATTGAATGGGCACCTCTCTAATTTGTGTTGGTCAAAGCATGAAGCTGTGATGTGGCTCTGGGATCAGACATTGTTCACTTGAGCTTCTCACTATATCCAGCAGGGCAATTCTGCTGAGGAGAAACCATCCTGCGCTTGTTCCTGACACACTCAGTGCTCCCACCACCTGCCCAATCAGAGCTTGTTCTCTCATCTATCTCATTCCTTTGGTACTACAGGTATCAAAGTATATAAATGGGTGAGCACCCTCTAGACCTAAGCACAGATTTTTTGTTGAACATTTCATTTAGTCATTCACTTTATGGCCATTTGTGTCTCACTGCTGTGTGGAAACTGGCACACAGTTTTGCCTAAAAAATTCATAGTTACTACATGTTACAATTATATTGTGAAGCGCTTTGAGACATCCTCCTGGCATGAAGGGCAAAATATCAAACGCAAGGAATATTTTCTTTTCCGAAAGAGGACAGCAGCAGTCGATCAGGTAAAACCCTTTGGCTAGAAGAGCAAATTAGAAATGGGAGCAGAGGATGAGAATAGTCTGCCTGGCAGCTTATCTTGACTCAAGTGGTAATAGTCACTGTAAACGGTCCCAAACATTTCACTGTCAATTAAATTGTATACACAATACGTAGCAATTTTTGTGCAGCCAAACAAGGCAGCCAGTTGAGCCAGTAAGTTCCACAAACAGTCATGAGATGAGTGCCCGATTAATCTGGAGGTTGTTGGCCAGGACACTGGGAGGAATGTTCATTGAACATATTCAAGACTGGGATCGATAGATTTTTAAAAACTAAAGGGATTAAGGGATATGGGGATAGGGCAGGTAAATGGAACTAGGTTAGAAGATCAGCCGTGATCTTATTAAATGGTGGGGCAGGCTTGAGGGGCCGAATGGCCTACTCCTGCTCCTATTTCTTATGTTCTTATGAATCTAAGTCCTTAGATCATAAATCCTTAGATCTACGTGATCATTAATAATAATAATAATAATCCTTGCATTTGATATAGCGCTTTTCACGTCGGGAGGACGTCCCATTAACGTACATCTAAGAAAAGTTTAACATGAACTTAGTTTAGCATCTCGCTCAAAGGGCAGCACCTCTGACAACCCAATACTGAACTAAGGGTTAGCCTGGGCAATGAGCTCAAGACCCAACACTGGTCTTTAACCTACAGAGGTGAGTACTGCCAACTGAGCTACGTTGAAAGTTCATAGGTAATAATACAGTATCTAAAGCACAACACATCTAACCATTTGGAACAATATAGTCATTTATCAAATTCTGGCCTTTGAGCTCTATATATTACCTGACAATCAATGAGCTGCTCCTCCATTTCCATTTGCTCCTCAGTAGCTCTTAGAGTAGTGTCCAACGTAGCCTTTGTAATTAAAAGCCAATTGTTGAGCTCCTCGGCCTCAGTGCAGTACTGCTGCAGGGCTTGTTCCTGACGCTCTTCCTCAACCAGTTCATTCAGTTTCTCCTAAAATGCCAAAACATTGTTACTTGAATGGCCAACAAAGCAGGTGCTGAGACACAAAAGAAAGGCCCACTTTCTAAGAGTTGAAGCAGCAAGCTAAAGCTGTGTCCTGAACGTTATTGTCTCACTGCCACTTTTGTTCCATCTTCTTGAACGCTAGCCTGCATGTAATGCACAAATAGAGCACTCAAGAGTGACTGATGCAGTGCTGTACTCGAGAGTGATTGTACATGCTGTCCCTGATATTGATACAATGCATATATCAGTGACATATCTACAGTGAGGTGGGTCAGGGTAAATAGAAGTTTCTTTGCAAGGCCTGACATTGTGCTGTAGATTCACCCTATTTACACTGTAGGGCAGAGTCCAAAGCACTGGCTACCGGATGGACAGAACTGTATATGAACCTATGCCAACATTTCCAAACTGGGAAAACCACTTCCTGTTCTAGCCGCTGACCTTGTCTACTGTGTGGGGGGGGAAGATCTGTACAGATCTAACGTTCCAGAAGGAACGGCAGGCAGAGGCACCCACAGCCCATATCTTTTCGTTTTGCTGCCCCCAAGCTGCAGAACTCATCTCTGAATGTGGAGGCAGTGCCTGTTTGTTATAGGGCAATGCTGTAGCATAAATTGTGACATGACACAAACATCAGGATTCCCACCAAAGGTGCCATTCTACAGATCAGACTAATCTAACACTTCACTTTCAATATTGATGTTTATTTAATGGGTGTCAATTTTCAAACAACCTAGCGAATTGACTAAAGGCACAAACTAAAAGTCCATCAACTGGCTAACCCTGGTCCACTTTGGTCTGTACCCCTCAATGAAATGTTGTCTTGTCAAATGTACCTCTAAGAGTTGTCTCTTTCCCAAGGCTTTCATCTTGATGGTGGCCATTCTCTCTGCGAGTACGGTGAGTGTGGACTGCATGGCCAGCTGCTCGGACGTCTCCGTGTCCAGCGTGTCCGACACCAGCTCTTCAGCAAAGCAAATCTGGAGCTCATTGATCTCATCCTGCAGCGTCACAATCTCATCCATCAAGGCCTGGGCAACACAAACATTTATCCTTTTAATCAGACTCATAACAATTGGAATTCAGTTTAACAGATTACAGATCTGTGGAGTCGTGTAGTTCAGTGGTTAGAGCGCTCGCCTCACAAGCGAGAGACCTGGGTTTGATTCCCAGCAGGGCGAAATGTTGGGCAAGTTTCCTTACTCCACACGTCTCTGTTTACCTAGCAGTAAGTAGGAACCTGGTTGTTAGTCGATTGGCGGATCGCTTTTTGGGGGGTAATAATTCCTTCAAAAAAATAATAATATATTGGTCACTCAATTTATGACTGTTTGTGAGACACTGCTGTGCGCAATTGGCTGCCGCGTTTCACCCACAAAATATACAACCCTAACCCAATTAGTATATTCTGTGAAGTGCTTTGAGACGTCTTGAAGACATAATAAGACGCTTATATAAAATCCAAGGATTATTATTATTACAGAGGACCCTGTTATAATGTGGGGGATCAGTGAAATTTCAATGAGATTTTCTTACTGGATTCTCTTATGAGATTCTCTCGCGAGATTATCTCATCAAAGAGTTTCACTGCTCATGTGCATGGCCAGCCATTTCCTTCCCTATGTGCCGGCCACTTCCCTCACTCAAAGAAAAGCAAAGCAAAAGCAAGGAAAAGAAAAGCAGCCAACTTCCAAGTTAACAGGTCACTGTCAATGTCACTTTGCTGAACATGCACAAAGCCAGTTGTGAGCATCCTCAGTGAGTGGGGTCCACACTTCAATTAGTTCTTAAATGCGAATGATAAAGGGCCCATACTGTACATAATATTTGTTTTCCAAGGGTCAAAGCAACCAATTAAAAAAAACGCCAAATCAAATTTCTTAGTAAATCACCTCAATATTGTGTTTATATATTTCAATTCCTTGTTAAAAAGGAATCAATAAACTATGCTGATATCCAAATCCAGAGCAGGCACCATTCTGGATCGGTGACCTACCTGGTGTGCCTCTAGCTGACTCTCAGGACTGCTGTCTGTAACTAATGCTTCACCCAGCTTCCTCTCGATAGACTCCATCTTTGTGGAAACCGACTGAACGGAGTCCTGGTATTTTTGTTGTCGTTCAAGGGCTTCATAAAGAGTGCGTTGCTTCTCACTGATCTGAAACATGCAAAAAAAGAAAATCTTCAGTGCAAAAAATATTTTCGACAACTTGCAATTATGCTGAGTAGTGCCTTTTAGATAAAAAGAGCATTTCAAAGGGCACACAAACTTAGTTTAGTGGTGGGATTTCAAACAGAGAAATAATTTAAAGATTTCGACCAAAGCCAATAACCACAAGCACATCAATTCATGCAACTTGGAACGAGCATGAAGGGCAAAGCAATAGATAAACATATATCTAAGTACATGAAGATAAAATGAATTGGCACAAATTCACTGGTTGTGGCTAATCCATTTCACCCACTTTGCTCTGTATTGCTCAATGAAATGTTGTCTTCTCGAGGACGCAAAACAAATAAAATATTTAAACATTTTTAAGAAACACCAGCCTGTGTGACTGTAAAAGCAATTATACTGAGAGCAAGACCCACCAAATGCAAACACAGTGAGGATGAACACCAGAGACCTGGTCAACAAACCAGATGGGAACATCCTGCCGCACAGTATACCTAATAAGTAAAAATGGTCCTTGCTAAAAACAGAATCTACTGGCACCAATAGCAGGAGTTCAATGAAAAGAATGATCCCTGATGATCAGTATTGAAAGCTAAGAAGGACAGTCTTTCCACTAGAAAGCATCTTAACTGAAACTGATAACTCGTCAAGTAATCAGACTTACAACAGCACAAATTTGGTTTAACTTAAATAATAATGCAAAATAATAACTAACAGTAATAATGCAGAAACACACTGTTACCAACTTCCACTCAAAAAAACATAAAGGCACCAATTTCAACACTGTGACCTAATAGACTGTTAGCTTCAGTGGGCACTTCAAATGCTCCCATCAGCTGGACCTTGGCTTTTAACTGCAATTCCTCATACAATGAGGTTCTGATTTTTTGTTATAGCTCAGTGGGAAAGGATGTCGTACTGTGACATTTAATTCCAGGAGGTCTTCTGGTCAATCCTTGGTCTGGGCTGAATTAGTTGATCCCTGCCAGGGAAACAGGGAGGTGGGAGGGGAGAGAGAGAGGGAGCGATACCTACTCTCTTGGCCAGGAAATGAAATAGGAGCAAGTAACAGAAGGTAGGAAAAGAAGGTTGGTGTCAAAACTTACCACATTCTTCAGTGTTTCCCAGGAGCGCTGCAGATCGTCGATCTTTGAGGTGGCAGTCTCCCCCAGCCCCGGCTCAAACAGTTCCTCCAGCGGCCCTGCACTCAAGACCTCATGAGTGTCTGTAGCTGTTGTCTGCAGCTCCTCAGTGGACAATGCCCGACAATAAGCGTTATCCTGCAAACACAGATGAGCACTTTCTTATTTCTTGAAGGCATTATCTTTCACGAGGCATCTCCCATAACACCATTCATAGAAAGTTCAGGACATAAGGTCTCTTTCTGCTCATGGTTCCCTATGCCATACCCTCTCCCTACTGGAGTTATCTACTGGTTCAGTGTAAAAGCAACAAGATCAAACTGATGACAAACGACTTGCACAAGGGGTGGCTCCGGTCCTTCCATTCTCCAATCTAGGTTCACAACTACCATTATAAACCATGTCACAGCAATGCCATGTGAGCGTGATGTTTCTGCTGCAAATACGCCAACCCATGCATTGGACGGATCAACCAAACTCAACCAACATCAACAATATTATAGCTCCTTTCACGTCAGGAGGACGTCCCAAGGCGCTGGAAAAATAATCCTTGCATTTGATATTGCGCTTTTCATGTCTTCTGGACGTCTCAAAGCACTTCACACGATATACTGTTTAACATTAACTAATTAACTAATTAAAATTAACTAATGCCCAGCATATGTCCTTATTAAATTTTGCACTTGACACATTGAAGCATAGGGATGCATATTCATTTCAAATTGGCTTATACTTCTTTTACTTCCTGTCTGCTAGGGTTCTGGTGTGTGTGTGTAAACAATATTTACTAATAAATTAACTGTGTTGCCAAAAACTCAATGAATTTGAAGTAACAAGTAACTGAATTACAACCGTGTGTAATTTGGGGAATATCATGGTCCCAGGCAGCTCCTATTTCTTGCCAACGTCCCCCCTCGCCCTCCTCTCAAAAACCCAACATGAAAGGCGCTATACAAATGTAATTTTGTATTCTATTGTACTGTAAAGTGAATTGACTGTATATTTGTGGGCAAAACGCGGCAGCCAATTGCGCACAGCAGTGTCCCACAAACAGTCATGGATTGAAGTGACTAATTTTTTTTTCTTGAGGGATTATTATCAGGCGTGTGGAGTAAGGAAACTTGCCCAAAGTTTCGACCTACTGGGAATCAAACCCAGTTCTCTCACTTGCAAGGCAAGTGCTCCCACTGAGCTACAGGACTCCACCTCTATAGGAGCAAGCTCGCAGCCCTGGTAGACATGCACCTGGAGAATAGCCCCAGTCACTGCAGTTTTATACAACATTGCCATGTTGCATGCCACACGTTACAGTCACTCAGCATAGTAGGACTCAAAACTCAGTACATTGCTGATTGCTGGTATTGAGCAAGTTTTATCGAGCCTGAGCCTGAGGTAGAGAAGCCTGCATATCCAGTCTGCACCAATGATTCCAAAGGCCACATCATTGCAACAATCCAACAGCAAAAGGATACCAACCCACCAATTAACACCGCGTTTATTTTTTAGCACAGAACTGGCAGCGATTCGAAGTACAAATCTGGATTCAGAAACTGCAGTACAAGATTGGGTTGAGCCAGTGGGAATCTCACTGAGACTCTATGCCTAAACTAGTTTCAGAAGCAGTTTGATTCCTTGTGGTGCAGTATAAATATGGCCCAGGAGTAGAAGCACAGGGCTGCAGAGTAAGCATGTTCCACCCACTCTCAAGCTCTGGTCATTCTCTGTATCATTCATTGTCACAATCTCTCACAGCCACCAAGTGAGATCTATTGATTTGACTGCAGAATGGACAACTACCAGCTAAATGAACCTACACTCCAGGTAGATCCAGGGGATGCATTCAAGATTTAACATAGAATACATTTTAACAGGGCTATAATACTAGTTTTTACAGTTTAGTCACAAAATACAGCATAGTAGGAGGCCATTCCCAATACAAGGCTTGAACCTTCGTAAGGCTCTGTTTAATACTGTATTAATTTTCCTCATCAAATTTTAAATATCCAATCTTCTTTGAAATGTTGCTATGATCTCAGCCTCAATACACCAACAACAATTTGCATTTATTTTGTGCCCTTCCCACGCAGTGGCGTAGTTTCTCACTTATGGCAAAGCATTCAATATTCCAGCAATTCTCTGCATGAATTGTGTTTTGACCATCCAACTGATCCAGGCTGTAGAATGTTCAAATGTTTTACCATTCAGTACTTTTAATGTTTCATGTTTGTTGCAATATATCTTTGAGTGGTTTCATACAGTGGTTGATGATGTTACAATTCATAATAAACAGGGACATAACCAGAATTTTTGAGAGACACTCTGTTTCCCTCCTCTCCTACAGGTCTGGATTCCAAATATTCCCCTCCCAACATTAAAGCATTGAAACTCTCTTGCTCGTCTCGCCCCCCCACCCTCCCCTATTTCTCCCAAATAAAGCAAATCTGTATTGGTCAATTGAAAAAACCTCAGGGTCGCTGAGGCCAAGAGTGGTTTCCAACTGTTGCCCTGGCTAACTTCAGCAAACATATCTGAGATTTATACCAGGAACGGATGGCACAGTTGCATTGTAGACATTCCATTTCATCAATTGAGCACTCAGAACTCTAGTTAATTCAAAGAATTATTCTGTCAAGAGTTGAGGTTTTTTCCTGCATATGCGGGGAACAATAAATTACATTTCCATAGCGCCTTTCACGTTAGGAGGACGTCCCAAGGTGCTGGACAGTCAGGGATCTGCACCCAAGCTGGTGGTTGGGATCAGGTGGGGTGGAGGGTAGGAGAGTGACCAAAGGCACGGTCGAAGAGGAGAGTCTTGAGACGGGTTTCGATGGAGGCAAGGGAGAGGGCGATGTGGAGGGACATGCATCTCTCTCTCATGTACAGTATATTTATACCTTGGTAGGAATTGTGTATTCATAGAGCACTTCAATATTACCCATTATCCATGTCACTCCAACTTTTGACCCAAGTGCTGCATTAATTATCTCCTCACACACATTCTTCAATCACAAAGCAAAAACTGTCTATTAGATCATTAAAGTTTGTCATTAGTTGGATTGGCACAACCAAAATATTTATCGTTGGGAGACATTTAATGCAGCACCTCAGGTCAAAACTGAAGGTTAGGCAGACAGTGACTGCATTGTTTGTGACTGCATGCGTCTGTGGTAATATGTCCTCTACAAATGCACAACGATTCTGACCAACTTTATCTTCAAAAACCAAAATACAATATGAAAATTGTTGTGTGATTCAAAGTGCACAATGGAATGAAGCCTACGTTCCTGCAATACCCGCTCAGGAATTGTTTCCCCTTGAGAAATTATTTCTGCATTTTACAGTCACTGCTCCCATTCATTCCTTTAAGAACTTTGCTTGAGATATTTCATGCCCTACATGTAAATGATAGGTCTGTCAGCTACATGTCTGTGTTGCAGGTTGCCTTGCACTTCTGCAGTCAGGCTTTGTGCTGTTGGGCCCTTTGTTATTGCACAGCTATCGTTCTTCATTACTCACAGCTTCTCACCGTGTTGCCACCTCATACCAGCACATAACAAGCAGAAACCAGAATAAAGTACCTTGTGTATAATGAACCAAATAATGAATGAGATGTGCAAGCAACCAATCAATCAACCTGGGATTTCATAAGCATTCATCATTTTGTTATATATATATATATATATAACAAAGAAGGGTCCTTCTTTCCCTGTATATTTTTCACAACTATTATTAGACAGTGGGTGTTGAAATATTGCTGCAAGTTGGAACCCCCAAATCTCTTGCGCAGTCATTGTTTTGGTGCAATTGCAATTGCAGTCTCATTATTCTCAGTACAGGCAGCCTCCACCTTTATGCAGTCAGGTCACAACTTGTATTTTTATCAGTAGAAACACACTGGACCGACATTGCCAGCATTATACCTATTATATCACACAAAGGATCACAGCCAGGAGACAAACCGCAGACTTATTTGAGGGTTCATCAATGACTTGTGTTTTGCCACTCAAAACCTTGAATTGGTATTAGCTCAGAGTCCAACATACATCCGTAAATTTAACCATTTATAGATCTCATGCACTTTAAAGTCTGTACTGTATCTTTTACTGTAGGTTTTATAGGATGACATTCTTTCAATGAGCAATGCTATGATTGCCAAGATGCACAAGAATAATGCGATATCTAAGTACAAAATGCATGCCATCAGCAGAAAGGATTGACTGAAAAGCAGTACCTGAGCAGCAACAGAAACATCACTATTAGCCACAGGTGAGGGAGAACGACAGGCATCAGGAGAGGAAAGCTCACTGTTGGTCCCCTCTTCCCCAGACTCCTCTGTGACAGGTGAGAGGAGTGTGTGACAGCGGCCAGCTGTCATCTGACACAGGAAAACAAAGCCAAGCCAGAGAGAAGACAAGTAAATAAAGAGAGATCGGGACAACAAACAGTTTAGAGAATCACAAAAAGCACAAATCATTAAAACATTACAAATCTTAGGAAGTTTACAGCACAGGGGGGTCATTTGGCTTATCGTGTCTGTGCTAGTGCTAGCTCCCCCACTGGAGCTTTTTACTTGAATTTCATTTCCTGCTCTTTCTCAGGCACTTCAGTATTATTTTGCCACAAGTTTTTATCCAATTTGCTTAGAAGTATTCAATTTCAAGTCAGGGGCTCAAATTCAATAGGCATTTGTGGCAAAGCATTCCATATGTTCACAACCATTTGATTTGCGAGTTGTGTACACCATGTATAGAGAGGGAAACACAGGTGCCTTGAATTATATATATAACAAAGTAACTCAGGGAAATACAGAACCATTGCTTAATAAGATCATTAAGGACACCTGAAATGACCTCTAACATGGTGAACAAACTCACACATTAGACCCCTCTGTACAGAATTATTTGAACCCTCTCTGTCTCCACAGAAACCATTTTCCAATAAAAATTTCCACGGAGTGCATAACCCTGCAATTAACTCTTCCTCCTCAGTGAATCAAATAAGGATCTGTCAATAATGCATACTCCTGGAGGGGGGGAAAAAAACAGGAGTGAAGAGGTTAACTACAATGAGCAAGAGGCATAATCCAGTGAGCAGGTTTCTTAGAGCTGAAAGGAAGTGATTTATTGTTCTCCCTTCCAGCAGTGCAGTAAATCAGAAAGCACTAAAATCTTACCATCACCACGGAGGGGTGAGCTGAGTGTGAGGGGAGGAGCTCACCCTCCAGCTCCTCCATCCCTTCAGAAAGCCCTTCAACCTCAGACACCGTCAGCAGCATAGTGGCATGTTTCGCTTTCACCGTCAGCATCTTACACTTGGAATTCAGCGCAGCTATCTGCTCCTGGTAGCTTTTGATCTTCTGGGCGAATTCCTGTTAAAGCATTTTGAGGAAGGAAAAAGGGGGTGGAGGAAGATGGGAGGGAAGAGAAATTCAAAAGAGGCACTGCTCCCATTTCATCTCAGACAAGGCATTCAAACTGCTCTCTCTGCTCTCATCAGTCTCGGAGAGCAGCCAATGAATGAGCAATCTAGTCCATGACCGAATCTACGGCTTATTGGCAGGATGTTCAACAGTGAGAGAGCACAAACCCACAGAGTGTCTGTCTCTTGCACACTGCACAAACAGGAAATGAGCTCCTTCAGCAGCCCCCTACCCCCAACCCTTCCAAAAATTTAGATTTAAAGAATCAACCCTGTAGCTTTCTCAGTCATGTACAGAACACTCACACCATACAGCTCAATACTCTCCCCCCCCCCACCACCACCACCCGTCCTGCAATTCCTTTCTCTCCTCCAGGAAAGGCAATAATCTCCAGCGAATGAAACAAATCAGCTGATCACAGATGGTCCAGCCTGAAATAACCAGGTCATGTGATGACTCGACCTGTAAACCCTGCCTCACTCGGTTTACAAGCCTTCCCCAGATGGTGGTCTGAAATCATTTCTCCTGTCCCGCATAGTGAATTGATGTAAATTGATTAGCATTCGGGCAACATTAATGTGGCCTTCTGTTTATGTTATTGAATGCAACGTTTCCTTCAGTGTCCCTATTAAAGGGGACAGTGTCTGCCTGTAACACATCAATTAACTGAAGCATTCCGGCTCTTGTCCAATTTAATCTCTCTCTCTCTCTCTCTCACCCAGTGTCTCGCTAACAACGCTTCACCGCGCAGATTATTTCAATCATACTAATTGATTCTCCTTATTTTCTACAAAAATCATCATTTGAAGAATCCCAAATGGATGCAATTTTTTTTAATAGTTATTTGATAACGCTTTTATTTTCCAGCTCCTGCAGCACTGACTGCGATGCCAAGCAGGAGACACTGACAGCCCAGTACTGCTTCCCCTGTGCCCGTCTCTTTCGCTTTGCATCTACAATTCCCCAGAGGGGGAGAGCCAGACTTTTACACAGAAATATGTCCCACCATCACCGAAATGGCGAAATGACACCAAAGCCATTGGGCAACACAATTATTTTCCTGATCGCCGCTAAGGAAATAATAGCAGGCAGACGCACCCAATTTTATTTTGGGAGCGGCGATGGTAAAAAATCATCTGACATCAAGGCAAAACTCTCCAGCGACATCATATCTTTCCAGGCACACATGCCATCCTCCCTCTTACTCCAGCCCAGAACACAAATGCCATCCCTATTCTGTAAAGTGTTTTGAAATGTCTCGAAGATGTCATACAGTGCTATATCAAATGCAAGGATTATTATTATTATCCCATCCTCTCACTCCAGGAACACAGACACAAACACCATCCCATCCTCTCACTACAGTCCCGTGACTTTTTCTCCTAGAGACGGAGGAAAATCGCTGAAGGGAGCAGGTGATCCGACTGATAAAGTTTCTGTAAGTGCAGCGACAGGGAAAAAAATTGTCAGACAAACGTGCAAACTCAGAATATAAAAGCGGGATCAGATTGAGCCGGACTGAACATCCAGTGTACAGAAGGGGAAAAATACAGTGCATTTTTGTAGCACCTGAAATGCCATGTCTTAAAACTCTCCATACTGTCCTATGTCGTGACTATTTCTTGTAGACAAATGTGGCAACAAGCTTTTACACAGCAAAGTCCCACAAATACAGCCATGAAGTAAATGAACAATTAGGACTGTTGGTTTAATCAAAAAGAGAAACTTCTTTTTGACCAATGTCACAAGATCTTTAATGTCCAACTGAAGAGGGAGATGGGACCTCAATGGTGTTATAAACCAGCACCTCTAACAATGCAGCGCTCTTCCAACACTTCACTGGAGTGTCAGCCTAAACTATGAGCTCAAGTCCTTGCATGCAGCTTGAACGCACGATCTTCTTATCTATATTTTAAATAGAAAAGATTAACTTTCTTTACATAAGTGGGTATGCTGAAAATTAAGGGTCAAGGTGGACTAATGATCACCATCAAATAGCATGTGTTTAGTAATATTTGTCTGCTTGATATTTACTCAAACCTCCTAATACTTGCAAAGGTACCCCACCGTAATGCCTTCTGTGCTATTAATAGTGACACAACTGCAATAATAAGACATGGAAAATAATAGCCAGACGTATGAATCACATTGGCCTGACTTCATAAATTTAAGCAGACAGGCCACCCTGTGCCTCAAACTGTAATTCAGCAAATAAACATGAACACTAGACTGATTTAGGTCACTTTGGGAGTAGAATTCAATATCAATTTGTGTGACATTTTCTCTTTCACCTTCTCTCCAGCAGATGGCAACACGTGCCAGGCAACAGATTCACACACCGTCCGCCCAACACTTTGCTCCAACAGCTGTTGTTCATGACTGAGCCATTCCAACAAACTATCTCTGGGATTTCTATGTGTAGGTGGGAAACTTCAACTTGGTTTGGATACTCTTAAGCATGGTAATGGGTTTCGGCAAGTATCAGAAAGGCTCAGTAAATTTGATCATATTGTAATAACCTTTTCCACATTCCGTACTTTTAACATACTTTGAGTTCTGCCCATTCTAGTGGATTCAAAGAGAGAGAAAGAGTTTCATCCAGTGTCTTAGCCTGCAGACAAATTGGCCATCTGCTTCATGACTGTTTGTGGAGCCTTGCTGGCGAAAAATGACTGACATGTTTGCACATAAGAATCAGTCACTACACTTGACAATAATTACTTGTGAAACATTTGGAAATGGCCAAGCCACTGAGAAACAGTGTCCTGGGAGAAGTTTAGCGAGTAACTGGATGGCAACTGGAGCTTAGCGAGGGCAGGAGGAGGTAGGAACACACGAGTGGAGACACAGATTCCAGAGACGTGGATGGGCAAGGGAGCGGAGGAAGAAATAGTCACAGTTAAGAGTGATGGGGAGAGACTAAAAAGTGACTGGGAGGAGGTAGCAATCAGCAAAGGGAGATGGGGTGGATCAGAGCGAGTAAGCGACTGATATCAACTCACAAAGGAAGATTAAAAGTGTGGAGTGTGTGTAGGGGGAAAAAACACTTTAAAGGATGAAAGGGTGGTGGCAGCCGATTTGATAACAACTTTTAAGAGAGGGGTAGATGATTATTTGGGGAGGACAAGTTTGCAGGGCTATCGGGAGAGAGTGGGGAATGGGATTGAATTGGATAGCTCTTTTCAAAGAGCCGGCACAGACTCGATGGGCCGATTGGTCTCCTCCTGTGCTGTATAATTCTATGGTTCTATGAAAATAAGGATTGCTGGTGTACCTCGTGCCGTGAGATCTGAGCCTGTAGCTGCTGGATGTTGCTGGTAGCGACTGTGTGTTCCTGGATCTGGCAGTGAGCTCTCTCGATCAGCTGCTGCAAGTGCTGCATCTCCTGCTCGTACTGTTCATACTGCACCACAGCCTCCTGCAAAAACGCATCACAACCAATATAAACAATTCCTATTTCACAAGCCTTCGTTCTCCATGAAAAACAAGGGCCTCCTTTAAATCCATCGCATCGGACACCGAGCATATCAAGCATGCTTTTTTGCCTGGATAGTCTCTGATAAATTTAAATTACAGCACAAGAGAAGGCCATCCATGAAGCCCATCAAGCTTATGCTGAGCCTTGGGAGAGATAAGCATTCCAATCTCATTCCAATTCCCTGCTCTTTCCCTGTACACCTTAATATTCTCGCAGAATAAAGGGAGACCTGCTTGAATTGGAAGCAATTTTGCCATGTCCAGTGTCTGTCTGCCCCAAGCCTCCTCCTCTCTCCTGACTTCATACAAAGCAGTTTAAGGTGCATCCCCCAATTGTGTGAACCTTACGGTTCAAAGGAAGTTAAAAAAAATTGTTAAAAGGCTCTAAGAAAATTACCAACAATCACCTGTGAGCAGTGCCTGGTTCGCATGTAGATATTTTACGAAGGTAATCGGGCTTCTAAGTACCCACACATCTGGTGTAACCATCCCGACTTATATCACGGCTTCATAGGGAGCACCTTCGTAGCAGCTCAGTATTATAATTTTAATATGAAGAGGGTATTCAATATTCAGGATTTTTATTGACTCCTTGTTCACTGTGTCCAAAGAGCATATCCCATCACAGGGGTATGTATCACAGCCGAGCCTAATCCTGTCAGAGATTTTGGGGTACAGAATGGGGCCACTCTTACCTGCACGATGTTACACTGCTGGATGGCAGTGTGCTGAAGGCGACTTGCTTCATCCTGTAGCCGCAATGCGATGTGGCAGATGGGAAGATGTGTAACTACTTCCTCTGGAATTCGCAGGGCAGCCTGACATCTCTGCACCGCCTGGACCCTCTGCTTGAATCCCTCCATGTTGGCCAACAACCGCTGCCAGGAAGAGAAACATAAACATTCAGGCATTTGAGATGAGATGTTACAAGTGTTTTGCCTACAAAATATACAGTTAATTCACTTTACAATATATTCTGTTAAGCGCTTTTGAGACATCTCAATGATGCGATAAGGCGCTATATCAAGTGCAAGGATTATTATTATTCTCTTAACAACATGATCTCTGCACTAAATGCAGCTTCAGTTAACCAAACATGTCTGTGAGTCAGGTCAGCAGGCCCTCAATGTCACTCCGAGACAATGTGATCAAGGTGAACAACCTTGTTGATTTCTGCAGTATCAAATATCGCACCTTTTCTCGTGACTTAGCAAAGATATACAGTACCTGTCGTTGAGGTAATTGTTCCTTGAGGCTCAGTCGAGTTAGCTCAGGGGAGGTGAGAGAGACTTGGGCCTGCTTCACCACCACTTGTAGTCTCCTCACTTCTGTTTCAAACTTTTCCATATCCTGGGAGACACATAGAACATTCATGTTAAATTTTCCTATCTATTAGTGTTGGTCTCTGACTATTGCGATCTAGAGTAACTCTAGTTTTAGTAACTTTACAATGTCATCCTGCCATTCTTTATCTCCTAATTGTAATACAATTGTAATAATAAGCCCTCCTTAGACTCCTTCAAGTCCGGCCTCAAAACCCTCCTCTTTGACCATGCCATCGGTCACCCCCCTTCCCCTCCCCTCCCTTCTCCCACCCCCCCCCCCGACCGCAGCTCGGGTCTGAAATGCTGTACACTGTCCAGCGCCTTGGGACGTCCTCCCGACGTGAAAGGTGCTATACAAATGTAATCTTCTTGTTGTTGTTGTGGCATGATTAATTGAAACAATAACAACTTGCGTCCCAGAGTGCTTGGAAGCACATCATAGAAAGAGACCTTCTAGCCCACTGAGCCTCTTCCACTGGGCTATCTCTTCTCATCCCAATACCTTACACTATCCCCATAACCAATGGAATATACCTAATACAATAAAACACAATAATCTCAGCAGTGGAGTCCTGTAGCTCAGTGGTTAGAGCACTCACTTTGCAAGCGAGAGACCTGAGTTCAATTCCAGGCAGAGGGCGAAACCTTGGGCAAGTTTCCTTACTCCACACAGAGCCTAATAATAATCCCTCCAAAACCAAAAACAATAATAAATTGGTCATTTTCAATCTACGACTGTTTGTGGGACATTGCTGTGCGCAATTGGCTGCCGCGTTCACCCACAAGTATACAGTCAATTCACTTTACAGTGTGTTCTGTGAAGCCCTTTGGGACGTCCTTCTGACGTGAAAAGCGCTATATCAAATGCAAGGATTATTATTCTTATTATTATTATTCTGACTGCTATATTTTCAGATGAGACGTTAAACTGAGGTCCTGCTTGCCTGTTCAGGTGGATGTTAAAAAGCAATTACGTGTTTAAAACATAAAGGATGAAGATTACTGATGTCTTATCAAACCTAGCTGAACATACGTATCTCAACTCTGATCAGGTACATGAAATTCCTGCTGTTCCACACAGATTCATGTTTTACTGTCATATTTCATATATAAAACACACTACTTTACATTGAAAAAGGAACCAAAAAGCTAGGTACATATTAGGTGCACAATTTTTTTGCAGAGAAAGTGAAAAATGCAGGTGAATTTTGGTGGTGGTGGGTGGGGAGGGAACACTTATAATTCATTCCTGAAATAATGGTAAACTGTAGAGAAACCGAGCTGTGATTAAAGTTTCTGAAAATGATTTTGTGTGAAATCAAATGATGAGCATTCCCCATACAAACCAGAAGGTGGCAGGTTTGATCCTCGTTCTATGCTGAGTTTAGCCAGGGCAGCAGTTACAATTGCCTTTAACTTCCCTGTATTAGGATTAAACAAAACCGCCAAAGTTTGCTCTCGACAAAGAAATGTGTATGTGTTTGTGTACACCTGCACTGAAGAAGCAACGAGAAGCTTGAAATAAAATTTAGCGTACAATATATGTATATGTGCACGTGTCAAGTAAGAATAAGATCATCGGTTCTGCTGATCACAGTTCATCACACAATCGAGCAACTTGCCGACACTCACTCCAGGTTCACATACAATGGTCACTTGACCAAGGACCTGAAGAGCTGGCAGCTCCAGTGGAACTCAACCTTGAGGGTCAGCTTCTTCAAGGGAGGAGGAAGGGAGAGAATTCACAGAAAACCCCATCCCTAAAATCGCATTGTGAAAATGTATTGCAAAATATTAACTGAGGCCTTAGTTAAATGTCCAGCTGCTGAGTGAAGATAAAGGATAGGTTCAAGCACAGGAGAGGGAAGGTGAACAAACAGTTTAGACTCTGTTTGATGTAGAGTGCAATGAATACGTGGAATAGACAATCCAGGGAGGTGGTGCAGGCTGATTGTGTCAACAAATTCAAGAGGGAATCAATTGAGGGTGTGTGAGAAGTCAAAGCAGATCAGACCTGAGGAGGTTGAGTTGTGGGCTGACTGAGTTGTTTAAAATAAAAACAGGAATTGATGAACTAGATGGTGAATAACTCTTCTCTCTTGCAGAGGGATCGAAAAAAGGAGACGTCATCTTAAAATTAAGAGCTCCAATAGCCTAATAGATGTATATTCGTCCCCGAAAAGATAACACTGATAAGACCATGGGGATTTACAAATTACATTCGACTTCAATACAGACAAAGAGACGATACAGAAAGGGGAGGAAAAGAGCTGCAGAATGGAAACGTGTCCGCCAAAGGATTCAATGATCAGCTCTTATGCATCTCAATCCTAGTGAACTGTACCCCCTCCCACTCCCAGTGCTCAGTCTTGCTCCATCAACTCTCTGTAATCTGAAGGCAACAATACAAAGAGCATGAAGCCTCCACAGGGAATCCAAATGTGGTTCTTTTCAGTTCTTAATTGATGCATTGGCACTACTGTGCAGCTGTGCTTAATTGGTTAGATAGGTAAGCAGCCCAGTAAAGCACAGCTAAGTGGTTGCTTTGTCTGTATTGAAGTCAAATGTAATTTGTTTTGGCAGGTCCAGAGATCCAGGATACTTGGAACTGAAGAAGCTTTTTACTAGCTTGATGCAATCCTGTAGGCCTTAAAAATGAGACAACCTACTTTGAGATTCCGCTGCCTAAACCAAGTCTGTCCTGCCACTGCTCCTGATGGCTCAATTACTTTGCCTCCAAGTCAAAATGTGGCGGGATCAAACCCTAAGTGGTGATTTGAACAGATGGCAAAGGACTCTTTGTTTCTGAGACATTGTCACTTTTTAAGAACTGCAGGAAAGTCAAACCAAGACGAACTTTAAGAATTTTACACAATTATAAGTAAACTTGAATTTGAAAGGAAATGGTCTTAATTGGCCATGATTAGGTGGTATGTTAAGCCTCTTAAAGACCAGCTTCTTGGTCATGGGTAATTATCTGCTCCAGTGCAACCATAACAAGGAGAAAAATACACGGGAAATCAGAGTGCGTCAGCAAACAGAAGATACAAGTATTAGAGACAGGTATTCTGTGAGATAAAAAGGATCTAGCCCAGATTAATTGGACGGAAAATATCATCAAGTAAAATTTAGTTCAAGGAATTATTATTGTGCAACAATATCATGTAAACCAGATTCCCTAGCCTGGAAAAGTTAGAGATGAACAATGAATTATACCTAAACGTTGTAACTATAGCTATGCAATTTATTTCACGGTGACATCTTTGAATATCTTGTGTGTTGGTGAGCAAGCTTTCAGCCCACTCTCAGGAACTCCATACCATCTCTCTGCCTTGACTGCTCCAGCCTCATTTTTAGAGCCTGCCTTCAAAGATGTTTTGATGTGATCAAGTGCTAAAAATGCAAGCTCTATTTTTTCTTCCTTAAGCATTAGCTAGCGGCCAGACATGTTGAGTTAGAATGGCACCACAGAGCTCACTTTCCTCCTCTCTCGCCTCTACTCACACATATCTCGTTTCTAAAGGTAGATTTAACAAGCTTTTGATGAAAAGCTTACCTTGGCTGCATCTTGCAGACATTGTAGCCGGGTTTGCATAAGTTGCTGTAACTCATTTGTCTGCCGACTGAGCTCTACCACATGCTGAAACATGCTGGCCGTTAGGAACACATCGCTGAAGCTACCTAGCTTCTCGTTCATTGCTTCCAGGTCGCTGTGGATTTCATCTGATTCCTGCAGGATCGCCTAATGAGAAAATGCATGCGGTCACAACAAATAGGCAACCAGGTAATCCAGTTTATTCCCTCACGTTCTTTTCAATCTAACAGACACTTTCAAAGCTTTACAAGTACATCAGAGACTACAAGTACCAATATTCCATTGAGGTACAGGCATTGCTGATTGATGTCACTACACCATCTATGACTACGTGTTCTGCAGGTTGAGATAGTTGGATTCAGTAGTATGCTATCGTCCCGTTATGAAGGATTTCTGGCAGTACATTGTGTTTTCTCTCTTCTCTGCTTTTAAGCGCTGAATTATGCTCAGATACAGATTCAACGGACTGGTGACCACTCTCTGGTACCTTGTCAAGTGGTCAACTGGCCCTAGAGTGTTATCAAGACTGTGGGAAGCATCACCTTCAAGTCCTTTGTTGTCCTCACCCAATATCCACCTATACAAGCACTAGGTAACAATCAGTAGCAGGGACACTGAGGCCAATTGTGCCACCCTTAACCGCAAGGTTCGCTCGCAATATACACAGTCAACAACAACTTGCATTTATACAGTGCCCCTCACACCGGGTAGCGTCCCAGAGCGCAGTCAATCCACATTACAGTATTTGCTGTGAAGCGCTTTGAGACGTCTCAAAGGCATGATAAGGTGCTATATCAAATGCGAGGATTATTATTATTATTAATATTATCAACGTCTTAAATTCACTCAATTCGGTAACTGGTTTTCCACAGTTCTTTTTAAGAGAATGCACCAGAACTTCCAAATGAAGCATTTTCCAAAATTCCGACCAAATCTTAAACATTAAAAAAATGGTCTGTGAAGCTGAGACTCTGAGATTTTCAGTCTAGGGTTAGGGTCCCACCTGGTACGTCATCAACTGATCATTGAGTTGAGCCGCTGAGTTCCATGAGATGGTGCTGGACGCCAGGGACTGAGCCTTCTCCACCCATCGCAGAACAAACTCCAGCATTTCATGAAATTCCTCCAACTGTACAGCAGCCTTTTGAGTTCATTAGAAAACAAAGAGAAATGGAGGATTATTGATGGTCAAAGCCATAAATTAGCCAGTTGAGTGACATTTATTCTGTTTTCAATTGAGTGCTTCGATTCCCCCACAGGAACCCTGAGGTTTGATATTGGATTACTGATTTTATCACAGAGGTTAGAGTGACCCCAAATCAAAGTGTGGAGCTCTGGCACTCAATACTGAAACCCATTCAGGGTTGTGAGATTTCATCAATCCCACGTCTTGTATCTAACAAATAATAAGAAACAGCAGTAAAGGCACAGCTATCAAGCAACGTTCAAGTTCAAAATCAACAATATAAAAGGGCATGCTGAACGAACAACCCAATGTTCATCTTCCTTTACTGGTATTAAGCTCTGTTCGTAATCACAATCAGAGGAACATCAATGGTAACTGCAGTGTACACGCTACATTGGTTACCTTGTTGAGTTTGACAGCCCGGTATTCTGTCTGCCTGCAAACCTGCTGATAAAGGCTCGACAGTTTTATCACACTGTCTGTCAAATGTTTACTCTGTTGAGGATTTTGCTCTGTGAAATCTTGCACCATCGCATCCAGCTCCACGAGCTTCACGTTTGAACTGTCCAGATCATCCTTGATTTTCTGTAAGTACAAGATGTTCACATTCAGCGCGGTGGTTCCTGACAAATTGCAATTCAGTTTATTTCTCAGCAGGTTTCCGATGGCAGGATTCTAAAGGAAAGGGGAATTTCTCCCAGGATCCAGGCCAACAATCCTCCAGATTAAATGATCATTCACCTCATGGCTGTTTGTGGGATCTTGCTGTGTGGAAAATGGTTGTGATGTTTGCCAAGAAAAAAAGAGGTGACTACATGTGACAATTAAAGCATATAATTTAAACACTTTGAGGTGTTTTAATGTTTTGGGCACTATAATGAACTATGCAAGTTCTATTTTCTCCTGCTACTGAGCCACTCCTGTTGTACAGTGTAATGCTCACTATAGAGGTCCCATAAAAACATCCAACCACAGTGTAGTCTAGGCTGACACTCTCATGCAGTACTGGAGGAGTGTTGCATTGTCGGAGGTGCCATTCCTTCAGACGAGATGTTAAACCAACATCCCGTCTGCTTGTTTAGGTGGATATTACCCTGATCAAAAAAAGAAAGGAGTTTCTCCCACTGATCTGGGCAACAATAATAGCAATCCTTGCATTTGATATAGCGCCTTATCACATCTTCGAGACGTCTCAAAGTGCTTCACAGAATACACTGCAAAATCCGCCCCAGATTTAAAAACAAACTTGCTTTACGGGACATTGCTGTGCATAAATTGGTTGCCATGTTCTCCTACAATTACATTACTTTACCAAAATCTCTGTTGTTGTTTTAGATGTTTTAATGGGATAAGGATTATTATTAGTTGGAAACAACAAATGTAATGGCAACAGGTTTTTGTCCTGCTCGTGTTGGTTTGCTTATGGGTAGGAGAAACTCAAACATTGTGGTTTGAAGGAATGTATTATTGTAGATCACCATCACAATCCATTCAAGGTCTCAACATGTTGCACTGTACCATTACAATTTGGCAAAAAGTGGAGGTGACTAATGTGACTAAAAGACACATTGTGTGTTCACTGTTTTTAATTCCTCTCATACCATGTCTGTAAATACAGGGATTTCTGCCAATTAACCTTCATGTAACAACAAAGAACATTTCAATTAATTGCTAAGAACATGATTAAATGCTAAGAGTATAAGCTGTTTTCGCAACACTGCGTAACAACCTTTTATGACCTGGGAAGAACTATCAACATGTACACCAACAGGACACCACAGCACCCCAGGTCTCCTCATGGACATTTGACCAAAGTTGTGTCACAAAGCACTATTGTACTTTATTCTAATGCACTGAGATGTATAGGTTCAAGAGAAACTGAGGCTACTTTCACTAGAACAGAGACTCAATAGAGGTGTTCAAAATGATGGTGGGGGTTGATAAGGTAAATAGGGAGGAAGTATATCCACTAGAAATACAGGGAATAGCTGCAAGACCATTACCAAAACAAAGGTTTCAGAGAGCCAGGCTCATTCAATTAGAAACACTGAACCCCAAAACGTTACTTTTATTTAAGAAAACACAACTTATATTACAACTGGAATATAAGGCATTGTCTCAGACATTCTGCTGAGTTTTTCATGTTTGCGTGTGGAGCTGCAGTAGAAGCAACACAAGCTGAGCTCCTATAGTTAACCTCAGAAATGTTAGCACAGAAAGAGGCCTGTTTTGTCTGTTACGTGGCCGTTTGCCTCAACATTAACCATGATATTGGCATGATTTGAACCCCAAGTACAGTTGGTAGATGCTGCCGAACAGGTGGAAGAGTCTAGTGACAGAATAGTCCATTTCTTTAAATAATTCTCATACCCAGACAAACACAGCTCTCTAGTCATTTGGTGCATCATTCGCTGTTGAATAACAACAGTATGCAATAGCTAGTACAGATTATTGATTTGTATTATGTACACAGTTCTGTAATAAAACAGGGACAACTTTCCCCTTTACCTTTTGTTCAATTTTGGCTTGCACTATGTCACTTGCTTTGTCGCTAAGTTTTCTGGAAATATTATTCAGTTCTTCAGAAACATTCTCAATTTTGCTGTGAAACTGCAGGCTCGCTGCTCTTGTGTGTTGAGCTTCTTCTTCCTTTATTTTCATCTAAACATCAACAAAACACAACAGTTCAGATGAAATGCAACAAAGTACAGTTTAGGTTTTAATTTTGCGGGTGACAACTCAATCCATTCTTTACTTGTGTTGGGTGAGTGAGGGTATTGCTTAATTTACCTTCTTCAGGATGAGGGTGGTCTGTGCTGTAAAATGGGACATTTTTCTCCCTCCCACTCCACATATACTCAACCAGCATCAAAAGCAAGCCCTCCCAAATCAGATAGCATCTGACAATATGTATAAATGCCAACCTTAGATCAGCACTCATCAACCACACAAACCTTCCTTTGCCTTCTCAGAGTGAGACTGACAATGCATTAGCAGATTAAACTGTGGCTTCTTGTGCACCAGAAATTTATTTCATATGGGACTGACTGAGATGGCAGGAAGAGGAAGCTTACTTCCCACCCGGTTGGGCTGAATTCAAGACTAAACTGATCCAGCCCAACACTCCAGTCACCGACTTTCCTCATTTTTTTTCCTAAAAAAACAGAGCTTAAGTGAAACTATTGCCCTTTCACTATGGACTATGGGCAACCTCATGTGGACAGATGGTCTCCAGTTAAAGCTTCAGGCAGTCTGGTTTGTTACATTTTGCCCTAAGTATGAAACCAAACAAGGAGATGAACTGCAACTCCACCTGTTCTTCAATGGCTCCCAGGGCCAGTGTCACCTCAGCCAGCTGCTCAGACAGCTCACAGGGCAGAATGGTATAAAGCTCCAGATACTTGTTCTGCTGTCCTTCTGCGAGCTGCTCAACAACCTGTTGCCGAGCAGCCACCTCCTTCTGCAGTTCCTAGGAACGAGAAAAATTCAGTGAGGTGAATGAACTATAAAAAACTGTGAATAAATCAGTAAGATTTATCTGGTATGAAACAGAGAAGATGTTTGAGTCTGAATTCCTAATCAATAGCAACTTGCAATTATGTCTTTCAGGTAGGAGGAAAACCTCTTAGAATAATTCACAAAAATCCTTGGAGTTCACTGAGCAGAAGAAAGGAGGGGGGATTTGAGGAACTTGACCAAAAGCAAGGTTCAGCCAAATCTCCCTAGAAAACCAAACAGTGCATGGATCTAACGCTGAGTTTAACAGATGATTGACATTTGTGTACCTTTAATTCCTGGAGTTGAGTATCAGCGTCAGCAAGCGGTTTCTGCAAATATTCCTTTGTCTCCTGAAGCCATTGTTTTATCTTATGTAATTCATTTCCCACGTCTTCCCGGTCTTTCAGCTCCTGTTGAACCATTTTCTTGCTTTTCTTTATTTTCTGTCGAACACTACAAACAAAATAAGAGGTTTTAATCATTTTCTGCCTGAACAATGTGACAATTGTATAAAAAGAGACATGCTCCTCTCCTCACTCTCAAAGTGAGACATCGTTCCTCCCTTAGCCATTTACATGATTCGGATTCCTTATTAAAGAATTCCATTAAGAAATATCGCAAATTGGACACCAAACTGAACAGCTCAAATCCCATCGTAAGAGCATATAGTTTGCGGCAGAGGGAGTTTCACTCCAAAATATACCGATTTCAAACAGAAAATTAAGTTGAAGAATTGTCACATTGCAAATATATAACAGAAAATCCAAATGCGTTATGCGGCCGATAACTATTTGTGTATTGATTCACAATAAAGCAATTCTAATGTCAACCATCAGATCAGCATTGTTTTTAATCTTACCAGAACGCAAACTGCAGCATCTTTACTAAGGGATCGCTACAGTACTGAATACTTCCTGTGATCTACTTACTTGTCATATCTGTCCTGCATAGCTTTAATTTCATGCATTACTGGATAGTCTTCAATGGAAGTTGAAGGCATGGCAACATCTCGGAGCATGTTCAGGGCTTGTTGTCTGAGTACGCTTAGAGTGGCGTGTTCCCGTTCTACTTCCTTTGCAAACCCATCATGGTACACCAAAAGGTCGAGTAACTCATTCTTTCTCGCCTTTTCAACTGAGCTGTCAGGTAACCGGTCTTGGAACTGATCCACAATGATAGTGGTTGTTTCAATCTGTGAATAAATAAAGCAGTTAACAAGCAGAGTCCAGTTCAAAGAGAGTAGTATTGTCAATTTGATATTTAAAGTGCATCAGATATTCACTACAATTAACAGAAAGCACTAAAACAGAAGAAAGGAAGTACAATGTTGCTGATTGCTGACTTATTAATTCCATTGCCCAGTATGTAATTGAGACATCCAGATCAGAAAGGCTTGAGGCTTAATCATTGGTTTGTCTAGAGCGAGCTGATCTCAGCGGGAGAACTACATTTACTCTCAGTGACTGAGCGAGGGAGTGGGGGGGAACAATCATTCAGATTTCTCAATACTAGATTGTATGTTAACGTGAGAAGACCCCAAATTATTCATGAAATTTAAATAATGCAGAATTTTTTAAGGTTTTCAGATTCCGTCTCAATATGGAGGCTGGTTCAGGTTTGGCTGTTGACACTCACTCATCTTGAGTGATTCAGTGGAATGTGGAACTGAACCCCAGCACAAGTCAAGGAGAGAAAATCAGAGGGGAAAATGAAAAAATTTCAAAAGATGATACAAGTAATAATAATCCTTGCATTTGATTTAGCACCTTTAACATGTTGTTCAGGTGTCTCAAAGCATTTCACAGGATTTTGCTCTAAAGTGCAGTGATTTTGCATTAGCAGGTGAAAGCAACAGCAAATTTTGCACTGTAATGTCCAACAAACAGCCATGAAATGAATGATGTTTAGGAGACTGTTGGCTAGGACACTGAGAAAAATTCCTTTCTCTTTTCGAATTGTGTTATGGGTTCTTTAACATCCACTTGTAAAGGGAGATGTGACCTTGATTTAATATGTCATCCAAAGGAAGCCACCTCCAGCAATGCAAAACTGCCCCAGCGATGCAGTGGAGTGTCATTTCAGGGGATTGTGAGGTCTAAGTTCCAACATTGGTTAATATCAATGGCTTGAACACGTAAATCGAATACACTAACTTTTCTTTTGTGTCAGGGGTTCTCTGGCAACCGTGAAAACTCATCGCTGTGCTTAAGAATCTCCAATCGAAACTACTCGACACACAAAGGCGACTTCCACGTTTCGCCCACACACATACAGTCAATTCGCTTTACAGCATATTCCGTGAAGCGCTTTGAGACGTCTAGAAGACGTGAAAAGCGCTACATCAAATGCAAGGATTAGTATTATTCCTTCATTAAAAGTGCAGTTTGTTAAGAACCTTGGCAAAGTGAAAACAAAGGGGGAGGGAGATTTGGGAATGGTTACAAACAGATAAATGAGTAGCAGGTACGTAGATATGTCTCAGGCACACTTTACGAAGTTCCACTCAGACACCAATCTACTCCTGGCTATGGGAAGACTCCTTTGGCTGAAATCCAACTTCATGGAAGTCAGATACAAAATTAGTATCCTGATGGGGTTCCAGTGGATTATTTAGTAATGCTCTTGAGAATCTTGACTTGTGAACCAGATTGGCCATGAAAGACTTCAGCAATACTCCAACGCACACTGTGGGGTCCCCAAGCCTTGGCTCTTGCCCACCTGCAATTAATACTGTCTGAATTAGGTAAGCAGGATGTGTCCCTCTAGGGAGAGAGTGCATATTCCATTCCAGCAACCTAGCTCTGGGATTCCCATGTGTAGGTGGGAAGCATGGAAATCTGAGTTTGGTTTGAATACTCTTAAGCATGGGGATGGGTTTCCGCATGTCAGACACCCGGCTGACCAAAAAGAAAAGGCTACAATTCCCTTTTCTACCTTGTTAGTGAGATTTTTCCAGCCATGCGCCGCTTCCTCCAGCATCTTCTCCTGCTCTCGGGCCACACTGCGGAGCCGGGTCCAGCGCTGCCACACTGTTGTCATTGACCTGCTTATGGTGGCCTTGCTGGCGTCATTGCCCAGCTTTTCCAACAGTGAGGCCTGCTCCTCCAGCGCTGTGATCTTCTCGTGAAAGGAATTCACCGTGTCCAACAAGGACTAACATACACAAAAAAAGGTACATTTTAAACTTCACATGAATTACTGACTTAATGTGTATCAGAAACGCGAGCACCTTCCCTTCGTCCACCACTGACCTTGTGCCGAGTCAGTTTCTCTTCACTTTCGTGGCTAGTCGCTGCCTTGGCGGTGGAGAATTCGGACAGTTTCCTCTCGGCTTGGTTCATCAGTTCAATGATCTGCTGCCTGGCTTCCTGATATGTGCGCCAGTCTGTGACACACCTAAGCAGAATGTGCAACACTCCAGTTAGGTAAACACCACAATAAATAACAACTATCATCAGAGCAGTTCTGATCTAATAATAAATAGTAATTCTTTCATTTGGTTTGGCGCTTTATCACTTCATCAAGACTTCTCAAAACGCGTTACAGGATATACTGTAAAGTGGATTGATTGCATATTTTGTGGCCGAAACTCAGCAGCCTGTTTGCACACAGCAATGTCCCACAAATAGCCATGGAGTGAGTGACCATTTTTATTTGGGGGATTGTTGGCCAGCAAACCAGGAAAGAGAAAGTCCGGTCATGGGGTTTGAACCCACAACCTTCTGACTCAGAGGCGAGAGTGCCAGGCTGACCCACACGTATCAGGAAGATGCCTCAAAGAGCTTCCTCACAGGATTTACCGTAAAGTGTAGTGAATGTGAATTTTGTAGGCGAACTTAAATACAAACCAAGGTAATTAACTATATGATAGCACAGCAACTTAAACCATAAAGCCAAAATATCAGAAGCAGAGATTTCACTGGAAATCGCATCTGATAATGATCATTCTCTTACCTTTGCAAGATGTTGCTCTGTTCTTCAGCTTGCTGATTTGTACAGCTTCTTTTTTGCTGCAATGATGCAGAACTCTGTTGAACTTGCTCCTTCCCAGCTACTTTGAGGAATGGCAAGAGCTCAGGGACTAAGCTCTGCAGCTCTGTGAGCTGGCTCATCACATTATTTTCTGTTTCAAAAAACTCTGCATGGCGGCTGAAAGCTTCCTCAGAGCCTTCCACATCCACTCCCTCACGGCTCTGTTGTAAAAGCTCACTGGCGTCATCCAGCCACCCACTGACATCCTGAAGTGCTCGATGGTAATGTTGGATCAGGGCATGGATCTGATCAAGGGAGGCCTGACAGAGACAAAATCATACCAATGCTTAACACACCGACCTGGCCGCTCCCTTCGCTCAGCAGGCACCAGTCTCCTGCATGTTCCCTGTCCTACCCAGCATCAGCTGACAGGGTTTCAGTTTATCATCCCCTACTTTCTAGAACTCCATCCTGGAGTCCCCCTTACTCTCTCCCTCGTTCAAGGTCCGTCTCACGATCTACCTTTTTGACCACACCTTCAGTCATGTTTTTCTTCCCGACCACTGTCATCTCCCACCCCCAGCTCAGGAGCCAAGACGTTATTGTTAAGAGTCTTGGGATGTCCTCTCAATGTGAAAGGTGCTGTATAAATAGTAATTTGTATTGTATTGCATCAAAAATATACAGTCATCCCAGACCAGGGGTGCTAGGGAAATATACAGTGCTCTTATTTCAGGTAATGTTTGACTGGAAATTTCATTAGATTGTCTTTGAACAGAGAGACAGTACCTCAGTTTAAGGTCTCATCTGAAGGATGGCCCTCCAACAATGCAGCAAACCCCAATACAATACAATTTACACTTAGTTAGCGCATTTTATGTTGCGAGTACATCCCAAATCACTGCACTGGAGTGTCAGCCTGAATTGCAAGTTCAAAGTGCTATCGTGGAGCTTGAACCCATAACCTTCTCATTCACAGGTGAGAGCCAATTGAGCCAGGCTGACACCCAAACTATAGGACCAGGAATTCAAATACAATTCAACTGAATTAAAGATCTACTTGCAGTTGCAGAGGTAATAGGGGGCAACAACAACAACAAGATTCCATTTAGGGTGGCAAGTGACCCCCAGCAACCTTTGGGTATATGTATGACGTCTTTTGAAGCATATTATGCAATATTCTGCACTGGTGATCACTTGAAAGCTCGATTGTTTCGGCTTATGTTCCGGCTGCAGTTGCAAGCTTGCCCGTGAAACAGCTGGGTGAGAGGGGAGGGGTGGGGGGTGGAAAATGCATGCAGCTCGCCATGATGGGTCCTCCACAAGGAGGCAGCCCTGCCAGGCAACTCAGCAAGTTACTAAGAAAACATTTACACAGAAATGCGTTGAGATAAGAGACATGTTTGTTAAAATCTAGAGGGTGATGCACTTGTATCAAAGATAGGGACTCACCTTCTTCATGCTTAAGCTTTCCTGAATGTCAGCCTCCAGAAGAGAAAGTTCCCTGAGATTCTTCTCTACCTCAGTCGGCATGAGTTCCCTGGCTTGGGTGTATTTGTCTTTCTCTCTACTGCTCAGAGCTGCCATGATCCTAAGACTCGACTGTACTTCTTCCTCGAGGATCTGGCATTTCCGAATCTCTTCCTGGATTGCCTGAAGCTTTACGTCCACATTTATTGGAATGCTTAGATCACCCTTAATCTCTCGCAGCCAATCAAGAGTGCGCTGGATTTCACTCTGGAAATCTATCCTCTGGACGAGTCTGCTCTCACATTCCATGATTCGCTCCCCTATCATCCCTTGTGCTAACTGAAGGTCCTCTTGCCAAGAGTGGACTTGTTGACTCCTCATTTCATAAACTCCGCTGTCGAGCTCAGGTGACAGTTGTTCCACTTGTTCCAGTAACTTTTTTAAGAGAGAGCTGCTCTCCTGCACGCTGCCAGCCAGAGAGTAGCACTTCTTCAGCTTCTCCTCAGTGGAAAGGGTTTCCTCGTTCACTTTGAGCAGTTCATCTTTCAAAGCCTTCAGCTGTTCTTCCAACTCCAGCGACATTTCTTCATGTTCTCTGTGAGTTGCGATGGTTTCATCCAACAGGCTGACTTTCATCTCGATCTGCCGTCTTAGTCTGTGGTAAAGGCTGGCTAGACTTGCCATGGCATCCGGTTGCCATGGTTGCCCTGTAATCCGAAATGTCTCTTTCCTTTGGTTCAGCTCATCCACGGCTTTACCAAGGTTCACAACCTCTTCGAGAAGAGCTTTGTAATCGTCCTGCAGTGTAGTGGTCTCTTCTGAAGAAAGGTTAAGACGAGCCTTGCTCATGAGAACAAACTGGTCCTCCAATTCACTCAGTGCCTTGCTGGTTAGTTCAATTAGGGAAGAGTACTCCTTACGGCCTGCAATCGCCTCCTGAACCTTATCAGACTTCTCTTTTGCGAGTGCCACGAGGCTATTGAATTGCTTTGGCAGAGCATTTAACTTCTCGTCTAAAAACGAATGATCCATTTCGCTGAGTGACGGCAGCACCTCGCGGCCAGTTCTCTGCACCAAAAGAAGAAGATTTTCATACTCAGGTGACTCCTCCAGGATCTGTTGGTATTTGCTCAGCTGTGAAGACAACTCAGGGTCGCTGTTCATTAAACTGACCTCCGCAAAGGTCATGATGTCGGTCTGTTTTAGCCAATAACAGACCTTATCCATATCTGCCTTGAAATATTTCCGTGAAACTAAGATTTTTTCCAGTTCCTGCAGTCTCTGAGCAGATTTCTGTAGTCCGGAGTCGTATACACTCTGCAGCTGTTGCAATTTGTTCAACATTTCCCCATTTTCTTCCTCAGTAGCCTCCTTCATCAGCTCCCTCCCTTGTGCCCACAGAGCCGTCACCTCCATCTGATGCTCCTTCAGGCCGCTATGTGCGTTCCTGCACATCCTGATTTGCTTGTTCACATCAAGCGGCATGAGAGCGATGTGTTCCTCAGACATTGCTTTCTTCTCATTCTGATGTATCCAATTGATTGCCTGCGTGACAGCCATGAGGAACTGCGTCCTGTCTGACAATGCTTTGCTCAGGTACTTTCTCCTCTGACTGAGCGCCTCACTCAGTGAATTCATTTTATCCTGCAGCTCAACGAGGGTCCCCTGGAAACGCTGCCGCTCATCAAGTCCCAAATGTGCCAGGATCCTCTCGGCTTCTTTCACCGACGCTCCGTGGACTAACTGCTGGGATTCGAGTTCGTTGCATATGGTGATGTGATCTATCAGCAAAGTCTGTGCTAGCTCCGCTGGAGGGCTACATTTCAGAGCTTCAGATAAGATGGGCTGTTGGTCCCCTGCCCACTCCAGCAATTCCTCCAGTTTGGCCTGACACAGGCTCATCTCCTCCAAGGTTGTAACAGATGCCTGGATTTTCTTTTCTATTAAATTCTCCAGGTGAAGCCATTGTTTCTCAAAGTGACTGGTCTGCTCTTTGACCAACTCTTTATCGTCAGAGTTCAGACGATCCATCACTTTCTGCTTCTGTTCTTTCAGATCATCCAGGACAACCTTCTGACTCTGCACCACGCTCGCCAGTTTCCGCAAGGCTTCCAGGTGACCAGCCGTACTTTCAGCATCAGCTCTGTTGGAAAGAAAAATGCGCAACTTTGTCATCACCAAAAACATCTTCTCCCGTAAAATGGACCAATCTGGTTCATCTAAATAAAACATTTTTCTTTGTTCTTTGCTGGGCCAAATAGTAAGTTAAACAATTTATCACAAGGTAAAGTCAGTTCAGATGAAGAAGGCCCTTCAGCCCATTCAGTCTCATCCTTCCAGAATACCCACCCTGCCACCTCCTAGTACAACATCAAATGGTTTCTTAAATAAAATCAGGTCTCAACCACCCTTCTCCATCTGTTGTAGATAGCAGGACTACACAGTATTATTTTATTTCAGTCTAATCCCAGATTATTCCATGTGTAATTCTGTTTTAAGCATTATTTTATTTTGTTTCACTGGTTCCTGTACTCACCTTGCTAAACTGTCCCATTCTTTGGCGAACTTGTCCAAGAGCACTTCCACTATATTCATTTGATCGTGGTAATCCCTTGCCCTTTGCTGGTCCTCCTCCCTCAGCACAAGGAGTGAGTTGACCTGATGGCACAATTCTAACCACTGGTTGCTTAACTGACCGATCTCCGAGTGTTCTGGGGACTCGTGTCCTTTTGTTAGGCTGCTGACTTTCTCTGTGAGGGCTGTGATAATATTCTGCTTGGACTGGCACTGTTCACCCAATTCCTTATAAACAACAAAAAAGTTTTACGTTTTATTAACACTTGAGAACAATGTATTAAAAACATTGTTTTGCACCTCTCCCTGAATGTCCTTTACAATAAGGCACCACATATGCTTCCACAGTAGGATCATATGTTACCAACAACAACTTGCATTTATATAGCACAACTTCATGGTGGATAACATTGATAACTTTACATCCAGTCATGAAGCAAGAACTTTCACAGCACATGACAGCATAGTGATCCGGAGCAAAACATAAAAGGAAAATGATTTAATGAGATGTTTGGTATTGTTTGGGGTTTTAGCTTCATGTCTAGCAGCCTCTATTGTGTACCTGAGCAGACTGAGCAGGAGCATTGATTAAAAATATGCAAGTAGTAATGAAATAGGGTAGAATTCTAATTCTCACGGATTGGAAAGACACAGTTGGTTTGATCTCCATTCCATATTAGTTCTCGATTCAAATCGCATTGAAAGGGGAGATGCAGAGGATGATTCCCTTTACTGACCTTGCTGGGTAACGGAATCTTATTCTCCACAGCGTTGTGAGTGTATAAATAGGAAAATCCAATTATAAGCTCAGACTGCAGAGTGAGAGGAGATTATGGCTCCCTTGGCTAACAAGGTTAATATGTTTCTCAGAGACTGAATAATCTCCCCAAACAGGGTGTAGACAGCAGCATCTCCCCAAACAGGGGAGGGAAATTGAAATTGGGAGATATTTTGCACCTTTTAGTAGCCAGGCATTGAGAAGAATTTGGAGAATGTGCTAGCTTTCTACCTGTTCAGTAGGAAGGAGTCCGAATCCAAACAAACTGAAGAATTAAAGATGACTTGAAAAATTAATGAAACAATTTTTTTTCTAACCAAATTGTTGAAGTGTAATAAACATTACAAACTGGACGACAATCTCAAATACTATCATTGATCAGATTGAAGAAAGGTATGTCTCACCTGAACCTGGGCCTTCTGCTTCTGTGTGATTTTCTGCTCAAGCTCTGCTGGCTGTCTCTTCAGGGTCTGGAGATACTGCTCAGTGTCCAGGAAATAGGCTGAGAGTTCAGCCTTCTGACGTTTTATTTCTTCCCAACCAAGCGCCAGCTCCTGAGATCTGACCAGGTGCTGCTCAATCTGAAAGGAAATGGGTATGTCTTTTTTAAAAAAACAAGCATTAGCCTCTTTTATCCCAATTCTCTACTTCCCACCTCCCAATTTCCTATCTACACTTGCTTTGATTTTAGCTGGCAATCACTCATAAAGATCAAATGTCTGAAAATCATGTACATGATGACTATCGATCCTCCACTATCTACCACAGAGTGGTTCTGCTGAAGAACGTTAAGTTAGACAGGACCTAGCGACCATGCTGACTCTCTCTAATCAGCTTATACTTATCTAGGTGCTCAATTATTTTATACCTGATGCTGGATCTTGGCAAGTTTCCTACACCTGGCTTTGGGCCGTCCTCCAGACGTGAAAAGTGCTTTACAAATGTAATTTTGTATTGTATTGTATTAAACCCTGCCCAAAAGTTATTGGGATGATTATTTCCTTGGCTTACAAATTCATTCTTTAACAACAGTAACGTTCTAAGTTCACAGGCTGTCCACTGGATGTCCCAAGAGTGTTCAACACCATAAGGAAGGAAATCTAGTGTTTATACTGTACTGATAGGAGTTGTACTGTTCCCAGATGGTAAGACACCAGTGAATTCACACCATCCAGGACTCTATACTGCATGTTTGTCAGTGAACCACTACCACAGTTGTAGCAATTTGCCGTCAACTCTCCAGCAACAATGAGAATATTTTAGAATCAGGGGCCTGAAATTTCTCACCGTCTCACGGAATATTGTCATAAAATTTAAGATTACACAGAATTTTGGAAAATTCTTAAATTCAGCTCATTTCCCTCAGAACATAAAAGGAACCAGATTCCAAATTAAGAATAAATTTTGCCTCTTTCAGTCTGGGAGTGAATGCATTTTGTTTTAAAAATGTAAAACCATGACAGCCTGTGTAAGGTCAAGGAAACAATAATGATAATAATCCTTGCATTTGATAAAGCGCCTCATCATTTGGGACGTCCTCCTGACGTGAAAAGCGCTATATCAAATGCAAGGATTATTATTATTATTATCATGGTGTTAAGACGCCTCAAAGCGCTTCACAGGATATCCTATAAAGTGTGTATTTTGTGGGCAAAAATATCTCCAGGTGTGAGAGAAATATGTCTTGGTTATTTGGTTTCCTCATACCATTTGTTTGGCGCACTGGATCTCTGTCGCTGCACTCTTCACTGTGGCATCTGATAAGTCACACATGGAGCAAAGGAGCTCCAGGTAAGTACTGGCTTGTTCCTGCAGAGTTCGATAGTGTTTCACCTGTGAAGAAGGAAAAGTTCAGAGTTCTTAAAAGTGGACACTCTTAAGCATGGTGACGGGTTTCTGCATGAGTCATACACCCGGCTGATGACCAAAAATAAGAAAACAAAAATCGGCACATCAAGCTTGCTGCCTTCCTCCATAAATCATTCAGAATCTATCCTAGTATAACCTTCGCCACATCTGTCATACAATCGAGACATTTCCTGCTCCTCAAAGGTGATCAGGTTAAAAATAACGGAATATTCATCCAACCCTAAATTCCAACTTTTCAAACCGATTCTCTATTCCTATACAGGCAGCATTCACACCACTAGACGCCCCCACCCCACCCCTCAGCAGCACACACCCTACTCTGCCACACAGCGATCTCAAGTTAAAAGCAGGCAGAATCATACAGTCCACAATTTTAACCAAATAGTTTCAACTGAAACAAAACAAGTATAACATTGCACTATCTGGTTTCCTGGGATAGACTTACAAAGGAAAAGCAACAGGAGACCATCGCAATTTCATTCCAGCTTTGCAGGTAACCCCACTGTGGGGAATAGCTGCACTTCCACGGGATAGAAAGAGGCTTCAAGAAGCCAATTGAACAGGTTGGTCCACCTACCAACCTACATCCGTGACTCTTCTGACGCCCTCCGCCACTTCAACAATTTCCAGTTCCTGGGCCCTGACCGTCTCCTCTGTGACCGTTACCACATCATCTTGGTCCCAGACACACTTCTTCTCTCCCTGATCTGCCTGTTTTGTTGCAAGTTCTTTTCCCCCCTTTTGTTCCGCAGTATTAACACCACTATTCCCCTGCTTTGTTGCAATCTCCCCCTTTGTTCTGCATCATTAACACCTCTTCAACCCATCATCCCCTGCCTTCTACCCCATTTTCTCCTTTGTTTTCCTTGCCCTGCCTCCCCCCTCTCTGTTAGCCCTTAAAAGCCTCTCCCTCCCAACATGCCCCAGTTCAGACGAAGGGTTGTGGACCCGAAACGTTGACTCACTTTCCTTTCTCCATAGATGCTGCCTGACCTGCTGAGTGTTCCCAGCGACTTCTGTTTTTGTTGTGAACAGGTATGTGCTTTGTTACCTGTTTGAGTGCATTAACTGAGCTGATTGGAGGCTGAGTCTGGAGCTGCAGCTCTTGCTTCACCGTACTGAGCCACATCTGGCATTGCTGCAGTGTGTCCTGGTGGCTGACGTGCTTTTGAAGTTCTCGATCCAGGCTGCAATACACCTGGGAATACATTACAGAACACACTGCATGATGCACCCAATACAATCTAAATCTGAGCACAGGTGTAACGTTCTGCTTTGCGCTGATTTACTACACATCAGCTCTGCGATAATTGGCAAAAGAACTAGAGGGGAGATGAGGAAAATTTTGTTTGTAATGGCTGCAAGGCTTCAGGGAAATCTTTAGATGCTCATTGACAGAACAGAGAAACAAAGTGGGTTCGGAGAATTCGTGAGAGACATCATTATAGAAAGGAGTTTGATCGAGGTTGAGAGGGAGACAAGTAGAAGCTGCAGAGTAAAAGTGGATTAAGCACTGTGGAAGGGGAAAGACCTTGGAGAGATAAGCGGAAGGGAGGGCAGAGGCTTCTGAGTCAATAGTCTCAAATTTAGCAGCAGAAGTGGCACTTTACTCTCGGAATTATTGGGGGACCTGTGTTAGTTTGGATACTGAAGTACTCAGAGGAATTCTAACTCAGTCTGTCTACCAGAGATGTGAACAAACATAGATGTGAGAATTGGGATTCTTACTCTTTGAGCTGTGCTACAAATGGCAGAGTAGCTGTCCCTGATCCCCTGCAGATTGGCATCAACCTGCTGTTTAAACTTTGCCTGCAACTCCTCCGTGCAGTTGGCGATCAGAGTGTCTCCTTTGCCTTTCAAACTTGTCAAAACGTGTTCAAATCCCGCTATCTCTTCCATGATTGGCTGTTGGAAGAGAATAAAATCAACTAGGTGGTGTTCAGCATCCCTCCAGATCCAAGATATCAGGAGTAACATGAATTTCTTATTTGCATCGGGACTTGATATTTGTAACGTTCTAACGTGAACATCAAAACAGCTAGCGGGATCGAGATCAAAGAATTACTGCTTTATGGTCTAAACAACCAGTGGTCCAAATGCTAACTGTATCTCTTTACCACACGTACCTTGTGTCTGGCCAGATGCTGGGTTGCCATTTCTAGGTTGTTGCTTTGTGTTGTATCCGGTGCCACCAGTCTGGTAGACATCTGCAGCAGCCACTTTTCGACCTCCTGCAAGTTGCTGTTGTAATCTTCATGCTCTTTTACTTTCCCTTCCAGATTCTGCACGCAAACCTTATATAAAAAAAGTGGCAAATATTATTGTCAAGTGATGTTGCAAGGTTTGCTTCTTTGCAGAATTTTTCTATGGATACAATCACATTTTTACAAAGCCTTTTATGTGTTTCTTAAAAGTAAGCATGTTATGTAATACTAAACCAGTTCTGTTTTGTTAAGATACTACCGGGGATAAGAGGTTTAATTCATAATAATAACTAATAATCCTTGCAGTAGTGCCTCATCACATCGCCGAGATGTCGCAAATTGATTCACATGTAAAGTCGTGTGAGTATGTATTTTTTAATGAGGAAAAACTGAAGAAATTGGGGCGATTTTCCTTAGAACAGAGTAGGTTGAGTGAAACCTTTTAGTAGTTTTATAATTATAAAAAGTTTTAGCGATGTAAATGGGAGTGGTTATTTCCATTGTTTGGTGAGCTAGTAATTTGAGGCATACACTTCAAGTAATTATCAAAAGGGAAAAGAGACAAGTTAAGAGATTTCTATATTAAACATTGAGGGGTATTAGGATTGGAACTCCTGATCTTGAACCACAGGATGCGAGGTAGAATCTATACTGGCTTTTAAACAGGAATTCAATAAATATCTCAAAAGGAGAGATAAGGAGAAAAGGCAGAAGAATAGAACTACTGGATAGCTCTTTTAGACAAACAGCAACTTTCAAATGACATAGATATTTTTTTCATGTCCCTCCTTATCAATCTCCTTCGTCTGCTAGGAGATTACAATCATCTAGACAGAGGACATCTACATGGTTAACACCAATGATTAGCTATTCAACCTCAGCTCCACTCAGTTCCTGATCTTTGCTGTACCAAAGGAGGAAGTTGGGGTGTTATGGCAACCAGCTGGAGCATAGGAAGGGATATTGAGAGAGGAGAAAATATCCAGGCAGTCTCAACTGCATTCTGGTGGTTAGCGGTGGTGGAATTGTGGGAGTGGCAATTTATGTGCTCTTTTGACGATAGAAAGTCAGACCAAGTGGACCAAAGATGGATAATGATTTCAAAGGAAAGTAAAAAGAGTTTAGATAACAATATGCTCAAAGAGTAAACTCAGTTGAGTTTCTAGACTCGGGGGATACAGCAGATGGTGTTGAAAGCTTCACTACACTTAGGATACAACATGTTCCTTCAGCAATGGAGTGTTAGTGGAAGTGATTAATTAGATCTTTACTCAGTTCTAATTCCAACAATGAAAGATGTAATTTATTTTAAAATATTCAGTGCTATTATCCGTGAGATCTATTTTGGGATTCTCAGCATTTCACATCTGATCCGAATCTTAAGCCACCTCTCTTACTTACCCTGATCATGTTAAACAGCTCCTGGTACTCAGACAGCAACTTTCCCAAATTGTCACTGACGGCTACATCATGAACGAGTTCAAGAAGGGCTTCACCCTTCTCAATCACCAGCTTTATCCCAGGTTCGTGAGACACAATCGTTTGCTGGATGGTCTGAGACAAAACAAAGCGTTTCTGTGTTGTTTGATTATTAACTCGGTCGCTTTCATAGCAATTTCCATGGAACACAAAATTTGTACCACCAGTGGGCAGCCCACTCCACAACACTGAAAATACAGAATGCCGACTGCCACAGTTCTGGAACGTTAAGGGTTGTTTTCCAAAGCGGCAACTGATATACATGCGGGTGCAACATAGAGACTGGATCCAGAGCAACACATCTGTGTTTGAGGTCCAGAACCATACATCTGTGTGTCAGGTCCAAAGCAACACACCTGAGTGTCAAGTCAATGCCCGGACAAAATAATTTGTGAACCTCTTCAAGAGAGAAAACTGGAAAGCATGTATTGTATTGAATTAGTTCCTAAAATATCACTAAAACGTTACTACTTGTCCAACTTCTTCAGTCACACTTACCTTGTATTTTGCTAACTGGGCTTTCTTTTCATATAGTTCTGCTTTTGGTTCCACTGGGATCTGAAGGATCGCCTGGTATTCTGCCAGCCATTTGGTCTGACTCTGGTATTTGTCCAAGAACTCTTTTGTGAGATAGAGACATTTTTCTAGATTTCCGCGTTCTCTCCTGATGGCACCAGTCAGCTCTTCCAGCTGAGTAATGTGATCGTTCATCTCCTTCCGAAGCTGCTTGGCTTCATCTCCCTCCAAATATTCAATGGCCTTTTCACCCTTCTCGCGGATCATCTTCAGCAAACCATTACCAGCATCAATGTCAACATGCAGGACCTGGAAATGAAGCAAAGTGGTGTCAGGATGTGTAATGCATTTTCCAGCAGTCACACAGCAGTGATGCCCCTAAATAGCTTACTTAGCTGCCACCGTCTATTTGTAAGTGAGGTAAAAATTAAACATGGCAAAGGATTTTAGGCAGCTAATAGAGATCAGTTTGCCTTTTGCTCCCTCATTTATTATATCAAAGAGAATTTAATTACATTCTGCCTCAGTACAATACAATCAGTTTGGAATCTGTGTCCTGCTGTTTTGTGCATCACACTGGTGACAAACATGCAGTGTAATGCTGGCAATTTCAACACGTTTGAAGAGCACAGGCAGAAAGCTCACAGGGGAAAATGTGGCTTCACAACATTAGCAATGCACACATCAACTGCAACAGAATGCCAGACATCTGGCAGAAAAACACCCCGAGGTGAACCATACAATGCACACTCATGTCACTCGTACATAGTTGTGCTTCTTTTTGCACTTAACCCTAATGTGAGACTTCCACTCTGTGACCTTCTCAAGCAAGCGGAGAATGCACTGTTTTGTCTGACTGCGTTCAATCTAGAAAAATAATCTGATAAACATAACGACAGATCAACACTCAATTGCAGTGATCCCTTAACTGGTCCTAATTCATCACAGAAATTACACGTTCAGAAGGTCTATCAAGACTACGCTGCCACAACACCTATATTTGCCTCCAAAACACACTGTCACTTTACTTTACAGTGTATCTATCTTGTGATGCGCTTTATAATAATAATCCTTGCATTTGATATAGCGCTTTTCACGTCTTCTAGACGTCCCAAAGCGCTTCACAGAATATACTGTAAAGTGAATTGACTGTATATTTGTGGGCTTTGAGACGTCTTCCTGACATGAAAGGTACTATATCAAGTGCAAAGACTTTTTTTATTACCACTTCCTCCATTGAAAGTATATAATTCCAGTTTCTCATTCGTCCCCTAACTTTTTATATTTTTCCCCTTCAAATATTTATCAGCTCCTCTCTAAATATTGTTATGGTCTTAGCTTCAAGAGTCTCTTATCACAAATAATTCAATCTTCTAATAACAGAAAAAGCATCAAGGCCCTAAATTACCTCAAATTTGTTGATCTTGCTCTCCATGGCAGCTTTGTCCACCACATTCACCCCGACTGCCACATTTCTGAAGTTCTTCTGCGCAGCTCTTTGCCAGGCCGCAAAGGCACCCAGGGCAGAATCCGCATCCTCCAGCGTTTTCAATTCCTCTTTCAGCAGCTTCACGTGTTCCTTTAAAAGAGTAAACAGTCTCTTCAGCACTGAACGTAAACAAGCGCTAAACCTACTTGGAAAATTGTGTGCAAGAATGCTAGGGAGCTGCAGAAAACACAAGACTACACACACAAAAAAAAAAATAAGTGCACAAACGTAGACGCTTCCAAATCATTTCCAATTTGCCTTAGTTGGGAGCACTCTGGCATTCAAGGTCAGAAGGTTGTGGGTTCAAGCCCCACGTTGGGAGTTGAGCTCATAGTCCAACTGGTGCAAATCAGCTGTTGCATTTACCTATACGTCATTAATAGTCACTCCACTTGTCAGTAATTCAGGTGAAGCACTTAAAAATGTTTCAACATGATAAGGCACCATAAGAAGCACGTTTGTGTCTTTCTTTTCTTTCTAACACTAAGCACATTAAAAGACTTGGGCACCTTACATTGAAACCGATACAGAATTTGTTCAGGAGCTCAAGGTTCAGGATATAATAGGATTTTCAAGTTGATCTTATACGTACCATTACATGTAGCAGAATGCCCTGATATCTGGCAGCCAGTTGGGTAGCTTGACTTCCCACACGACTGTTTATATGGCTCTCCTCCAGCACTTGGTGAGCCAACAGTCCTACCTCGTCCACTTTATCCTTTCGAGCCAGGATATCGTCGTTCCATATCTAAACAAACATTTGTTTTAAAAAACAAAACAAATAACATACTTCAGACCGAAGTTTAACACAATTTCAAATACTATCCCTTTCAAAATATCAATGTTTACATGAGGTGGATCATCAAATAGCCATGTTTAACTGTGTGAGGAAGTAATGCTGTAACTGACGTAACAGAGAAATACAATCAAAGTACAAACAAAATTAACTAAAACTAGAGGGCATAAACATAAGACAGCTGGTGGTGGATCTAATGTAGAGTTTAGGAAGAAAGCAGAGGGTGGTGAGAATGTGGAAGCTGTGTTCAAAGCAAATAGGATCAATGTATGTAACAGAAAACTTGATGCTCATGAGGAAAAAGGGACCAGAGGGAATGGTAAGAGAAATAAGAGGGCTGGAGGCTTGTTTGGAGTATCAATACCGGCATGGATTAGTTGGGCCAAATGGCCCATTTCCACGCTGCATCACTAGGTAACTCTATGAAAGGCAAAGCGGTTTTGATATTAATACTATACTTACTTGCAACTGTTGTAGCTGAGCCTCCTTTGTAAGTCGGTCAGACTTTCTTCCAGTTTGGACACTGACATTCCTCTCCATGTTGGACAGCCAAGTGTCTGCTTGCTGAAACAGCTGTTCCAGCCGCCTGAGCATGCCCAGTGTAGTGTTAAGCTGCTTCTTGGATTCGGTGAGATTGTGCAGATACGTGTGCCAATCCTGCTGAACGGATTCAAGAATGCGATCTTCCAGGTACGAGGTTCCTGTCAACGCCACCTTCTCCTGAGCTCTAAACATAGCATCAACCAAGGACTGGCCCTCAGTGCAGTGCACCTCTAAATCCTACAAAACAATCATCAATTGCAGCATTAATAGACTTCAACAAAGCAAGGCAGGTCATTGTGCCTCTTTGTGGAGCCGTAACAGTAATTTCTATAATGATCAGTTTTACCTCTAGGTCTCGAAGTGTATTTTCGAGGGTCTCAACATCGCCCCCTAAGTGTGAACAGCAGCTGAGCTTCTCCTTTTCCTGCTCCACCCAGTCCTCAAACACTTTTAGGCCTTCCTGGTATTCTCGGTGAAGCTGAACCAATTCCTCAGCTTTTCTTGTTCCCTCCTAGAGAATAACAACAGGTTGTATTTACACAGAGCCCTTCATGCGGGGTAGCATTTTAGAACTCTTTAACATGAGATTAAACTATTTTGACCTGGACGGATGCTGAAACAATAACTGCAAACATTAACAGATATTCGCAGAGAGGAGCAGAATTTGCGGGATTAGTAACCCATGTGTAAACCATACGTGTTCAGATGTCCTTAATTACACCACTAAAAAGCAATGGATCTGCAGTTCGGGCAACACCGGCAGAGCTTGAGGGTAGTATAGACAGCTGGTGTCTCACACTCATGGACCAAAAAGACCAGAGGAGAGATGGAGAAATAAGACTGAACCTATCATATTGTAACATGAATTTCACGTATATGGGAGCAGAGAGAGTCTTCTCCATCGGACATGAGTAAGTTGATAACCATGTGGTGCATCATACTTATTGGAGGTGCTGCCTCCAAGAGTTGAGAACATGTGTGGATCTCCTAGCTTGTTTCGTCTTAGCTTGTTTAGCTCCAGAGACATTGCTTACCTTCGCTCATCCCAACCCAGATATTTTTGAACACATCTCAAAATGCAGAATGGCTTTAAGTGCACCCACGGGGAGCACCTTATTGCTAAGAAATTATGGGTCACATTGGACTTGGAACTGGGAGCTCCAGTTCCAAGTCAAATGTGACCCATGATTTCTTAGCAATAAATATGTTGGACAAATGGTCTTGGCTCCGAGTACCTTGGCTCGTTCTCTCAGAATACTATAGCGCTCTTGAAGCTCTTGCAGCTCCAGGCGTGTCACGTAGTACTCAGCCATGCTGGCACCTTTGACTTGTATAGTCTCCACAAGACTGCCATGGCTCAATGCCTCTTCGTACAGCAACTGAAAGAGAAGCAAGCCCTCACATTTTACCATAAGGAAAATAACCATACAGACATTCTCACTATATATTTGTTGTAACCACAACAGATAAAATAGTTTGGGATCGCATCGGATGCACTTAAAACATGAAGATCATCCTCCCATCTCAGTCAAAGAACTACCCAGAAAATTAATGCAGTGGGCCTGAAAAAGCACTCCTCAGGAATGTGCTGGCATTCCTGCTCATTTGCAGCTGGAAAAGCTCCCCCTGTCACAACCTACGTTTAAAACAGGGAAAAAAATCCAGTGAGAGTTCCATATGTGATTAGAATGGAAAATAATAATCTTTGCATTTGATATAGCGCCTTATTACGTCACTGAGACGTCTCAAAGCCATTTACAGGATATACTGTAAAGTGTATATTTGGAAATATGAGTTAGTGGCCAACATCAGCAAAAGCAACAAACATAAAACAATTTTCGCCCACAAAACACACAGTTACTGCACTTTACAGTATATCTTGTGAAGCGTTTTGAGATGTCTTGATGATGTGATAAGGCGCTATATCAAATTCAAGGATTATTATAACCCTCACCGGAATTTTTTCCCAACAAGTTTTATCTGAGTTGTCTGATTACCATAAAAAGAATAGTTTTTTCACCTCTGCTCCTCAGACATTACTCTCCCAGGGAGGTCAAGCAGCCGTCACCTGTCCACTTACCTTGGCTTTGCCCAAGGCTGCAGTTTTATCTCTAAGCTCTGTGTACTGCCTGTCAGAGACGTTTAGGTCTTCCTCCATTCGGTCCATCCAACTCACAAACTGCCGAACATCATCCTGGTAACTTGTCCACTGAGATAAAGCCCCTTCAAGCTGACTGAAAGTTAGAAAGATTGTTTTAAAATTAGAACAACAAATAAATTATCATTTCTGTAACTTATCATTGTGGCCCTGTTCCTGCAGCTTTTGACTGCTACCACTCTCTCAATGATCAACCCAACTCCCCATCTTTTGTTTATCAGGGCTCTCAGACCCCACACACATATAGATTCCTGTTTAAAATTTGCTTCCCAGTTGCTCAATTATTCAAACCATTATTTCACAATGGCTCAGTTAGTAAATACACTGACTAGTGTTGAACTGATCCTGCGAAGTCTGATGTTCAAGCACTGAAATGTGGTGTATACGCAGAAAGAATGGGGTGGGGGGAAAGGATAGGACAGAGTGTTCCCATAGAATTAATGCCAGAACAGGGTCAACATGCCAGTTGACCTACTCTTGTTCCTAAATTAACCCTTGAATTAATAAATGCGGCACAGAAGCCAAGATTATTGTTGATGAATGCCTTCACAACAACAGCAATAACAACAAGCACTTATATAGCGCCCATCACGCAGGGTAGTGTCTCAGAGCCCTTAAATAGCATTTATACAGCACCCTTAATGCACGTAATACCAATACCAAAGCAACAGTGTACCTTTTACATTGGATACAGATGGAGAGAAGTGAGTCCCAGGATTCTTTAAGATCTTGCATTTGTTGCTGAATAGCAGCGGAGCCATCTGGGGAGGTGCTCCTCAAAACAAACTCCCCGCGAGTCAGCACCATTTTCAGCTGAATCTCCTTCTCCTGTCTGAGAGACAGCAAAGCCTGTCCAAAGGGAAATACAATGAGTGGCAAACAAGCAAAGCTCTCAGCTTCCTTTCACCTAAGCCTCAGGCATTCTGATTCCCGAGTACTGTAAAGGTGAGATAAATATGGAAATACCTCAGGATAGACAATTATCAGCAATACGTTACGAAAGACAAACATTAACCTTAATTTCACATACTGATTCCTGCAGACCTTTGTTCCCAAGTAAGCCCTCCACTTTACTCCCCATCCTGGGATGGGCCATTCCCATCGCAACTACATCTGACACAGCTCACCTCGAGTTTTGCCATTCTGCTGTCCAACACATCTTTATCCGCTGTCAGATTGCAGTAGGACTCCACCATGTGCCTGCCATCGGCCAGCCAATCCTGTAGCTCCTTCAGCCCCTGGGCAAACTGCTGGTGTTCATTTACTGTTCTCTGCACTCTTAAAGCCTTCCCCTGGAATCCACAGGTGAGAAGCAAGTGTCAGCAAACGCCTAACATAGAGTCCGCAAAGAATTGCAAACAACTGGCCTCGATATTACTTTATAGGACTTTAGTATAGTGCCTTATATTTAATATAGTACCTTTTACATCAGAACGACTTGTGTCTCAAAGCACTTCGCAGGATATACTGTAAAGTGGAATGACGACTGTGTGTTTTTTTGTTTAGAAACATACAACACTGCTATTGGTATACCTGTATACATAGATTTACAATGTTCCAGTGTGTAGCTATTCAGGTGTGCACAGGCCACAGGAAGCTGGCTCCGGCCTGCTTCACGGGCCCCACCTTGCCAGCCCCACCATTGGCGGGTGGGCCTTCAGCCTCTCTGCCCCCACCCTCTGGAACTCCATCCCGCAGTCCCTCCACCTCGTCCCCTTCCTTGCCTCCTTCAAGACCCTCCTATTTGACTGTGCCTTCGATCACCCTGCTTTCCCTTCTGCCCTCCACCATCCCCAATGCCGACCCCCAGTTCGGGTCCGAAACTCTGACTGTCCAGCACCTTGGGACGTCCTCCCGATGTGAAAGGCGCTATACAAATGTAATTTTGTTGTTGAAGTTAAACAAAAGGCAATCCTCAGATTAGTTCACTCTTTCTGGTCTTTGTTTCGAGCCGCATTCCCTTCAGGCCTTGGAAATGGACAGATGTGCAGGAATGTAACCACATGCATGATGTCATCGCACACATGCATAGCACAAATGCCTATGATCTGAACACCAGTTTGAGAAAACCAGGGGACGGACATGTTAATCACTCTTCATGTTCAATAATAATTCTTGGCTTTTGCTGTCGTTTAACTTCAAAACATCTCAAAGCGCTTCAGAGATAATCAATGTCAAGTGTAATGATTGGGTTGTACTCCTGACCTGAAAGGCACCATATAAATGTAAATTTGTATTCTTAATCTCTGTTAAGAAGCTCAGTGGTGAATCCGCACAAATAATATTCATTTGCAACATTTTTAAACGCGACGTATGCCTTTCAATCAACACGTCCACTCTTTGGTCTTACCTTGGCTAAATTATTTAAGGCTAGATACTGAGCAGATAATTGAGAAACTCTGTGCATAAAGCTTTTGTTAGATGCTTGTTCTTCCCATAAGTGCTGAGCTTTCTCTTTCAGCTTGTTTAACTGGGTTTCATGGCAGGTTATATCCTCAAGAACAGACTGTAAGGCACAAGCAGGTTGGCAAAGAACATGTTACAGCGCACATGGAATTACGCAGCAGCAGGCCATCTGACAGACATGGTTAACTCATTTTATCATGTATAGCACTGAAAGCACAGCACATCAAGCAGACACTTGTTAAAATATAAAAACATGGAACAGATGCATTCAATCACAGGGTACCAATACAAGGGATGGCAGCCCAAGTCAGCACCGGATGATGCCATAGTGAAAAAATGTCCTGGATCAAAATATGTCACTACGCAAAATGAAAGTCAGAGTTAAGGCACATGGCAGTGAAGGGGGAAAAAAAATCAAAAGATAATGCCATGGGTTTGTGAGGAACACGCATGACATACAGAGCATGGCACAAATATGTAAGTGTGTTAGGCGGAGGTTATAAATGTTCTCACGGTATGAAGACCTAGATGAAGAAAGTTATTGTTTGCAACAAACTGGGTTGAGGTCCCAATACCTGCAGCCTGAATTGTTCGGTTTTCTTTGCAGGCAGATCGGGCAGCTGACTGCTGCTTTCTTGCACTGTTGCTGTTGTTGCTGCAAGCCATTCCTGCACCGGTCCCACTCCAGCTTCGAAGTCCTTCATCTGAGCCTGCAAGTTCTGAAAATAAATAGACAAATTATAACTTTTAAACCTCAGACCCAGCATTGCAGACTGGCTTGTGAATTTTTAATTTTTGTATATTTTTATGAACAAGACAACTTCTATCACCTTCAAGCAACCTTTGGTGATTCAATTCAACTTGGGGGAAATAACACTGAGGTCTGATCTCACCATTCTCTTTTAAAGACACAAACAGTTCTCTGCTTGGGACAAGGGTAAAGTGCTGGAAATTGGTTCTCTGGATTAATTCTTCACACCAGTAGAAATTAATTTTTGCGATCTTCATTATTAAAAATAACAGCAGGGGTGAGGTACCCACTACTATGCCTTTTATCTGGACAGTTTGTGCACCACTTTTGTTGATATAGGTGACTAACTGGAAACAACTGGCCACAGCTCAGTTTTAAAAGTTTTCCTGAGTAGACTGATATAAATTGCTAAGAAATTCTTACACAAATAATGCTGGGATTTAATTATGTAGTCAATTTCTATAAATGCTGTTTGTGTCAGCTCCTAACCCAAGCTTCTTATTATATTGTGAATTTTGCCCAAAACAATAACTTTTACCAGTGTTTAGTTCTTGCCAATCACAAGAGCAGTTTGGATGAAGAGGGACCTCTGGCCCATTTGATACCATCCTTCCAGAATATCAGTCTAACCATCTTCTCATTACAATACCGACCTGTTTCTGATTACTGCAGCCTGGATTCAACCATCTTTGCTGGTAACAAATTCCTGTCTTTAATTATCCTTTCTACAAAGAAATACTTCCTGGTTTCTGTCCTAAAACTGCCCTTCAGTTCCCTGAACCTGTCACCCCATGTCCTTTTGCTGTGGCATATCTAAAAGCAAGTTCACGATTCTATTAAATCTTTTGTTGGAATAAAGTACACACTGATATACAGACATATACACACCCGATATATTTATAGTCTGCAAGATACAACACATCCTATTAATTCAATATGTCCCTTATTTCAATGCAAAATTACGACTATTTTAATCAAAACAGTTTTGAGCAAGTATTACATTAAAACAATTTCCAAACACTTAAAGGTTTGCTACAAATGATTGATTCACTAACTTTACTTGGGACGAGAAATGCTGACTGCACTGATATTGGAAAAATAATAATAATATTATTATTATATTGGAAAAATGCTTCTCCTCAAATTCTTGTACATTTTCTAGTTGATCTATAAAGAACACTTTGCTTCTAAGATACTGACAACTGCTGGTCGGTCAGCTTGTGTACCTGGAGCGCTGTGTCTTTTTGGTGCAGGTTGGCTAACAAGTTCTTCCAGTCCTCTTTTGCAGTGGATATTTTGACCTTTATTGCTTCCGCCCTCTCTTTGCTGACAATATTGCTCAAGAGTTCTCCTTTGGAAATCAGTGTGTTTAATTTGCTCTGACCAACCTCACTTTCAGACAGAAAATCCTAAAAACAAAAGGCAAACAATTAGACTGGTGAATGACACTTTTATCCAGCCACTCTCCTGGCTCAGAATGTGATGCCAACCTAGAGTAGTAAACTCTCAGAGGGTGCTTGTGGCAAAACAACATTCTGTATCTGCACAAACGTCTGTCCTTATTACATACGTCTTGGGATGACTTCAGACATCTGCACGTGCACAAACACATCATGAGAAATTATTTATTACAATCTCCACAACCTAACAGTAACCAAGGTTAGGAGATCCATCTGATTATCAGGCAGCTTTGCCACTGGCCTTTTTCATGACTCCGTTGCCGTTAATTGGCACTTGGTGCAATGTGTGTGTTGGAGTACTGCTGGAGTATAATCAGCTGAAACTACAGAGCTTGCCACTGAAAGCACTGTCTAGCTACAATCACTTTACCTGTTAGGGCTTTGGCTTGCAGTGTTTACAATAATTATTGTCAAATGTAGCAGGACTTTGAGCTCATGTCCCACTTCAACCCCTACAACCTCCTAATCCAGAGGCAAGAGTGCCATAAAACGGAGCTGAGGTGAGATTCTCCAACTCACCCATTAACTAGTTTAGTAGTAAGACTGGAATTGCCTTTTGTAAACAGTTATTATGATAAGTTTTTCCATTTCATCACGAATACCGTAACTGACATAATTTTATTTCAACGTTTTACCTGTAATTTTTGGATTATTGCAGCTGCCTCATCAATATTCTGAGGGGTATCAAAACACGTAGTGATCCTGGTGTTAATTATCCACTGCTGAAACTCCCTGAAAGTAGCCCGGAATCTCTGCTCCAGCAACTTCTCCTTATTCTGACAGTACTTTGAAGCTTGTAAACACAGGCTACAGTGGTGGTGATACAGAAAACACGTTAGAAAGGCGTTTGGTTCATTCACTCAGTCATCCGTCAGTAGGGGTTGCGTTCCCAGGATCCCGTATGGTAATGATGTTCCAGCAATACTGGGATGCAATTGAAGAGAATCCTGGGATTTGGGGATTGTTTAAAGGCTAGGAGGAAGGGAAGGGTGGATTTTCCCACTCCACTGGAAGCGGGCCGCACATTGTCGCAAGTACGAGCTGGCGGGAGCAAATGGGTGGGTGTTTAAACCCAGGCACCCTCCCCGCAGAGAGATGCTCTCTCTGAGGTACCCCACTGGTGCAGAGAACGACCACAGGCGTCCTGGATGAGGTAAGATTTGGGATTCCAGGATTTGGGTCCTCAAAATCCCTAAATCCCAGAATTCTGAAAGAGACGGGATTGCAACCCCTATCCATCAGCAATAGAATTACCATACTCCACATTTACTACACTTCACAGTAAAGAAAATCCTGTGAAGCACTCCAAGATGTCCTTCCAATGTACAAGGCATTATCAAATGCAAGAATTCTTATGATTAATATTATTATTGATAAATCACTAAATGTATCCAGGTCAAATGTCACAGAGGGTGCTCCACTGAATTTCCGTGTGTAAAAAGTGGGGGAGAATCAGAAGCTGGTGAATTCCATTTAAATGGATGTAAAGTGGGTAAAACTGCTGTAGTCTAAAATGTGTGACAGCAACAGATGGAAAACATTAAGCTACAAATATGCAAACAAAGTTCAAGCCCTTCCACCCCGTCCCCGTCCCCCCTCCCCCCCACCCCCAGGCATGAGCTAAGGACTGATGCCATCATAAATCATTATTCACAGATTTATAATTCACAGTGCTGTAGGACTCATTTTTTTCAGTTATTGTTTAATATTATCACTGTTAGCCCAAAGTCCCACAGTAAAACAGTTCCACATACATACAATACCTATATGTAAATGGGTATAATGTACATCAATATCCACAAAGATTCCAATGCAAACTATGCTTGATATAAATTGTTACCTGCCAGTAACCCAAAGTTATATTCTGTAGTGGAGGTGGATGTAAACTATGTCTGTATACAACTGTCAAACCGTCAATTCTGTTAGGCACTAAGTGTTAACAGCTGCAGCTAGTTTAAAGTCGTAAGGGACATTTGGAAGAAAAAGGCCTTTCAAGCAACTTGATCTTATCTTTACAGATGGCCTTTGATAAAGTATGACTAAAATAGAGTCATGTGAATTGATGGGAGATGTAGCAGAACAGATTAAAGAATCATTAGGAGTCTGAAAGCAATGGGTAGGATTTAAGGGTATCTTCTCAGGCTGGAAATAAGTAGGAAGTGGTGTTCCATAAAGATCCCCGTTTGGACTAGTACTGTTCACCGTATACAAAAATTATTTGGATTCAGGTATAGGTGGCAAAATTTGAAATGACACCAAACTGGGGGGGTGCGAAGTAAACAGTGAACGGGGTTGCAGGTAAGGCTGTAAAAAAAACAATGTGATCTTGGGCTTCATATCAAAACCTCTGCTGAAACTGGTGGAATCAATTCAAGTTTTTCAACCCGCCTTAATTTGCATGAGGCATAAAACCAATCCAGTGATTCATTCCTGAACACAGTCGGAGTTTACCTATTATATTCTTTGATTGACGAAGACACTTTTTCTGAATGTGAGCTTAAGTCCTTGGAAAACCTGCAAAGATCATTCAATTGTGCCTTCAGTGTCTCAGTGATGTTTTCCGCCTCCTGCAAGGCTTCTTGGGTTTCCTGTGTCAGAAGATACATTATAATGAATTGTAGAATCTTCAAAGAGTTACATGAACTACTGCACTGAAGTTTATTTACCCTGAGCATATACAGGTGTAAAGCCAGATGTACCATACAGATTCCATCAGATCTCACACCCAAAGGTGTGTTATCACATGTAGGAGGGAATTTTGTGAACTGTGCATGAAAGACTATGGACTTACGGACAAAAACACACAAAGAAATGAAGGTACATTACTACACAAAGTGAATGAAGAAGTGTTACTATGGGTAAGGTCTAAAGGACCATCTCTGCTGATATTGTATTCCTGGTAGTCTATAAAGAATTTAGTCTTTAACGTAAAATCTATGATGTGATCACAAAGATCCATCACAATAAACAAAATATGAAATGAACAACAACAACAACAAAATTACATTTGTATAGCGCCTTTCACGTCGGGAGGACATCCCAAGGCGCTGGACAGAATAATATGCTTAAATAGGCAATGTATGCTGTCAGATAGTGCTAAATTGTTACATTCGTTATCAAATGCAAGGATTATTATTATTATTAGTTGAATGAGTCATGAGCAGCAGTTAAACTGCACAAAAGCTTTTACAGTTTCAAATGGAACTTATTTCACTCAGTTTAAAGTACATAAATATACTTTTGTACAGTCTTTGGTTATGCATTTAAAGACAGCTTATTTCGATGATTTTTAGTGTGCCTCGCATCAGTCAATCCAAAAATCTAAGTGGTATGCCTTTGATTTTCCACTCCCAATAAATAACCTTTCCGAGCGCAGAAACAGACCTTAGCTTTTTGCCAACATTCCACAACTTCTTCATCTGTGTTGCTGTCCTGCAGTTGAGACAGGCTGTGCGAACAGGCCGTAAGGCGAGCACTCAAACTCTGCAGGTCATTCTCTAGCTGAGCGACTTGTGCTTCAAACTGTTGCTCGGAGCTGGTCATTTGGCTGAGCATCATCTCCAGGCCGCTCTGGGTTTGGAGGGTGCTCTCTTCCCACTGTTGCCAGTCAGAACGCAGTGCCTGCAGCTCTCTGTTTATTGCCTCACACCCACCGGCTGCTGTGCTCTGCTGCACTCTCTCAGCCAGGCTCGCCACTTTGTCTAAACGTGCTTTCCCATTCTGTCTGGAAATGATCAGTTCCTGGGGATGGAATAGTGCTCAAGTCACCAACACGGTCATCACCATTTATTTTAATTTCTAACGGAGCAGTTGAAAGTTCACAGCAGAATTTACGTAACATCCTGACGGTGGTTGGGGGAATTAACCCTTACCCACCTGAATATAAAGCATCTGGTTGGCACAACAGATCAAGTAACCTGGCGTTTACTTGATTTAGGCTCATGCTCGCAAATTAATGAATTTATTATTTTCAATGTTCTTATCTGATATATAATTGCCTGATTTTTTTTAGACACACACATCTTTACACACACACGACATCTTGCTTATAGGGTATCCAAACCATACTCAGCATGTTGAGTGACAGGTCAGTATTGACCGGAGCCCGCCCTGCATGCCTGCCTGCAGCCCTTTCCCTTTTTATAAACCACATGTATTTAGAACTATGGATACACTTATTACATTAATTGACTCAAACATGTAATCACACGTCGCACCATTTTGAAGGATGTAAAGTAGATTCAAACCGTTGCTCAAGAAAGTTGCACTTCGATCTTTATGCTACATTATCTTGTCAAACATCTCAAAGCACTGTCAAGTGTGTATGTGTGCGGGATGGTGGGGGGGAGCTGGTTGTAAGCAAACATGCCCCCCCATTTGTGCCAGCAAAGTCCAACAAACAACAGATGAATGATCAATTTATCTAGAGGACAGTTGGGGTCAGGGTTACTGGGAGAAATTCTCTTCTCTTTTTGAATAGAGCCATGGGATCTTTAACATCCACTCAAACAAGCCAAAGCAATCTTGGTTTAATGGCTCGTCTGACAAATGGCATGTCTGAATGCAGCCAATACTCCCTGGGCACTACACTAGAGCAAGGTTAGAGTCTACACCCTTCCAACTCAGAGGCCAAACCGTGATACCAACTGAGGCAGGCTGATACCGGGTTGCTTCTCTTACCTTCACCTTCTTTAGTTTTCTTTGTAAAGCTGCTGAATCGCCAGACATATCAGACCAGCGGTGAAGCTCTTCTTTGGCAGAATTTAGCCAGTCTGTTAGCTCCTGCACAGCGCTGTGATAGTCCTGATGCTCCAGAACATTATCCTCCAGCTTTTTAACTTTTCCCTGCAAAGCAATGCAGAATCAAAAACAATGGGTTTTAAAGCCTGCAAAAGATGACAATGTTTTTTTGAGATGATTAAAAGTCCTGCCACAACCACTGACGCATAAAAATACACAGGACTGAAAGACCATTGGGGTCCGTCTGGACAGTCCCAAAGTAAAATTAAAAAAAAGTATTAATGCATCTCTCATACTCCTCAACCAATTTCTCCATCAAATAGTTATCTTATTCCCTCTAGAGTCTGCTGACACAATCTTCATTCACTGCCTCCCTATGTAGTATATTCCACATGTTAACCATTCTCTGTGCACAATGATGGGAGGAAGTAAGCATGACTCGCTGGGGTCGTACTGACTCTAAGGAGATGCACCTGATAAGCTAAGCAGATCTGCAGAGAGCCAAGGCATTGCTAATAGTTGACCAGAATATCTAGCTCATCAATGGGAATTGTGGCGTTGTAGACACGTCCTTAACCCAGTGAGCCAAAGTCCTAAATGATAGGATGGTTCCAGCTGTCATTTGTTCTTTATGCCGTGCTATCCTTTTTACTTGTAACCTGCACCCCCCACTGCGATCCTGCAACCCCACCACCCACCGCATACTGATAGCCTACACCCCACACTTTGCTGGGCTTTACACCAGTTCACTGTTTAGGGCATAGAGGGATCTCCATAACAATAGTTAACAGCCAAACTCCCATATTGTCAGTTAGTTCAGTGAAACTATACGTTATTTCCATCGTATCTTAGAGGATTCAGTTATTTTGAGAAGTTCAGGTTACCCTGGAAACCACAACAATGTCAGCAAACTGGGTTCTCATCTCGAGTTGTGCGTCCTCCTCAAAAGCTGGGTCACCAGTTTTCTCCAGAAGCTCCCTGGCCTTTTCAATCAACCGGTTGAGCATGATAGAGTGCTTCTCTACATCGGCCAACACACTCTGCGACCTCTCCAGCTCAGACAGCTTCTCCTTCAGGTCTGGTTGCTGCTGTAGCTCGAGGCTCAATTCCTGCTCCAAGGATTCCATCCACTGCTGCAGCTGGTTCTTGCCATCCAGGTAGCTGTTCCACTGCGCAACCACCCATTCCAGATGGCTGTGGAGAAGAAGAGCACAGTAACTCATCATTGCACAACAGGCACTGGTGATCAAAACCATCAGGTTGCCTCCACATCGGCAAGACATCAGTGACCTCCGTCAATCATAGGGAGGAAGAATGCAAGGATCAACTCATGAGTGGAATTATTTATACTGAGAGAAAGAAGAAGATGACACAACATGTACATGGAAAATAAAAGGCAAGATAGAAAATTATCATTATTATCTAGGAAAATAAAGCTAAATTGGCCCATTGGGGCTGCTCTGTTTTGTTAGATTATGGTAGCTCCTGATATCATCCCAGCGTAAGACATGTTATACCTGTGACATTTCACAGAGGTGCTGACGACATCTGCCCATGTGTCCTTCAATGTCTGGAGTTGGCTCTGGATGACTTTCTGCCCTTCCTCATTTCTGATCTTCAGAGACTTTTCACCCTTGCCAATGGCCATGTTAAGCTTCACCTCTCCTTCCCCTTTCATTAATAGGATTTCCTTGTGACAAACAGAGAAAGCTTACAATTAGACCAAACCAGGATTGCATTGTTCTATCAGTTCTATTAAAAAACATTGCAGGAAAGATGTTTCCACAATTAGCACTTCTCGTGTTATTTTCTGACTAGTGTGAGTCATGAAGCTCAAGAGCACAAGTGTAAAAAGAGCTTCTTATGTGCAGTGGCAATTCAACAACAACAATATGCATTCATATAGAACCCTTCAAGCAGGATAGCATCTTGGAACGTGATAGTAAATAGGATTCTTGGAGTCTAAGTTGTTTGCACTGGATCAATTGATTGGTTGCAGCAACCAAATTACCAAATAGCCATGAAGTGAATGACCAATATTTTTATTCAAGGAATTGTTGGCCAGAACACCGTGAGAAGATCTCTTCTTTTTCTGAACAGTGCCATGGGATCTTTAACATCCCCCCAAACAGGCAGATGGGATCTCACTTGAAGGAAAGCACCTCCAACAATGCAGCATTCCTCCAGTACTCTTCTGAGTATCAGCATGGACTATAAACTGAAAGGCTTCTCACAAGATTTGTACTGACAACCTTCTGGCTCGGAGACAACAGTGCCACCAACTGAGCCAGGCTGAGAAACTTTAAGGTGAGGAAAAAAAAGTGTCTTCAACATAAAGTATTTCACTGACAAGGTAGGAACAAACATAATGTTTTATAACTCATGCCTCACATAATTGTTTTGAACTGTGTGTTACATGTCGCTGTCAACACATCTTCATCTCTGGCAGATCACAATGACTGCAATGACAATCACAATCCCCCAAATAAAGTTGGTCATTCCTTTTTATGGCTGTCTGTGGGAAATTGCTGTGTGCAAATTGCCTACAGTAAATTCTATGAGGCCCTTTGAGACTATGTAATAAGGCTCTATATCAAATTAGCAGATCGCTTTTCCGGGGGTAATAAGTCATTCAAAAAATAATAATAAATTGGTCACTCCAATCCACAACTATTTGTGGGACACTGCTGTGCACAATTGGTTGCCATGTTTGGCCCACAAAATATACCGTCAATTGACTTTACAGTATATTATGTGAAGTGCTTTGAGATGTCTTGAAGATATAAGGCACTATATCAAATGCAACGATTATTATAATTATTATGTTCTCAGTAATTACGAAAATATAATAGTGTCCATTTCTGCAGAGATCAATATAGGCAGTGCCATCTACGCAGAAAGCAATATATCCCATTTACTCAGATTATTACTAGTTGAGACCAGTCACTCAGATAACTCAAAGACACAACATTGACACTGGAATTATTTAAACTAAACCACACCTGGACCTGAAGCAGCTGTTTTTCAAATGTGGCTTTGCTGCCAGTGGTTTTCTCAATGGTTACGAGCTTGTCCTGAACTCCTTTCAGCCATGTCCAGGTGCTCTGCTGGATTTCTTCGAAGGCCTGATGCTCCTGAAGAGCCAAGTGACAGGTTCGCAGCTTCTCTTTCACAGTTTTGCCCAGGATCTGGTATTGGGACATCAGCTGAGAGGCCTGGCGTACTTCACTTCCATTTCCATAGCGCAGTTCATTCAAAGTTTGAGCCTTCTGGCACAAATTATCAAAGCAATCCCTGGAGAGTGAAATAAAAAGCAAGCTTTGTAACCGGGTATTCTTGATGTTTGAGTTAGAAAAATACAACTTTTACTTCCTGCGCTAAGTTATATTCCACTGAATGACGACTGGGGTCTCCTTGGAGGTGAGTTGGATCCAACCAGACATGCCTGGCAACGAAATGTCAGGCCTCACATTGCACTGTAAATCCCAAAGTGGCACACCAAAAACCATGGGACCATTTGAAAGGGAAGAGGATAAATATTTGAGGAGAAACAATACAAAAGGGTATGGGGAAAGACCAGGGAATTATAGCAGAGTGAGAAGATAGTTCCAACGTAATCTGAGTTGACTCAACAGATTGAACAATCTCTTTCTGTGTTTAATTTCAATGAGTCTACTTCATTTGTACAATAATCTACAAGCTATTTGTATACCTCTCTCCTTGAAGTTCCTCATGAAAATCTTCGATCCACTCCACCTCTGCTTGCTTCTCTGGGACATTTGGTTTATTACCTTTAAGGGACTCGGAGGTCATTTTTTCTTCCATCTCCTGGAGCCAGAGACTCAGCTTTTTGTGAGAGCTCTCAAACCTGTCACGGAAACATATATTTTCAATCAATACAAAGAGAAAATATTAAACACAAAGCATCCTGGAACATTCAGAATACATGTCCAGGTGTCAAAAACAGTATTTAAGGCCAGTATTAATTTTACGCAACTTTATGTTGTTTGTGTGCCAATCCATCTACCACAAAGAGAATTTGACACAAAATGCTATTGGAAAGCGCTGCTAAGCTTCAACACAGTTTTCAATAACCAGCCAAAACTCACTGTCAAGGCTCATACAAGAATAATGTTCACTTAGCAAGGCACTGAAAGAAACCCACCCTTGTGGAATCACACCCCACCCCGCAGAAGGAAGAAAAGTAGTTAAAGCCCTTTCAAGGGTAGTACTCTGGGAAGGGGAAAATTTGGGGGAAACAATATCTTTTCTGAGGCAGTCAGATTAAAACAACTGGGAATTGATAAAGTGCTGCACCTTGTATGATAGATAGAATTTGCTTCTTGCCCCAGATTGCCAGTAAGGTCCTCATCACAGCCATGCAGTCAAGGAAAGTGCCATGCATAGGTGAGGGGGTCGAGGGAAAACAGAAGGCAACTCATTCACGATCACTCCGAGCCAGCTTGTAGCTGAAAAGCCATCCTGAGAATTGAGCAGGTTACCCTGTTTCCCCCCAATCCGTTTTCAGCAAAGAATCTAAATGAGGGAGCTCATTGCTTTTTTTTTAGATGAAAGACATACAGAAAAACAATAATAACTCACAAGTAACTGGTCAACGAGATAGCACAACGGCTGCTAAATTATACTCGCTCATCCCCATCTTTCCTATTTTCTGTCAACATTCATTGTCCCTGTTCTCAGAGATAGTTATTTTCCTCTATTTTATACTGTTCTTATCACCCACCTGTTGAGCTCTTCAGCACAATCCTGCAGGATGCCCTTGTTCTGACGGCATAAAGTTAGGAAGTTCTGCCATTCTTGCTGGTTATTCACCATCTGCTGTTCAACCTGGGTAGCACTTGGTTTGGGCAAGTGCAGTACCAACTTATTTCCTTCAGTGACTGTTCTATCCAGTTTGTCCTGCCCCACGCTCACACTGTTCAGGAACTCCTGTGAAAAGAACAACAGCCCACATTGCCTAAAGTGAGATTCATTCAGGTGATATCCTGAGCACTCATCACATAACTCCTTTCTGCAAATACCCACCTTTTTCTCAAGACTCAAGATTGCTTGATGAACCCATTACAAATATTTGGGTGAGCAGGGCAATTCAGACCAACGTCTGATTTCCTTAACAAGTAGCCGTTGACCTTTCCCTGGGGCTCAAGCCATTTCTGTGAAGTTTCATGCTTATTTATATAATAATCCTCACATTTGATATAATACTTTTCACATCACATCAGGAGGATGCCTTAAAGCACTTTACAGTGTATAATAATCCTTGCATTTGATAATGTGCCTTATCACATGTTTGAGACGTCTCAAAGCGCTTCACAGAATATATTGTAAAGTGAATGGATTGTATATTTAGTGGGCGGAACGCGAATATACTGTGGAGTGACTGTGTATTGTGCAGGCAAACGCGGCAGCCAGTTTGTGCATTGCAATACCCCACAAACAGCCACAGAGGGAGTGATCAATTTTATTTGTGGGGATTGTTGGCTAGGACACCGAGAGAAACTCCCTTCTCTTCAACATCCACCTGAACAGGCAGAGGGGACCACGGTTTAATGTCTCATCTGAAAGACAGCACCTCCAACAATGCAGTACATCCCCAACACAGCATTGGAGCATCATCTTACACTATCAGTTCAAAGTCTCGACATGGGACTTGAACCTTCTGATTCAGGGGTGAGAGAGCTACCAACTACCAATGTTCCTCATCTATGCTGCTGGGAAGCAATAAACACAGCACACAATAATTTCTGTTGCTGATGGGGCCAGAGGGGAGAATATTTGTTTTGGATAGAAGGGATTTCTCATTATAAACTCACACCACCAAGGTCAGTAAATCACCTCACTTGGAAAAAAGCATCAAGTCTATCAAATGTCTTGGGTATGAGAAGTCAGTATTCTGCCACATAAACATCATTAGCTGTCCCCCTCAGCTGTTTTGTTTCTATTAAGGAATATGATTTGATGTTCATTGCACAATCCCAATGGAAAAAGCAGCAATGGTATATATCAAGTGCTGAATTGCAAGTGTTGAATGTACTTAGTTAATTTACAGGCTCCGAATCAATGAATTCATGCAACTCCTAACCTCTTAGCCTCAAGCACTGGCTAAAATCTTATACATTTGTGGATGAGATGTGTGTATTGAAGTAATGTATTGGGAAATTAGATATTTAGAGCCAGAGGGACTAATGGCCCTTCCTGCCTGAAACTATTACTATAATTATTGAAACGGCAGGTTTTGTCAGAATGGAACTTCAATCTATGGGTCATTAAACTGAGTGTTTTACACACCGTGAGTTTGAGCAGTTTCTCCTCTGTGGAGCAAATGTCTCCCGACTGGTCACTGCATTCCTTTACTGCTCCTCTTGCGTCAGAAAGCCACTGCTGGAACTCCTGCAAGGAGTCTTTCACAAATAAAACATTGGAATTAAAAGAACATTTCTATTGCAAACGATTTGTTAAATTACACCCAGAAATTTCCATTCGGACTTTTAAACGGTGAGCATTCCCAAAGAAAACATTGTGTGGACAAAGATGTATTTTGAAATTCTCATTTTATACGTCCTAAAATACTAAATATTAAAGAGTGTTCACAGAATCATAAAAATGACAGCACAGAAGAAGGCAGTTTGGTCCACTGAAACCAAACTGGTGCCAGCAACTCTACTGGAGCTAACGACTCTAATCCCAAATCCAACCAATAATGTACACGAGTGACTAATTCTCAAACACCTAAAAGCAATGTTGATTCACAAACATAACTGAACAGGAGACGGCCTTCCTTTACATCATCTCAGTTTGTTCCTTTCCTAAATTCCCATTCAGGATTCTCAAGAATTGAGTGGGATTAGATCAGAATAACAAAAGGATAACAAAAATAAGTGTGAAACCCGAAACATCCTGAAGCTGTTGTAAAATGTATGCATCACTCAATGTTAACCCAAGTATCACAGTGAAATTAAAGAAATTAATGGACAGTGAGTGACATTTTTGGGCTGGGATGGGGGGGCAATTGTCCAGAAAGCAAAACATCAATTCCTCTTCAGTGATATCCCTATTGAGGTCTCACTCACCATTAAAGTGTGTCTCGAGAGCGTCCTGCAGGCCGCTTTGTGTTTTTGATGACAGCTGGTTCACAGACTCGTACTTCTTGATAAGTTCCGTAACTCTGCTCCCAAGCCCTTCCAATTCTGCCGAGTGATATTTGCGACAAAGGCTGTTGAGGTTCTCCCGGGCTGAGTCAATGCTGCTTTGCTGGCCAATGAGTTCTTTGTGTATTTCCTGTAATAAAGAAATAAAATAAATGATTGACAAAATAACTTGTATTTATATAGTGTCCTTCAAGAGGGTAGTGTTGGAGTGCTTAGCAGTGGCAGAGCTTGATGCTGAGCCAGGGGTAGGGGGCGTAGGCACAGTCCAAGAGGAAGGTTTCCAGGTACGTTCTGAAGACAGGGAAAGAGGCAAAGGTGGATGGACCGATGGAGAGAGTTCCAATGTTTTGGGGCGTAGTGACTGGAAGCAGAGCCACTGATGGTGGAAGGGCGGGGAGGGGGTGGGGCGAGTGGCGGGGTAAACAAGTCGGAGAGGTAGAGAGGTGCCAGGACTTCAAACTATTTGAAAAACAAGTGGGAGCTCCTAAAGTTGATCTGTTCTGTAATAGGGACCCAGTGAAACCTGGCAAGGACTAAGGTGATGGAGGTATGGACATTTGGTGAGTATACGGGCAATGGGTGGTTTGAATTTTATTTTATTTTGTCAATGGTGGAGTTGGGGAGACCAATGAGGTGGACATTGGAATAATTGAGGCGGGAGCTGACAAATGTGTGGATGAGGCTTTTGGCTGCGTTGGGTGCGGGGTACAGTCAGAGGTGGGCAATATAATGGAGATGGAGGAAAGTGGTCCTGGTCAGGGACCTGACATGGGTAGGAAGGCCAGGTGAGGATTGAACCTAACTCCGAGGTTATGCACAGGTTCGGTGAGTCTGAGGGATAGGCCAGGAGATTGAGGCGGTCCAAGCTGCAAGAGAGAAGATGTTGACAGAGCCAAGGAGTATGGTTTCCGTCTTGTCAACATTCAACTGCAGAAAGTTCGTGCTCATCCAGGCCTTGATGTCTGACAAGCAAGCTAACAGAACATCAAAAGACTTGGAGTTGCAGTTGGAGGAGGAGAAGTAGATTTGGGCATAATCCGCATATGTGTGGAAATTGCTTGAAAAATTGCAGACTTCTAAATAAAAATTAACCTATGTATTTATGTCCACAGTACCTTGGCTTTCTTTAGGTCTTCCATATCCTGGCTATTGATACAAGTGGACAGTGACTCCTCCAATGTATGCAACCAATCTGTTAGCTTAGTTATGTAACTCTCCATCTGATTCTTCTGTGTATTAAACTCTTTCAGTGTCTCTTTAGCCATCTCAGACACTTCCCGAGCTTGTTCCAGTTTGTTTTGTACCTCAGTTTCCATTGCCTGTGGGCATAAAATAGTGAAATGTTTTGATATTCAGTGAAGTGGTATGATTCCACTGTGAAAGCATCAATTTCCTTAATCACACAATGCAAGTTACTCAATTGTTCACTCAATTTAACTTGACAATAATAAATCGTATCAGAAGTCTTTAATTTAGGTTTCCTTGTGTCAGACACTGTTCCTCAGTTGATATGACAGACAAGTTTCTTCCCAGGTTTCTTCCTGCATCAATCATGGTCTCTTTATATTACACAACCGCTTGAATCAAAATTAAGGCGAAGACCTAACAGTTAGAGTGGTCCTAGCTGGACAAGCAGCGGGAAAGCTTGTTAGTCAGTGTTCAATAGGGTAAGCTGCATGGCTTCAGCTGGCTAAACTACAGTAGTATCCCAACTTACAGTATGAGGGTCCCAAGCTATGGCTCTTGTCAAGCTGTACCTGTGCTCTGGGATGCTACCCTCTGTGAGGGACACTATATAAATGCAAGTTGTTGTTGTACTTGATATTTCCAGGATTAGTTTAGCACGGTTGAGACACAGGCACACACACCATTCCAGGCAAATGGAAATTTCCATGGAGCTCCAAGTAGCTGCTTCGAAATCTCTTAAACATGGTCATGTGTCAGACACCTGCCTTACGTCCCCAAAACACATGTGCTTTTTCTAATCAAAATTCTCCCAGTTTACACTGTGGAAAAGGTTCCACAGTCAAACTACACCTGAGGTGTCCCCGACGTGCGAAAATTGAAACAGAAAAGACAACGAATTCTGCTTCCTCCACCCACAGATGTGATGATTGTAATATTGCCAACTCTCTGCTCTGTTAATCCCCTAAATTCAAGATTAGTTCCCTCCTATCCTAATCACCATGGTAATTAAGCAGAGCTAAGAATTCTCAATCCATTTTCTCAACAGGTATTCGTCCTATTCCCTCTCAAAGGCTTCAATTGTTCCATCTTACAGTAACTACCACCTGTGGGGAAAAAAATCTTCTTAGGCTTATAGATTGTCTGTAGGTATCATCTAGAATGTTACATTCAACAGGCTGTTTACATCAACCTTACCCATATTTTTCATTCACTAAATCCTCACTAAATTCTGCCTTTTGTAATTTCTAACTGTGTTAAGTTTGTGACAATGCACCCACAGATGATCTGTTATGACAGGCGTTTCCATTAAAATTCCCCACATAGTTTACAATTTCATCTGAGCCATTCGGAAACATATGATTGGATTTTGAGTGCAGTCATGAAGTGATCAGTTGCACTGACAGAGGCGTGACATAGTAGATCCAACCTCCCTTTCCATCAGGCAATATAATAATAATCCTTGCATTTGATTACGTCTTCGAGACGTTTTAAAGTGCATCACAGAATATACTGTAAAATGAATTGACTATATTTTGTGGGTGAAATAAAATTGTGTACATAATACAATATAGATTGCAATTTATATTTATACAATAACAAATTGCATTTTTGTAGCCCCCTTCACATTGGATAGCGTCTCATAGTGCTTAAGGCTCAATTTATATAGCGCCTTTCACTTTTGGAAGATGTCTGATGGAGAGGGAGGTTGGATCTACTATGTCTCATGCCTATCAATGCAACTGATCACTTCATGAGCGCGCTCAAACTCCAGTCATATGTTTCCCAATTAATGCTCAATTTCAGCTACATTTACATAATGTTATATATTTCATCGGGGGTTAAAGGTAAATGATAAATGTTATGATCCAGTAATTATGCAACCTGGATCGTCTTTTCAGTTCTAACTATAGTGTCTTTAACACACGATGTGTGAACAACCGATAAACACAGGTTTAATCCTCGTAATCCTCATATCGTGCTGGATGGGCACCAAACAGGGGATGGGAGCTGAGGGGTTGAGGAGGGCAAAGATTAAAGAAAAAAAAGTGAGAGAAGGGGCATAAAGTCAGAGGCAAAATAATTTACAGAATAGAGGCAAGAAAGTAAAAGTTAATATTTGGGATATCACTTCATTCTGTACCAAAGATGTAAATGTTTAGTTATTTTCTTTTTAGCCACACTGATACAATATTAACCCCTGTCCCTTAATAATCTTCAGAATATGTCAATACTTTAAAAAGGGCTAAACTGCCCAGGTTTAATGAATATACAATCACAACAAAGCTAATGGTAGATAGATCCAAATATTAGAGGGAAAAACAACAACCTGTCAAGCGCATATAAACCTAAGATCCAATATTCCTCACAGTCTTAACATCATTTTATCCTAAAATTTAAGCTTGTGTAGAATTGTGAAAAATTCATAAATTCAGTCTTAACGGAAGCAGTTTGCCCGCAGTTCTTAAAAAAAGACTTCCAAGATAAGCCTGAATTTAACAATTTTTAACACTACTGCGTGATCTTCAGTTTTAAAACAAGAAGTCTAACGGGCTAAAACTAGATGGAAATTCAGACCTCAAATGTTTACTTATACACCAGCTACATTTCTCAATATAATCATGAAAGTAGAAAGGTATGAGAATCTGACTCTTACCTGTAGCAAAGGAGGAGGGACGTGACTTTTTGATAACTGTGTCAGTTCTGAGACTTTAGAACGTAGGGTCTCCAGTTTCTGCTCTTGATTTTTAACCTCAGACTGCAAGATAATATGACCAAATAATTGCTCAATTTCAGCTACATTTACATTATGTTATCTATTTCATCAGGGGTTAAAGGTAAGTGATGAGTGTTGTGATCCAGTAATTGTGCAACCTGAATCGTCTTTTCAGTTGTATCCATAGTGTCTATAACACATCATGTGTGAACAACCAGTAAAGACAGGTTTAATCCTCATAATCCTCGTGAACACATGTGAATTGAGAGAATTACAGTATGGAAAAATTGAGAGATGTTAAACTGAGGTCCCGTCTTCCTGTTCAGGTGGACATTAATGATCCCATAGCACGATTCAAAAAGGCAAGGGCGTTTCTCACAATGTCCAGGCCAACAATTCCACAAATAAAAAATTGGTCACTCATTCCATGGTTGTTTGTGGGACATTGCTGTGTGAAAACTGGCTGCTGCGATTCACCCAGAAAATAAATTGTCAATCTACTTTACAACCTATCCTGAGATATTTCGACAAAGTGATAAGGTGCTATATCAAATGCAAGGACTATTATCATTATTTTTATTATTATTGTTTGCCAGGATCAAATAGTACCATGCGATCTTTAACGTCCACCTGAGCAGATAGACAGGGTTTTTATGTAATGTCTCATACGAAGGTTGAAATCTCCCATCAATGCAGCACTCTTCCAATACTTAAGACTATACAAGTTCCAAGACCTGGCATGGGGTTTAAACCCACAACCTTCTAACTCAGAAGCGAGAGTGCTACCAACTGAGCCAGCCTGACTGACACACATAATTAACCGCAGGTTAGTGTTGGCATAGAAACAGTCTTATTGGTTTCCAGGCAACTAGAATAAAAATAACCCGCAGAGAGGACTGGCACTTGTCTGGGACAATGAACTGATTTTGAAACCTCAATAAAAAATTAAATTTGAAACATTTTCCAATGTTGTAATGTTTGCCACAGAAATTCCTCTGAAGTCGTTGAGATATGGTCTTGTTTCTGAGGTTACAGGTTGCTGACTGACAAAATAAGCGGAATGATTCTAACTGATAAATAAAGAAGGCAATCCGAATGTAGTGATAAAGAATGGTGTGGTCAGTAGGTCAGTGAACGTTATTCCAAATGTGCTGCAAGAAGGGAAACCAGATTTGGTATAACATTATTCATCTATTCAGATTGAACGGTACATGCTCCCTCCACACAAACACGCCTTCACCGACGTGAAAAACGCTACTCAAATGTAATTTTGTATTGTATTCACGAAAACACCATGGAAATGTTCCTTAGTAATCAATTCTAGTCAGTCTGACCTTTCCAAAGAGAATCTGTTTTCAGAGAACAGATTTTCATCATGAATCACATAATGAGATTTCTAAACTGTTTGCTAGAAGGAATTCCTCCATTATATGCACAATGAACACATTTCAGGGCAGACTGGAACGCATAGGTCAAGGATTTCCTCACTGTACAATGAATGCCTTGCCAAAAATAACTCAAGGAAACCACAGAACCATCTGACCACATAACTACAAATAATCCAGTGCTCACTAAATCCTGAGGTTCATTCAGTCAAGAACAATTCTTTACCTAGAAATACAGTCATTAGGCTTGTCAGGGAGGCCTCTGAGATATTTTGATGTGACAAGGTTCTACAAAAATGTATCTTCTTTCTTTCACTTCCATGAAAGTGACCTCTTTTTGGGTTGTTAAAAACTGATGTGAGAAACTATTTTTAAAACTGAAATTGGTGACTTGATATTTCGGATCTACAAATGTTTTATTGGATTTTCATAAAATTTAATCATTGTTGATCTTGAGGGAAAAAAACAGCATTATGTTATGAGAGCGAGCGTGTCAATTTACAGTGAGGACATGAAAAGCAAAGCAAATAATCTTTTCGACATATACCTGGAACTCCATTAGTCTTGTTTCTATACGCTGGCTATCATTCAAGTTGTTCATTGTTTCATTCAGTTCAGAGACAGAACTGTTGGACCAAAAATCAACCTCATCATTAATGTGAAGCACATCTTCCCACAATGCAAGGCTTAATCGTAATCGTTCAATGTTGTCATCTAGCCTTTCAGATACCTGTTTAATGAAAGGAAAAGGAAAGTCAGTGACACCTGTCCCAACATTAACAAAAAGGCTACAAAAACGGTCGAACTACATCAGTCCAAAAATATTTTGTGAATACTAGCCAGGCAGTTCAAAAAGGGTTTAAAGTTTAATCTCGTTAAAGCTTGCAGTATTATTGGTTAACGTTAAATACAAATACTATGCATTTAATTTAACATACAACACTTAACAGATTGCAGAATACATTCTTAGCTTTGTTAGATTTGTTTCAAAGGTCAATATCACTTTTATTGAGAAATCTAGATAAAGGGCAAGGGGTCACAAAGGCTCACAAAAGAGAACAAAAGTAAAGGGATATCTTTGATGTAACACAAAGCCTGGGATTTAGCTACGTGTACACTGTGGTGGGGGTGCGAGGAAAGACTCAGGGAAGGTAAAAGGTTTACAACATTGAAGTCCACACAAAGAATGAGTTAGAGTGGGAAACAGCAGATAAGTCTTCATCTTAAATATAACCAAACTCCAACATATCTACAGTCAGCTAATAATAATAATAATAATCCTTGCATTTGATATAGCGTTTTTCACGTATTCTAGACGTCTCAAAGCGCTTCACAGACTATAATAATAAATAATCCTTGCATTTGATATAGCGCTTTTCACGTTGGGAGGACGTCCCAAAGCGCTTCACAGAACACACTGTAAAGTGAATTGACTGTATATTTGTGGGCGAACGCGGCAGCCAATTGCGCACAGCAGTGTCCCACAAACAGTCGTGGATTGAAGTAACCAATATATTATTGTTTTTTTTCTTGAGGGATTATTATCAGGCGTGTGGAATAAGGAAACTTGCCCAAGGTTTCGCCCTGCCGGGAATCGAACCCAAGTCTCTCGCTTGCGAGGTGAGTGATCTAACCATTGAGCTACAGGACTCCACATTTAAAAAACTCCAGAGTTAAAAAAGCAAGAATCAAAGTCATCACAGTTGAGAGTTTGAAGAAAAAAATATAACGACCATTGAAGGTGATGCTTTGCTTCCTGGATATAATTGATACTACTTATATTTAATACTGAACTACTTCATATATTGACAAAAAAAATATCAAAATGTTGTACATGGCACACCTTCACTAAATCAATAACAGATGAATTGACTTGTAGTCTTGAGAGAAGACACTTCCTAAAAGGTGTCCAAAAATGTTAAATGAGATTGAAAAATTAAACCCAGATCAGTGCTTTGGGATGTAACAAGACAATAGAACATAGAATTCTATAAGGCAATTTCAGGACAGATAGCAATTTTTTCTTTATTCAGAGAGTTGGAATCAATGATTGGAACAGGTTGACAGGAAAGGTGGTGGAAACCAGGACACCGGCTTCATTTTAAGAAGCAGCTTGATGCTGTGGGATGGGATGGATGGTAGGGTGAGTGTCCTGGAAGGATGAGATAGGATGGGCTGAGGGGTTTTCTTCATCCAAACTATCCTTGTGATTTAGTGAATATGTTCTTGAACTGGACAACATGGATATAAAATGAATCCCTCAAGTGGGAAGAGTTATTAAAGGAACTTCTTTTACAAGTAGTATTGGATTTCTGGTAAACAAAACTCTCGGTAAACAAAATTACAGAGGGTTGATTCAATTTCGATGTTCCTTTGCCAAGCACATCGCCTTTGAGTCAGCTCAGTCCCAAGAAGACCCGTTTACTTCTCCCCTGAGGATAATTGTTGGCCATCTGACAAGGAGACTTTTTCCTCTGAAGTTCAATAAAACAAAATATAGTATCTTGCTTACATCTAGCCACTGATCCACGACCCTATCCAGCTCCTGTTTGGCTGAAATTGGGTCAAAACCATGGATCTTCTTCAGTTCAGCCAGTAACTGCTTCCCCTTTGAAGTAAACTCATCCAGCTGTTCTTGGCTGCTGTTCAACTCTGCCTTCACAGCTTCATGCTACCAAACAAACAGAGGAAATTAGAGGAACACTTTGCTCTATAGTTTTAGTTCAGCCACCACAGGAGCAACAACAACAACTTTCATTTATAAAGCGCCCTCCGCGCCAGGCGGTGTCTCAGAGCACTTAACAAAGGTGGAACCCGATGCCGAGCCAGGAAGAAGGTGATCATAGGTACAGTCGACCATAACAAGGCCTTCAGGCGCAACCTGAAAATGCGGAAAGAGGGGGCAAGGCGAAGGGATTGAGGGAGGGAGTTCCATAGCTTCGGGGTGTAGTCATGCTGAAGGCACAGCTGCCAATGGTGGAGTGGAGCATCAGCTGACAAGCATCAGCTATCCCACTCACTGCATATATTGCAGTCGTATCATAAAATATTTGAAATTCCGTGTTTCGCTGCAGAATGATATCATTGGATGATGGTACATATTCTGTAGCTTGTAAAAAGATCACTACTTAATGATTTAAAAATCTACTAAATAAAGATGTTGTAGGGGTGATTCAGTAAATATGGCACCACCGCACAGGATGCACAGATTAAAGGTCAAATGGTTAAATGATCATTTTAACTAATCTCTGAACATTAGATTATTGAAGGGAATGAGATGTGGGGGGGAAGGGAGGGGAGGCTTTACATCCTGCATTGCTCATATGCATCGCCTGGTGTGTCAGCTAAGAAATGGCAGGAAGCCATGTGTGGACCCTGCCACAGACTGCATCACGCCACCGTCTACCTCAACTACTGGACATGGCAGAGTGAATAGGTGGTTGGTTCCAAATCATTATTTCTACTTCATATTATCTGCAATTTCTTTGCGATTTTACAAACCAATGTCAGAATTCTACAAGTGCTTTTCGCACCCACTGTTGTTTCGATAACACTGTAGTTAACAAATAAAGCTGAGGTTCGTCTGCCCTTACCCTCGTCAAAGTTCTCTTTGTATCTTCTTGGTCCAAAAGTGTGGATTTTATCACAGCTACAGTTTCGGCGTTTTCAACCACTTTTACAATAGCAGATTTGCAGCTTTGATACTTCCTCATGAGTGTAACCAGAAAACTGCATTGATCCTGACTGGAATGAAGATATGGTAAATCAGTGGCAGGGCTGGAAATTAGCCTAAAATGCACTTCACTCAAATATTGTACGTTAGACTGAAAAGCACAGGAAATGGATTCCACTGTGCTTTCAGCTGCTGCTCCATTCAGCACCGTGACTCATTCCTTGTCAGTTACGTACGTGTCCCTTTGTGTAAATCTGCAATAAAACAGGAGGGAAATGGAACTGGAAAAATAAAGCAATTGCTAATCGCTAATGCACAAACATACCAAAACCAATGTAAAACATGCCCCATTCAGTTCCTCAATTGCTCATTCAAATAAGTTCACTGTGCACTGAAACAGAGACATACAGACCAGGAAGTTGCAAGGTTTGATTCCTGTGTTGGGTAAGCTGATCTCAGGAGGCATGGCGGAAGAGGCACCATAAATGGCCAGAATACTTCTAAGCTGGGGTGGGGAAAAATCATGGTTCTGATCAATAAACAATGTCCACCATTGGAAAAAACCACGTGTAGATATCATGAGGACAGGTTCAGACTCATCATGCACTATCAATTATCATCTGGGTTCACACAGGAGGAGCATCCATGTGAACGAGGTACGAGAAGGTTTATGATGCTCTTGGAATTGTACATGCAACAGTAATCAGCACCTTCTGGAGAAGAGGGATAAAATAATCTCCACATACATTCAGCAACCGCTTCCAAAATAAATTCGTGAGCTAACAAAGCATGTTTCAATTTGTGTACCGTGAGGAACTCGCAAAATAGATCAAGAGCTCTTAGAGAGTCCATGTGACATTTCTTTACAAATATACACACAGAAAGTAGAGAAGAAATGACAGCAAAGACATCTAACGACCTCCCTTTTAAACACTTCAATTATTCTGGATTTACAGTCTACTGGAGAAGAGCAATCAATATTCTCACAGCCCTTTGTTGGAAGGAATCTTTTCTCGTTTCACTATGAACCATTTTAGCTCTGATTATAAGATGACGGCCCCTTGTTATTATTAATAACGATGAATAACAATATCCTTACAGTTGATTAAGCTCCTCTCCATGTTGGGAAGACATCCCAAAGCAATTCTCAGGATAAACCGTGCTTTCAGCCACTACACCCAGAAGCTCTGGAACTCTTTTCCTCAATCCCTCCGCTTTGCCCCCTCCCGTCCTACTTTCAAACCCCGCCTAAAGACCTTCCTTTTTGATCGTACTTATAGTCACCTCCCCACTCCCTCTCCCCCTGGCTCGGGTTCAGACTCCGGCACTGCCATGCGCTCTGGGACACCACCCCACGTGGAGGATGCTATATAAATGCAAGTTGTTGTTGTTATTGTAAACTGTGAAGTGAAGCGAATGGGCAAACATTTTTTTTCTGGAATCCCATATGAGATGGAAGTCTCGTTCATCCATCTCTCCAGTTAACACTGGGTTACTCACAAACTGACCATATTCCTCCCCTTCATTTATATGCAAAAAAGGCCTTTGCTCTTTTTCAGGATTCGCTTAGTTTATCATTTGGCGAATCTCACAAATTAGACTGTATTAAATCAATCACCCCTTAACCTCCTCTGCTCTAGAGAACATAACCCAGCCTCTTACCATAGCCGAGTCCCTCCAACCTGAATAACACAGTAAGGTCAACCAATCTCAAGATTCTATGAAGCACCTCAAGACGAGCTCTTCATAGAAATGGGCTTCTCTTCCCCACCCCCCCGCCCCCGCCCTTCCCTATTTACAATGTAAATGTCATTCTTATATGTTCGTACTTCTCTACAATGAACCTCATCTGCTACAGTTCTGCCCAGTCCCTTCATTCCTTGTCAATTACCTATTTTCAGTTTATGATACCTCCTATCTTAGTGTCATCTGCAAACTTGGATATACTCACCTTCATTCCTATACAGTAGAGCGCCACTTATCCGCCCGAAGGATAATCACATGTCCGCTTTTCCGCATCGGGGCTGAGATGCAGAAGTGAAGCAGTGCTGAACTGTCTGCGTAAAGTTTTAGTTGCGCGCTTGCATGCGATGTAACCAGGTACGCAACTTTACCCAAGTGCAACTGTGAACCTGCAGCGCAAGGCGGAGAGGTCCGATACAGATCAGTACAGAGATAGAGAGAAACACACCCACGAACAGACAGACACTGTTCCAGGCAGGGAAAAGCCAGGCAGAGAGGATCAGAATGACAGAGGTTTACAGAGGGGCCAGAAAGGCGGAGAAAGAGCATGAGAAAAAGAGAGACAGTGAGAAAGATAGGCAGACAGTCAGAAACAGAGGGAGTAAGAGGGAGTCAGAAGGAGGGGAATCTAAGAGAGAAAGTGAGTCCAACAGAGAGAGAAAGAAAAAAGAGCGAAAGACAACCAACAGACACAAGAGAAAGAGGCACACAGAGAGATAGAGGGAGAGTGAGAGTGAATGTGATAGAGAGTGAAGACCACGGAGTTAGATAGAGAGAGATCTCTATCTCACTTGCCAGAGTCTGAGAGAGTGAGAGAGAAGCAGTCAGATAGAGAGAGAGAAAGTCAGACTGCAAGTGAGGTAGAGAGAGATTATAAAAGACAGAGAGAGAGAGAGAGAGAGAGAGTATGAAACAGATAGAGACTGGTAGGAAAAAAGAGAGACAGATAGAAAGTCAGATACAGAGTCAGACACAAAAAGAAAAAGAACCAAAGAGTGAGGGAGGGGCAGAGAGGGACGGAGGGAAGGGACAGACAGACAGGGAGGGAGGGAGGGAGGGAGGTACGGAGAAGGACAGAAGGACGGACAGACCGAGGGACAGACAGACCGAGGGACAGACAGACAGAGGGACAGACAGACCGAGGAACGGACAGACCGAGGGAAGGATAGACACAGGGATGGACAGACAGACACAGGGACAGACAGACAGAGGGATGGACAGACAGCGGGGCGGACAAAGGGACCGAGGGAAGGATGGACACAGGGACGGACGGACAGACAGACACAGGAACGGACAGACAGACACAGGGAAAACTAGACAGACAGAGAGAGGGACAGACAGAGGGACAGACAGAGGGACGGCAGGCAGACAGACGGGCAGAGGGGCAGACAGACAAAAGGACAGACACACAGAGGGGCAGACAGACAGAGGGGCAGATAGAGGGGTCGACAGAGGGGCAGACAGAGGGGCAGACAGAGGGGCAGACAGACCGAGGAACCGACAGACAGAGGGATGGACAGACAGACACAGGGATGGACAGACAGCAGGGTGGACGAAGGGACCGAGGGAAGGAAGGACACAGGAAAGGCCAGACAGACACAGGGATGGACAGACAGACACAGGGAAAAGCAGACAGACAGAGAGAGGGACAGACAGAGGGACAGACAGACAGACAGACAGACAGAGGGGCAGACAGACAGACGGACAGACAGACAGAGGGACAGACGGACGGACAGATAGAGGGGCAGACGGACATATAGAGGGGCAGACAGACAGACAGACAGAGGGGCAGACAGACAGACAGACAGACAGACAGAGGGGCAGACAGACAGACGGACAGACAGAGGGACAGACGGACGGACAGATAGAGGGGCAGACAGACAGACAGAGGGGCAGACAGACAGACAGACAGACAGACAGACAGACAGACAGACAGACAGACAGACAGACAGAGGGGCAGACAGACAGAGGGGCAGACAGACAGAGGGGCAGACAGACAGAGGGGCAGACAGACAGAGGGACAGACAGACAGACAGACAGACAGACAGAGAGACAGACGAGGCAGACAGACAGACAGAGGGCAGACAGACAGAGGGGCAGACAGACAGAGGGGCAGACAGACAGAGGGGCAGACAGACAGAGGGGCAGACAGACAGAGGGGCAGACAGACAGAGGGGCAGACAGAGGGCCGGACAGACAGACAGGCAGGCAGGCAGGCAGACGGACAGACGGACAGAGGGGCAGACGGACAGAGGGGCAGACGGACAGAGGGGCAGACGGACAGAGGGGCAGACGGACAGAGGGGCAGACGGACAGAGGGGCAGACAGACAGAGGGACAGATGGGCAGACAGACGGGCAGACAGAGGGGCAGACAGACGAGCAGACAGAGGGGCAGACAGACAGACAGAGGGGCAGACAGATGGGCAGACAGAGGGGCAGACAGACAGACAGACAGACAGACAGACAGACAGAGGGGCAGACAGACAGACAGAGGGGCAGACAGACAGAGGGGCAGACAGACAGACAGAGGGGCAGACAGACAGAGGGGCAGACAGACAGACAGACAGACAGACAGACAGACAGACAGACAGACAGACAGACAGACAGACAGAGGGGCAGACAGAGGGGCAGACAGACAGACAGAGGGGCAGACAGACAGAGGGGCAGACAGACAGAGGGGCAGACAGACAGAGGGGCAGACAGACAGACAGAGGGGCAGACAGAGGGGCAGACAGAGGGGCAGACAGGGGCAGACAGACAGAGGGGCAGACAGACAGACAGAGGGGCAGACAGAGGGGCAGACAGAGGGGCAGACAGAGGGGCAGACAGAGGGGCAGACAGAGGGGCAGACAGACAGAGGGGCAGACAGACAGACAGACAGACGGACAGAGGGGCAGACGGACAGAGGGGCAGACGGACAGAGGGGCAGACGGACAGAGGGGCAGAGGGGCAGACGGACAGAGGGGCAGACGGACAGGCAGACAGACGGTCAGACGGACAGACAGGCAGATGGACAGACGGAGGGACAGACAGACAGAGAGACACAGACAGACAGAGAGACACAGGCAGACACAGACAGACATAGGGACAAAGACAGACAGAGGGAAGGACAGAAGAGGGAAAGACAAGACAGACGGAGAGGGACAGACAGAGAGAGACAGACGGAGAGGGACAGACGGAGAGGGACAGACGGAGAGGGACAGACGGACGGAAGGGGATGAACGGATACCGAGAGTCAAACAAAGTCAGAGACACAGCAAGACAGAGAGAATCACTGTTTGGAAGAAGGGAAAGGGGCCGGCACTGTGTGGAGAGACCTGTGAGAGAAAGATAGAGACAGAGAGAAAGGCTGACACCATGTGTACTACAGTGACTCCAATTCCTGAGGGAAAAGGTTTTAGTTAGTACTGTACATTGTATTCTGAGTGATGACCTCGTAACCAGACTATATTCATAATTACAGTGGGAAGGGTCCCAATTAGTGTGTATCACTGGCTCTCAAGTGTACCTTGGTCTTTGATGTATAGCGTGAAAAGCTGGGCTCCAGCATTGATCGCTGGGGAACCCCACTTGTCACTGCCCACCAAACAGTGAATGACCCTTTTACCTCAATTCCCTGCCTCCTGCCTGCCATCCAACCTCCTGTACTGAACAATAATCCTTGCAGTTGACATAGCACCTTCTCACGTCTTCAAGACGTCTCAAAGTGCTCCAGGTGTTATCCAATTCCATGAGTGTTAACTTTAGCCAATAATAATATTCCTTTCATTTGATACCTTTCACCTCGGTTTCCTATGTTGAGCCTTATCAAATGTGGGACACTGCTGTGCGCAATTGGCTGCCATGTTTCGCCCATAAAATATACAGTCAATTCACTTTACAGTATGTTCTGTGAAGCGCTTTGAGACGTCTCGCAGACGTGATATGGCGCTATATCAAATGCAAGGATTATAATTATTATTAAGAATTGCTCCGTCTTTCTCTCAAATGCTGTTCAGTGCCAGCACATTTTCTTCAAACATTTTCTCGTTTCATCTTCGATTTCCAACATTCCCATTTTATTGTAATCAAAAACACCAAGCTGCTAAATGATTTGGTTGTCAGATTTCCAGGATACCTTAAAGGGGAACTTTAAAAATAATTGCAAGCAGTTCTACTTTCACACATGTGGTTTACCCTTCCAGTGATGGAACTGACAGCAAATAATCCAAATAAGCTCTGAGTTAAACAGGTAAAAATACAACCAAAATATTACAAATTGATTTGATTATACTTTACTCACTTGTCATTGATGAGTTTTTTCACGTCGTTCCACAATGATTCCAATAAGTGAATTTCTTTATCAGCTTCAGCGGCCAAAGGCTTATCTTTCTCGGACAATTGTTTTGCTTTGTCCTTCAGCCACTGTAACTCCAGTTGCTGGGAGTTGAGTTCCTCCTCTAGCTGGTTAAAGAACCTCAGCCTGCAGAAGAAGAGAAGGGCCCATAAGCAGGCGCGAGTTTGTCAAGGATATTACACTACACGAACGATTCACGTTTCTCCGATCGTAAACTGAAATGGCTTCTCTTCAAGTTTTAATCTTCAAAATGAGCCTTCACATGAAACGATGAGGGTTCAAGCCTCCCATTGAGCGAATCAAGGTCAGAGTTGTTAGGTGTGGTTATGCATTCTTCCACCCAGCTTTCACGGGAAATAATACCCACAAATAAATGATTTTATACTCATCTTCATTTTCAAAACTTTTCATGGTATTGCCCCACCTGACCTCTGTGACCTATTATTATTATTACCTTCTAAAATCTTACCAACTCATCTGATCCCTCCAATCATCAGGCACTGGCCTGCTTCACGTTCCCCCTCCTGCTCTACCACCAGTGTTCAGGCCTTCAGCTTATCTGTTCCCACTCTCTAGAATTCCATCCAGGAGTCCCTTTGCTTCCCTCGCCTCCTTCAAGGTCCGTCTTAAGACATTCTTCTTTGACTGCTCCTTCGATCTGGCTGAAATCAACTGGCATCAAATCCAGGATTGTTCTAATATATATTGCTCAGTCGCACAATCGGCAGTGGTTATACCAAAGTAGGGCAAAGGGACATTAATTTTAAAGCCATATTTAATTATGATGGGTGTAATAATTTATGTTCAATATTCACTACAGTGTACACTGTTCCTTGTGCAATTCTCATTTGTGTATGTTTACCTGTGCTGCAAAGCTGTGACCTCTTTGAAACTCGCTTTGTCCACTTTTTCTTCAACATCTTCGATCGCTTTCAGCAGCTTTTCTTTGCGTTCTTTAAACGATTTCCACAGGAAGTTGAGGGCTTCAGCTTCACTTTGTTTAGTACCAAGAAGCTTTTGGGCAGACTCCAGTTCCATCTCCAGCTCCTGAGCCAAAGCCTTACACGAGCTCCTGGATTCTGAGCTGATGTTCTTCAGATGGTACTGAGCTTTACTCATGAGACCATCAAGCACTGCAGCCTGGCATTCCAACTGTTTAATGTCTGGTGTCACGTCACCAAGCTCCTTATCCAGTAATTCAGTCTTGACCTTGTCCCAGTTGCTTGCAGTTTTGACAGTCTTTCTTATTCTGCGAAGCACGTTTCCTGCCATCCTGTGCATCTCCAGGAAAGAACCTAGTTCTTTCAGGGCCACTTTCCTTCGCTCCACAGTTTGATTGGCGTCCTGGAAAAGCCTGAAGCACTCCTCGGTCCTGCCGAAGAGCTGCTGGTGTGCTCCTGGTTCACAAGTGGAGCACAGCTGATCTACCTGATCCTTCAAGTTTTGCAGTTCAGCACTTTGTTGTTCAACAGCTCCTGCTTGGTCCTGCCCATTAAAATAATGCAACAAGAATTACAGTTCAGCATCTCAACTTGTTCTTTCATTCATAAATATCAGTTATAAATGCACATTGTGGAAAATATGAGGTTAAGAGTTATAAAAGGAACGTTGTTGTTCTCTTGAATTCCTGGCTTTGGTGCAACTATCGCCAAATTAATTTTATGCGATTTACATGGTTTCTTGAATCATGATCCAATAATTATAACATGATATTTGCAGATACTTTCATGGGAGAATTTACATAATTCTGTACACATTGATAGCATTGTTAACTGAAGGTTGGGATGGTCAGAGTTTACAAGATTAAAGGAAGGATTTACATGAACAAGGCCTTTCAGTTATTTAAACTATGTTATTTAACATCATCTCTCAAGGACTCTCTCACATGGCTCTGGCTGATAGCTGCCTAATGGGAAGCAGAGGGAACTTCCTCCCTAACTGAAGGGGCTTCTTCAGAACCTCTCTTATAATCTTGTGACCTGCAACAGTCCAAGTTTTAAGTAGAGTACATCTTCAAAAGAAATAAAAACTGCCAAAAAATAGCAAAACAAGTAACCCATTGATGGTCTTAATGCAGTTAAGCTTTGTGGGGCTTACTGTAATGAGATGAAAGAGAGATGTAGCAAAACAATTGAGGATACTGTGCTGCATTCAAAAACAGTTTTACATTCATTCCCACCTTTATGTGATTCAAAGCCGGCTGCAGATCTGTGAAGCTAATCTCGGAGGTTGTCTGCAAACCACTAAGAAAGCGTTCAATCCAATAAGAAAACTGTAGCAAACATTTGTCAAAGTGCTGATGGTTTTCAATCGTTTGCTCCAGGAAACGAATCCTGCAAGACAAAAGCAGCACTGCGGTAATAGATCACGAAACAGCTATTACTTAGTTGAATGATTTATGCTCAGTGTAGTGTCTCACAACAACTGCTGAACATATTTTCCCTCATCTTCTCTTAAAAGTGCTGACTGTGCCTGGGGGAGTGTTGCGTGGGTATTTAGCAGCTCTCTACTATCTCACCTGAGGGCCTGAGTTCCTGTACGAATCTCACCAACTTTTTGTTGAGGACACCAATTGCAATTGCTTGATGGCCACTGCCTGGCATTCTCCCTGGAACACACTGTACCGTGGCCTGGGGTGAATGGGTTTACCTTACACCATGCTACAACTACAATGATTGCAAGGAGGCAGAGTCTTAAAATCAGAACAAAGACAGTCAGACCTGAAGTCAGCGAGAATCTTCTCACACAGAGGGTTGTGAACAACTACAAATTGCATTTATTTAGCTCCTTTCACCTTGAGAGGACATCCCAAGGTGTTGAACAGTGAAGGGTTTGCATCCGAGCTGGGGTTGGAGTCACGAGAAGTGGAGGGCAAGGGGTATGAAGGAGGGAAGATGACTGAATGCACGGACAAAGAGGAAGGTCTAGGGACAGGCCTTGAAGGAGACAAATGAGGGGGACGATGCGGAATCGCTCTGGGATGGAGTTTCAGAGGGTGGGGCAGAAAGGCTGAAGGCCCGAGCGCCAATGGTGGAGCGGGCAGGGGACACCGATCAGGCCAGTGCCCACCGAGCAAAAAAATGTGAAGATGTGGAATGTTTGGTTTCAGAAAGCCGTCAAGTCAGAATCAATAAGATGTTTAAAAGAGAGAGATAGAGGGTAGTGGAGGCATCAAAGGCATTCAGGGGTATGGCGAACAGGGCAGTCGGATTAAATTATCTGCCAAAATCTAACAACCTAGTGGAACAGGTTGAATGGGCTGAATGACCTCCAGTGAAAGGATTGCTCTTGAGGGAGTCAGCACAGATGATGATGGGCTGAATGGCCTTCTGTGCTGTAAATTTCTATGGCTCCTGTTCTCTTGTGTTTTTATACCTCTCTGGCTGTTATCAATTGCTTCATTTTCCTTCTGGGATCCAAGGTGCCAATTACTTTATAGTACCTCACCAAGGTAGCTATTACCTATTTGTAAACCTATACAATAAATATCGGCAGTCTATTTAGCACAGTAGCTGAATTGAAACAGTTGTAAATCAGAGTGCTTTCTAAAATCACCCCACCTTTTTTTGACGGTGTATGAGAGACTCTGCAACCTCTCGTCCAGCTGTTGCAAATTTGCTTTAATCGTCTTGAAACTCTCTTCTGAGGTGGTTGGGTACAAGGCCTTACTCTGAGTCACAAGACTCCTGTGAATAGGCTCCTGCGATGTTACCTCAGACTGAAACTCCTGTAGAGATGGTGAGAAATGCAGTACAGCTTCTGTTAGTAATGCACACACAAATCTGGACTTATATAGTATCATTCAAGCAGGACATCTTGAGGATCTTAGGATGGACAGTGAGGGAAACGGAGCAAGGTGAAGAAGGATCGGATGTAGGGGACAGTAACCAAGACACGGACAAAGAGGCAAATTATTCAAACTGTTTTGAAGACAGAAAGAGTGTGAGGCAAACGGATTTGGCATAATATCACAGAAAATAATAATAATCCTTGCATTTGATGTAGCGCCTTATCAAGTCTTCGAGACATCTCAAAGCACTTCGCAGAATGTACAGTAAATATATTCAGTATAAATTCAGGGTGGGGGGGCTTAGTGTGTGTGTAGAGCTGGAGGGGAGAAGACTCCAGGCTACGGCTTAGGGACTCCGGAGTGGAGTTCCAGAAAGCGGGTACAGAATGAGCTGAATGCTCAACGTTGGAGCAGATCGAACAAGGACCAAGAAGCAGGCTAGTGTTTTCTGAACGGAGAAAACTGGGCAGTTGAAATAATAAATTTCAAGTTAACTTGCTATAAAAATGTAAATTCTTTATTTCTGATGATTGATTAAAAAAAATCAGTCTCCAAGGTATTGTGTGGTTATTGAGTCTAAACATATTATTCACATTAGAAATATAAAGCAAGGCTTGACTTTTACCTTCAAACTTTGTACTTCATTTTGCAGTTTGGTTTGGTCAGCAGAAATGTACGGTGACCACGAGTTCGGAACAGCTTCACATCTTTCAAACCAGGAGACAAAGTTGGGCAGGTCTCTTTCATACCTAGTTTAGAAAGATAGACAACATTACAGACAGACCACACTGATATACTGCAAAGAAATTATAGGAATTTGGGGCTCTGGAACTGACAGGAACAAAGTGTAAAGAGTGGAGGCCACTGTCGTTTCCATCCTTGCAAACTACAATAGAAACATGTTTAACTTCTACAGAATATCAGGGAAACCTCTCAAAACTAGGATTAAATTGAAAAGTTTAGTTAACAACAATAATAATCTTTGCAGTTGTGATACAGCACCTTATCACATTGTCGAGACGTCTCAAAGGGCTTTACAGGATTTTACTGTGAAGTGTAATGACTGTGAAGGGAAATACAACAACTAATTTTCACACAGCTAAGTCCCAAAGATAGCCATGAAGTGAATGAACAATTTTACTTGGGGGGTTATTGGCCAGAGCAGGGGGACAAACCCCCTTCTCTTTTCAAATAGTGCCATGAGATCTTTAACGTCCACCTGAATAGGCAATTGGGACCGTTGTTTAACACCTCATCCAAAGGATAGCACTCCGGCAATGCAGCTGTATTGGCATCTAGACTGTGAACTAAAAAAAAACATTTAAGACATGTTTACATACTTCTGCCAGAGGGACAATAGGTTTTCCAGTTCTCCCCGTCTTGCTTTAGCTTGTTCTTGCATCTGTTTGTATTTCTGCTGCAGAGCGGACAGCTCTTCCGCAGCTTTTTCTTGGTTGCTGACTTTGCGGGTGCTTGCTGAGAGGTCTGCTATGGTGATTTCCATCTGTTCAACAGCCTGACAGAGCTCCTGTCCATAAGGAGGCAAGAATCAAACAGATAATCGCAAATAACCATCCGACAGCTTGGACTGCTAATGATTTTATTTCAAAAATAGAAAGAATTTCACCCATATGTGGAACTCTCAGTCTGATTTGGATACTCTTAAGCATGGCAATAGGTGCTCGCATGTGTCAGACACCCAGCTGATCAAAGAAAAGAATATGATGTGTGCATATGCTCTTTTAGCTTTGCGATGCAAACACTCGGTGTAAAGTAAGCTGCAGTGGAGTTTTGTTATAAGACAGCCATAGAGGTCCATGAAATCCCAACCCGCCTTATATCAAGGTTTAGCTGGTTTCACAGCTCACTGACAGGATCATGTGTTAAAAATGGTTCTGACTTTTAGGTCATCAGAACACCATCACTTTGCGTGTCCTGTGCAAATAGGAAAACATGTTGACACGTCGCAAAAGCACCGACTCCTATTCGTACCTTGTGCCCTTGCACCAATTTATTGGCTTCTGTTGCTGAGGAACACTTTGTGACTGCGCCTGTCAATTTAGCCTCAATTTCAGTCAGTGTTTGCTGAGCCTGTAAATGGAGAGAGTAAAATTACCATTTTTACCAAGAAATGACTTCTTCTATTTACTGAGTCTCAACTGTTCGAGTGTTTCATTACTCCAGTACCTTGCTGAGGTCTTCATTGTGTTTTTGCTGCTGTGAGGCACTTTCCCCCACTTTACCATCCAACTCTTGGGCATGTTCGCAGACATTCTCCCACCGTCTCCTGATCTGCGTCACCCGAGCCTTCATCTGCACGATTTCTCCCGTGGTGACAAACTTGAAAAAGCTCTGCGAGCTTTCTTCTAAACTCTCGATTTCTTTTGACTTATCAATAACTTCTTTAAGAATACACTGGGAATAAAGAACATAGATTTTTGTTTAAAAAAGTGCTCTGATAAAAGACAAACAAGATAATAACAATGTTTGCATTTGATTTAGTGCCTTTCATGTCAAAAGGACGTCTCAAAGACCTTTACAAGATTTACTGAAAAGTGCAGTGAGTATATATTTGGAGGCGAATGCAGCAGTAAATTTGGACTCAACAATGTCCCCAAATAGCCAGTAAGTGAATAATCAAATTTATTTGGGGGGATTGTTGACCGGGATACAGGAAGGAACTCCCTTCTCTCTTCATATAATGCCATGGATTCTTTAGCGTCCCCCTGAACAGGTAGATGGGACCTCAGTTTAACATCTCATTTAAAGGATGGCACCTCCAACAATGCAGCCCTGTGCTGTAATGTTGGTCTGGAATGGGAGCTCAAATTGTGGGGCTTCAACCCACAACGATCTGACTCAGGGACAAGAGTGTTACCCAACTGAGTGACGATGGCTCTTGTATCTGCCTTGATGTGCCTAATGTTACTATTTATTTTGAATCCATGCAAAACGAAAAGTATCAGCAAAAGCAGTGACATTACCCTAACTTGGGAAAGTTTTTTCTCCGGTGGAAAAGATGACCCCTCTAAAGCATCCAGCTCTTTTTCCTTTTCTTCCGTCCAGGCAGACAACATCTCACAGGTATTTATAAAGGCTTCCCACTGGTTTTCAACCCGTTCTAATTTTTTGACGCTGCCATAGAAAGAGACACATTAGTCAAATTAAGATACTCATCTGTAAATCCAATTACAACAGCAGCAGCAGCTTGCATCTGTGTAGCGCCGTTCACACCAGACAGCCTTGCCTAATCAGTCAGTGAAGATTATTCAATTATTCTGCACCGTTACAAATCTTTTTGAATTTTCAAAAACCCAAACCATTTCATTTTTGCTCCAGTTTTGTTTTCTTAGATAAAATTCTACAACAGGTGGCTGTTCTGACACTGTGCAGTCACCATCGTTGAGCTACCTGACCTCTGCAGGTGTCCAAGTGCGCCATACGGTGACTCACCTGTTCCATCTTCCCTGGGAAGAAGCTCGTAACCTTCAGCTCTCAATTCAGCTCAGACAACCCATGATGAGGATTGTTGGCTCGGTGAATTGTCTATTGCGTGGGGGGGGTAGGGGAGTGTACAATGATGCAATGCCAAGGTCCTGTTCACCAAACTCTATCCTATATCCTGTAGTAACTGACTGATTAGTAGAATATTGTATTTGGCTCTGAATTATTTTTAATATATTATCCAGCTGTGAGTCTGACACCTAAGGAACCTGGAAAAGTCGTCAGTTCCTATTTGCCAGATAAGGAGTACGTAATCTCTCCCAGAGGAAGCAATAAACCCACAGAAAATAAGCACAGTTAAAATAATAATAACTTTTACATTTGACAGATCGCCTTTGGGAGATGTCCCAAAACACTTTGCAGGAGTTACCACCAGGTTATGAGGCCTGTGGGAAGAATCCCTTCCTCTGAATGACATCTCTCAAGTTAAACCCACTAGATATCACAACACCGAGTACTATCATCAGCGAATCCAAGTGTTCTTGTTAAACCTAAATGGAGTCTATCCCAACTTTTGGTCCATTACATGATGTTGTGCTCAGATCAGTAGTTATTTTCACAGCCTTGTGTTAAACTAAGATTTAAAGTAAGGAATTGCCACTTACTCATTCAACAAGGATTTCAGGACTTTCTCAGTCTTCTCCTTCACCAGCCTCACTTGCTCCTGGAGGGAGTGCTTACTCTTTGGACCGATTTGCATTTCTGAACATTTCTCTGATAGGTCTTCAACCTGAGCTGCCTTCGCTTCACCATCTGTGTAAAATTCCTGTGCATACACGCAGTATTCAATAAACAGGTCAATTAGAGAGGGAAGAAATTAGAAAACTACAATCCTGAATGACAGAATGCTAACAGCATGGAAGACTATTTGGCCCATCATGTCTGTCCTAGTATGCTTACTCCACAGGAACTATTGACTCTAACCTATTTTTCTTTATTAATAATAATAATCCTGATCTTTGACAAAGTGCATTTCATGTCAGTAGGACATCTCAGATTGCTTCACAGGAATTACTGTAACACATGGTGACTGCATTTTGGATGCAAATGCAGGATCAAATTGCACATAGCAGTGTCCTACAAACAGCCATGAAGTGAATGACCAATTTTATTTTGGAGAATCGTTGGCCAGGACACCAGGAGAAACTCCCTTTTCTTATTGAATAGTGCTGTGGGATCTTTAACATCCACCTGAACATGCAGACGAGACCTTGATTTAAAGTCTCATGTGAAGGACTGCACCCCCCCCCCCCCCCCCCGCCCCCCAACAGTGCATCAGAGTGTCAGCCTGACGTGGAGCTTGAATCTACAACCTTCAGAGGCAAGTGTAGTGCCAACTAAACCAGGCTGACACACTTTGAGATGCACATGAGACAGTACTTTTCTCACATGGACAGTATAGGGATCATCTTACTTTTGTTTGCTCAATCTCTGTAATCAGAGATTCTATGCTGCTGAAGGAACGATCGCTGTCCACGGAAGCTGCAGCTCGATTCAGGAACTTCATTGCTGCTCCTATCTCATCCTCAAAATGTTGCCATTGAAGCAATGTCTCCTTCACAACACAACACAGCAGGTTAACTTACAACACATCAGGTTAATTTACAGCACCTTGATTTACACAGATTGGATTTTGAAGGGCAACCTGGGGTCTTATTTATTGATATTACTTAAAAGATTTCTAATACGAAATGTGTAATTATTGAATTACTAAAACGATAATACGGGAAGACACCCCTCCGCCTAATATTAAAACATGATTTGGGGTCCATAAAATTGGACACTGCATTAAAACAGGTGGTAAACATGGGCTGCCGGTCTCACTCTTGTGTGGTCAGGTTGCTGCTGACGCCACTTATGGTTTCCAGCCTAGACTGGTCACCTTTCTCCACATGCACACAGGGTACAGGAACACAAGTCCACTCTGGAAGCTGAACATATACAGCTCTTCCGTATGCAGGACACCCGCAGTTCGAGGTTTGGATTTCACTGAGGAGATGGGACACCCGTGTTATAAGGCTCGCACTCCAGAGAGGTTACAACCAGGTCGTCCCATATTGAATAAAGAATGCATTTTTCACCGCATTCAATGTTTTAAAGATTCAGTAATTACACATTTCTTATTAAAAATCTCTATTCAGCAATACTCCAAGTTACATCTGATTGTCTGATTGCTTAGCGGAAAGTCGAATATCACTGCCATATGTATAATTGTTAATTTTGCTTGCCATATATTTGCCCACAACTCTAACCAGTCTACTAACGGACTTACCTCCAGTTGTTTCTCTTGTTCCTCCACGCTTTGATCCATTGAATCCAGAGCAGTTTCCTGGCTTTGGAATTCCTCCTGCATTGATTCCATCAATTCCTCTGATGCCAGCGACTCCCTTTCCTGAAGTATCTGATGCTGCATGTCCAGACACTTTGAGGTGAATTGTTTCAGTTGTTGCTGCGGATTTACATAAATTCAAATGACTTTTACTGTGACAAAGGTTTAGATTTATCCCGTGATTATGAAAGTTAATAATTCAGGAGGATACGTCCCAGAACTGTGCAAGAAAAGCATTTGTAAAACAAATTGTCTGCTCTAATATGGAGCAATGTGTACGTCCTCACATTTCGACCTGAAGTTCCATTATGCAGAATGTGTATAATATGATGGTGCTAAAGTGCTTGACCTGCAGTCATGAGCATCCAATGATAAGTACTAAAAATAGTGATCTTTTCTACTAAGTCTTTGTAGCAGGAAATCCCATTATAAAAACTTAGTGGAAACGATCACTATTTTCAGCAATCAGCCTAGGTTAGACCCCAATGAATGGATCACGTTGGCTAATTCAAGCATTTAAATTTGTACACGAGCAGTAATCCAGCCATGGTCTATGGAATTAAGGGAGAGGTTAGAAGGAATTTCTTCACACAGAGATCTGGTAGGGTTTAGAATTTGTTGTCATTGTAAGCGACTGTTGAGGCTCGGTCGACAGAATTATAATCGGGGAATTGGATAATAATAATCCTTCTATTTGATATTACTCCCTTCACGTCAGAAAGACGGTACCTCTGACAGTCCAGTGCTCCCCCAGCAGTGCAATGAGGTGTCATCTTAAATTGTGAGTTCAATTTCCTGATGTGGAGTTTGAATCCACAACCTTCTGACTAAGAGACGTGAGTATTACCAACTGAGCCAGGCTGACACCAACCTAGATAAACAACGGGCAGTGAAAAGTAGGTGATGTGAGCAAAGAGCATGGAAAACGGGTCTGATAAAGAAAAGGGAACAATTTAATAAAATAGGGAACAGTGGCACAGAATGTGATGGGCTGAATACTCTCTTTGTACGTAGAATGTTTCTAACCCAATGCTTAATGGGTGTGAGGGCATAATTGAAAACTGACCATAATTTGTCCGAAAATCAAAACTTTAATCAGAGGAGCAACAATTACTGCCTGATGGTCTGACAAATAAAACTGCTAGTGCAGTTGGGGGAAGGTAATATTCCTTTAAGGCTGAGAGTTATTGAACAAGGTAGAAGAGTGAGTTTCATTCAATTGCTGACTTTGTAAAAGCTGACATGACAAAACAAATGTGAAAAATGTTCCCCCTGGCAGCAGTGGCGTTCCTCATCTTGGTGATCACGTGATTTGTCAAAAGAAATCCAAAAATAAGACATTCCGCAGCAGAAATCCATAACTCGTTTTATTCTACTTCAGGGAAAAGCTCCTCACCATTCACCTATTACCTATGGCAGTGGTGAATTATAGGCCTCCATAAACCTGGGTTTGCACCATTACAATTGCACTATCCTTTCTGTAGAGTTCAGTGTGAATGTTATGAGTCTTTGCTTTAGGTCATTAACGGATGAGTCCAGATTATTTTACTGAGGCCTGTACAGTGTTACAGATATTGTACTGTATAAACTGTGCCAGAATTGGAGACCAACATGCATTTTAAATTGGGAAATTCATAAAGTATGGAATAGGAATGTACCCACAAAATACACAGTCACTATACTTTACGATAAAACCTGTGAAGCGCTTTGAGGCGTCCTTCTGGCATGAAAGCTTTGATATCAAATGCAAGAATTATTATTATTATTATAATAAACAAAAATACTTCAAATAATAGAACACAGGTAAGCACGAGCTATAATTTACATTGAAGTTAACAACAGTCATTGAGGGTTCATGTCAACAATGGAAAGAATGAAAAAATTGATCATATCCTGACTGCTATCATAGTCATTTCTTTGCTTGTTTGTAATGAGTACTGCGAGTGCAGACACAACTAGTGCAAACCTCTAACACATCACCAAATTAAATAAAATCCATTTGCGGCACATAGGAGGAAAGAAAACATCCACAAGCAGAAAGCTGCAGCCATCAGGTAATAACTCTTACATACAATTAAAGGTCAGCTGTAAGCTGTGCAGAACTATATTAAAAACTGCAACATTCAACCAAATACAGGAGGATTTATCTCATCTAGAACTGAGCCGAACTGGGTACCACTCGACATGCAATGTACAGGTAAAATTAATTGACTTGTTATGCATTGAGTGGTCATCCAAACAGGTCGTCACCAAATCAGCTCCATTGGAATCGATTCAGGGAATTATATGTAGCCAGCTTAAAGAAGTCAATCTTAGGTTCTAAGCAAAACATATTAAAATGACTTTTTGCACTGGTATCTGTACCTGATGAGGTAGTCTGAGTTGCTGTGCCTCTTCCAGACTGTCTGAATCCAGGATGCTGTCAACCTCAGCTTGCAGTTGTTTTTGAGAGTTAATAAGAGCCTCCAGGGCACTCCGAACTTTATCTCTCCGATGGATGCTTTCACCAACAGATGACAGCATTTTTTCGGTCTGAGGAGACACAGCACATCAATGATAAAGGACTTGAATATGCTGCTCATTGTTCAGTCGCATGTAAGATTGAATATAAAATTTATGTTGTGATATGAAAATTCAGAACCCGCTTCCAGAAAATGTTTTATTATACACGTATGCCCCTCGGATATATGAATGCTTGCTCTTTCTAATTTTCACATTGTTCTTTTTCCAGAGTTGTGATTTCACTGAAAACAGATGATACATAAACACTTTGAATTATACCTCTGAAGGGGCATTAATTTTCCTGAAACTAACTGAAGAGTGTGTGATTTTGCAAAGCAATAATTTGATAACTGCAAATTTAAACAGAACTTCAATTGGGCTTCAATTGCCCTTCCTGGACGAATGCACCAAACAGATTGCAAGTCTGGGTGCAATGGTGCACTGCAATTTACATTTTAATTTCCCTTCTACATCAATGCTTAAATTTCAGGATGGACCCAAAAATAAGTAATTCAAAAATACAATTCATTGCTTCGAGGACAGTGGAAGGAATTGACCAGTTAGATAGTGGACGACACTTCCTTCTAGTGACCAAGGCCCAGTGAAAACCTCTAATTCCACAGCTATAATTATGTGTCATGCTGCTGTGAAGAGGTCAAGGGCATGCCTGGAAATATTATTCAGGATATAAATTAATATAAATTATTATTAATAATGTATTTTGTAGGAAGCTATTTTGTAATCTATTTATAAGACTTTCTATTTGTTTGCTTTAAAAACAACAATAATTTGCATTTATATTGCACTTCTTCCATACAAAAATGTCACAAAGCATTTGACAATGTAATGGTCACTATCACTTGCGGAGGGAAATAAAAAATACAGACCAAAGGCATGGCTGAAGTGATATGTTTTTAGGATATTTTGAAGTCAACAAGTGAAGCAGCAAAGCTAAATGTTATTGGAAAAGAATTCCAAAGGACAGATATCGTGTCTGAAGGCTCAGTCACATACATTGCATTCCAGGACTACTTGAGAGGAAATAGGAATTATTTGACTCATCTCTCACCTCAGCAATGTGTGTTTGGAATTCATTGAATTCAGCTGTTAGTTTGGACAGGGCTTCATCATGCTTTTTCACCTCATTCTCAGAGGAGACCTCTGTCAGTGCAGCGAGTTTGGATTTCAGCCAGTTAAGCTTTGCCTTCTTTTTGCTGGTGTTCTGCTCAATTCCCTAAACAAAAAGACACAGACAGGCCTGCTTACAGATATCAGTCTCATTGTATATGCCAGACTGTTTAACAAAAGGGCTTCTTCCAGAATCAGTCAACTCCACTGGAAACTATGATTTAATCTTTCGGGAAAGACGGTGACAGTTCTTGGTTCAACTAATAACGCTCAACTTCCCCAGAGGTTCTATTGATAAAGGCATGGTTCAAAGTGGAATTGAACCTTACACACCATGGAAGAGCCAGTTCAATTCCTGTTCTGTGCTGAGTTAGCTGATCTGACCGGAACAGATAGTGTAGTAAAATAATTGGCCTCTGGACTGGGGAGAGGGGGAGAATGAAGAGAGAGAAAAATTAGCCAATTTCCCTTCTTGAACGCTATCCGTTCACCTCTGATACAAAGTGCCTGTATGTGAACTTGGAGCTCAGACAAGAAAGGGCTTGGCTCTATTGCCCCTGCTTCCCCAATGTATCAGGTGTGCATTTCCACCGCAGTGGAAAGGAGTCGAGTATTATAAAGAATTGTGGGATCTTGCCCTAAAATCTTTATCAGCACTTAATGGTGGCATTCCATTTGCCATACGACTGTTAGAGCTGATGGCAAAGCAGGAGCCACTGGGAAACTAAACCAATAACGAATACTGATAGCTTTCCAAATCTCAAAAATTTGATTATTGTCTAAATATTCTTTCAAAGATCAACATTCTTCAAAGTGCCGGCATGAGTCATACTTTTTAAGAAGTTTGATACTTTCCAATTTATCTAACATTTCATGAGTCTTTTATCTTTTCAAGATCATTGTGTAGTCAACAAACCTCCAGTCCAGATTTCAACTCTCCATACTTGTTGTGATTCCTGGCTTCATGTTTGATCGCAGTCAGCTCTGTGTCCTTTGCCGACACCCAATTTGACAGATCAGAATATCTGCAGAAGTGAAGAAATATCAACGGTTGTGAGGGAGTATCTTTAAGTTCAGGATTAGTAAACAGAAACCATAAATTCACAGAGGGCACTGAGCAACCACCCTGGACTATTCTGAACATCATTGGGAGAGTCACTACACCCTTATTCACTGGAATTACCGATCTCTACCCCTTTGTCTCTTGCTCTCTCTGTGTCATCATCCTGCCTTAAATCCTTTTCAACCATGCCAATGATCACTTCCCTCTTTCTTTTCCCTTACTCAACAGTCAACTCCCTCATTGTAAAGTGCTCCAAGTGCAGTTGGGATAAGTGACTTTATCCTATGGGGGGAACGCTATATAAATGCAAGTTATTGTTGTTGCTCTTAAGGTTATGAAGGAGGAGCAAACCAGAACATCAGGTTTCTATCACATCTGACAGAAACAGGTTTTACATCCGCAGGTCCGTCAGGACTGCAGCACAGGTGGTTCTGACACATGTCCATTTATGCTTCGGTAGCCAGACTCTGAAAGAGGCTAAAAGTGATCTGTGAACGTCAAAGTACCTTCTCGCACCCTGACAGCTCATTATCAGTGTGGCTGGCTGGAGGAATAGCTACAAACAGCCAGCAGTTTGCATGAAAATCAAAATCAGTTTTCCTCCCATTTTAGTTTGAGAAAGGAAAGTCAGAGAGAAAAAGAGTGTCACAGTGTGAAAGAGAAAAACAAATTGTCATGGCTACAAACACACAGAAAGGCAGAGAAAGAGAAGCCTGGCACTTCTAGAGTGACAGTATCACTCCAAATGACATAGGTTATTGATTAAGACTGTGGAGCAGTTGGCTCCAGTGGTTACCCTCTTTTCTGCGCTCTAATTTCAAAGGCATTTTTAACAGCTACAGGACAGGAAAGAGCCATGACACAATCTTACAATATTGATGAGCAATATAACGACTCATATATTGTCTTCTATATTAACAGCATTATTATATTGTCTCTTGAACGCAAAGGATCAGTACGCAGAAAAGAATTGTACGCAGACTTATTTTGTATGTGACTAGTACCTGGACGTGTATTCCTTCCATTTATCTGGTTGGTCTAGTAACATTTCGTAGGTTGCGGCAATGAGGCTTTTAAGGTCTCTCAGAGATTTTTTGTCCACTTCCTGTTTTTCTCTGACAGCTTCATTCTCTCGACCGGATGGGAGTTTCTGGCAGAGCTCTCCAATCACCTGAACCCGTTTCACACACCACTGGTGTTTTCCTTTCTCACTGAAAAAATCCTGAAAGAATGCAGTTACTTTTTTACATTGTGTACATCCAGTGAAAATAGAATCAGATGTTTGCAGCAAAGAAGACAACCATTTGGCCCATCAAGTCTGCACGTGCTCTCTTAGCAAGATGTTCATTCAATCTCACTGCCCCACCTCATCCCCGTACCCCTCAGTAGAAGACTGACAAGTTCGATACAGATCCATACCTGATTTTGAACCTGGCAGCATTTAGAGGGGGGCAATTTTAGAGATGTGGCAAAACTGGCTCCTGTCATGTTTATAATAATAATAATCCTTGCATTTGATATAGCATCCTATCACATCTTCAAGACATCTCAAAGCGCTTCACAGAATATATATATAATTTCTGTAACAAATGCAAGGATGATGACTGCTATTTAAAATGGCAGCCACACCAGTAACCAACTTGCTTAAGAAATATTGGCATCTAATTTGCAGTATTTCTTAACAGCATTAATTAAGAAAGAATCTTGCTATAATTCCTGTTTATCCCCAGGTGTTCTGCTCTGGAAAAGTATTGCACTGGATCGCAGTTTCCACAGATCAGTGTGCAAATATCTGGTTACCAGAAGCATTCTGTATTTATACGCTGATTATGTATTTAGCAATCCTGTTAAGAAACATCACAAATTAGGCCTCCTCATTATGAATTTCAATTTGTAGTCTTAAAAAATTGCATATAATGAAACAGCGCAAAAATAAATAAGAATTAAAAAGCAGATCTCTTTCTTCCAGTCTCCTGATGTTATTGGACTTTCCCAGATGTTACTAAAACCTGCTGCATTCAAACAGCATTCAAGGCACAGCTGAGTTACTATTTGAGCCAAATATTCATCAACAAAAATACTTTCTCAAGGTTTAGTGTGACCGTTTTTTTTTAAAGCTGCTTACCCTGTGCTGCCTAACAAGCTGCTCACTGCTTGTGTTGTTTAAGCATTTTCTTTCCCGATCCAGTTCTGATTTACACTCTTCCATTGTTGCGATAAGTTTGTTTCTTGCCACCTCGATCTGAAGACGCAGCAAATAGTAGGGAGCTTCGGCCTGAACATGCTGCAACCATAGAACAAGCAATGCAATCATCAGAGGAAAGGTGCAGGCCACTCAGCAAATCCACTGAGTTAGCTCCAAATATTCCATTTACATAAGGTCAAATGCGAGGTCGTTTTTAATGGTTTTCCATACTTGTTTTGAGTAAACTAGATATGGGTGAATCAGTGGATGTGGTCTATTTGGACTTCCAGAAGGCATTCGATAAGGTGCCGCATAAAAGGTTCGTCCAAAAGATAAGGGCCCATGGAATTGGGGGGAGCATATTAACGTGGATTGGGGAATGGTTAACGGGTAGGAAACAAAGAGTAGGGATGAATGAGTCCTTTTCAGATTGGCGGGATGTGACTAGTGGAGTGCCACAAGGATCAGTCCTTGGGCCTCAGCTATTTACCATCTACATCAACGATCTAGATGAGGACATCGAAGTTAATATATCTAAATTCACGGATGACACAAAACTAGGAGGAAGTGTCAACACAGAGGACGACATTAAAAAAATGCAGCGAGACATAGATAGGTGATTTGGTTTGCTTACACACAGCAAAATCAACCACAGCAATTCAGCATAGAAAATATTATGAAGAGCCCAGTGGTATCAGATGACACTTGTGATATTATCCTTGAAATCAAATAACAGTGCAAGGAGAGGAACTTTAATGCACAGTAAACATAGAATTAACCCATTTAATAATGGTGGCAAATGTCCCCTTGCACAAGAAAGGTTGGGTTCAAGACAACATTTTGATGCATTTGATTCATCCATCCACAATATTAATCATCCTGATTCCTATTAGAGCATAAAACAGTCTCTTAACAAAGTCAAAAATCCTGGTCTCAGCCTCCTTGGTAACCACTTCCAGGTTTTAATGACTCTCTGGGTAAGGATGTGCCTTAAACTTTTGCATCACAATCCTTTACAATTCGTCTTCACAACCCTGAATCAAAGCTCTCTTGTCCTGATGACGTACTCTCTCTATCACATTTAGCAATTCATATCTCTCTCTACGCTTCCCTTCAAAACATTTATTTCAAGGCTGAAATAAATCTATCTTATCTAACTTTCATAGCTCATCCTTCTATCACTGGAGGTCAGCCCAGTTGGTCTCCTCTGTGCTAACATCTGCTCCAAGTGTTATTACTCAGTACTAACCTTCCACTGTTTGTGTAGGTTGCGGACAGTTTCCTGCAGACTCTGCTGCTCTTGCTCAGGCAGGATGTCTGTGAGCTCATCACAGGCCTTCAGAAAAGAGTTCAGTACTCTCTGATCCAACTTGGCACAGAAATCCTGATAAACAGTGATGGAAACCATCAATAATGTACACATATTATCATGATTGTCACACATTCTGTTTTTCAGTGTAGGAGCCGGCAGATTGATAGTCACTTTCCTCTATTGTCAGTCATTCAAGTATAACAGTAGGTAAAATAAATGATGATGACTTTCTTCTACATTAAGTACATGCACGCAACTTGAGCTTCTTGGGGAGGAAATTTCACCTGGGTCTAGATTTACTCTATTTAAGTAGGAATAACAAGTCTCCAAAGTTGGTAAAGTCTTAACTACAACCTTCATTTTGAAGTCGGTCTCCTGAAAATTATTTTTAAAAATATAGAAAAACGACATCAACATTCTGACCCACGATACAGCAGATTATGACTGGCACTGTGGAAAGAATGGTCTTCTCATTCCATGCTTTCTTATATTCTTATGCATTTGGCAGTAACATGGCCAAATATGTCCAGGCTTTGGACAAGACTGTGAACAAATAATTAATGATTATCCACTGATTTAACAGCACACATCTCCTAGCCAGGCTGCACTAAACTGGTTATAGACTTAGATGAGGACTAACACTTTGTTGCATCCTGCACCTTTGTACCAGTCAAAAATTGCAGAGCTCACTCAGTTACGCAATCTCATGGTTGGAATTAAAACCTGCGCAATGCGTGTTTTGTTGCTACAGTATTGAAAAGACACAGGGACCACATGTGTTAGAATCAAATGGTTCAACTGTGCACTGCTAAATCCATATTCCTGCTTTACAGCTATTTTATACACCATGGCACTAACAAAACAACCATGAAATTAAAGGCCCCAGTTAATCCTGGACACTGGTGTTAAATTTCAATCTCAGGCATTTCACTTGGAATAGTTTCAGTGCTCGTACCGTGTGTTTTCCTAAAAGCTGTTCCGGGTTGCCCTTTTCTTGCAGCACTCTGTGTGCAGTCGCCAAGATCATTTCCAGTTCTTTCCTGCAGTCCTCAAATCTCTTCATTAGGCTGCTGTTTGCTTCCATTTGCTTTTTCCACTTCGCTCCCTTCTCCATCATGTTCTAATGACAAATTAACATTGAGATATGACCTAGCACTTACAATGGACAAGCCATGGGATTTTAATACATCCAATTCAAACAATGCAAATGGTCAAAAATATTTGCCTTTGTCATTGCTGTTTCCGTCAAGTTTCCCCCGCTCTCTGGAACTCCATCCCTCATCCTCACCAGTAGTAATTGTTGCATTCAAAAATTGTATGTTCAGGCACTGACTTACCCGTGTCACTTTTTTTAATAAAAATTCCCTCTCCCATCAGAAAAATATTTGATTTTTATTTATATCCCTTTTCAAATAATTCTCATAAACAAACCCAAGGGCTGAAATGTTATTTTCCTAACCAAACAATCCCAAAATACAGTGGCACCTTGCTGCATGCAATAACATATGCAGAGCAGTGCTAAAGCTCTACCTGAAAACCAGTCTGTATCTGAAGGAGCTTCTTTTGAAGCACAGTCGCATCCAGGTGCTTCATTACTTTGCTGCCATTTAACAGTTTCTGTACAACCTCCATATTCTTTTCAACCAGAATCACGGCATTTTTGCAGATTTCTTGACAAGATGTCAGTTCCTGCAAACACAAATACAATTCTTAGTTTCAGGTGTACGTTATCAAATGGTGCTATGCAAGAGGGAGATTGCTGTGTTTCGTCACCAACCTGATGCTTCTTCTTCAAGCTTTCCATTGACTGGCTCTCTTCATTTTCGCAAGAAATGATCTGATTGCTTCGGTTAAATGACTCGTGGAAATCTGTCATTTCAGTCTCCAGTTTTTCCAAAGGTGTCAGTAACTGCTGAGCTTCGAGGAGCAAACTCTGGCAGCGTTCTCTAACCTTTGCAGAGAACAATTTTTTTTAATGAAAATGCATCTGTTTATAAATATGCAAGGCACAAGAAGCTAGCACAAAATCCTTTCATCTCAGGGGACTGACCTGAATCCAGCTAAAACTAATGGGATGAAATAGGAACAGGAGTAACATGTTCAACCATTCTATTAGATCATGGTTGATCAGTGATAAGAGCCCTACAAGAAATTAAGTTGGGTAGTCTAAATCTCCTTAGTGCCTAGTCATCTTGAACCCATAAAGCATCCCTTAATTCAGTATCCTGTAGCTCAGTGGTTAGAGCACTCGCTTTGCAAGTGAGAGACCTGAGTTCAATTCCAGGCAGAGGGCGAAACCTTGGGCAAGTTTCCTTACCCCACACGCCTAATAATAATCCCTCCAAAAAAAACAATAATAAATTGCTCATTTTCAATCCATGACTGTTTGTGGGACATTGCTGTGCGCAATTGGCTGCCGCGTTCGCCCACAAATATACAGTCAATTCACTTTACAGTATATTCTGTGAAGCGCTTTGGGACGTCAAGAAGATGTAAAAAACGCTATATCAAATGCAAGGATTATTATTATTATTAAATTGCAAGTAAGACACCTACCTGATTCCTTAGCTGGAGAATGTCAAACATATACACTACCAATGAATAATGGGTCTTCATTGAAAGGATAATTCTGAATGAGCTAAACTTTCACTTGCAGATCAGCGTTAGAACTTTCTTACTTTTATCAGCTGATCTTTAATGTTTGACATCGTAGCCAACATCTGTGTTACTTCATCCTGTGGCGTGTCCTTTGTTAGCTGCTGGGCTGTCTTGGAGACCAATTTGTAGTGGGCTTCCATTACAGGCACCTTTTGTTTTATTACCTGTGTCGCATATCAGGAACACAAACACTGTCATTGTGATTTATAACCAACAGAGTATAAAGAAAAATCCTCTTTGAAATTAGAGCAGATGATGTGCAGGATTGATGATGGGATGTAAACGTAAACCTATGTACAATGTTTAACCAGAACAATTGTAGCCAAAGGGAAGAGTTATGGCATATTTTTCATTGGAGATAAATAGTTTGTCGGTGTTTGATCCTTCGTGTAAGATGAATTAGTTGATCTCAGTTAGTATGGCTGTATGGGGTCCTACAATTGACTTCAGTGTACTGGTAGCGAGGAGAAAGAGAAAAAATAATCAACTACCCCAGAGCGCCCGCTGCTTGAACATGTGTTGACACCAGATGTGGACAGAATCACTTTATCATGATTGCCTACATTACGCAGCCTGCAACTGTCACCCTCTAAAGTCACACATAAAGAATGGGCATGACAACAGAGGACAAACTGGTGTCCATATAACCATATCTCAATGTACGTCAACTGTCTTTAATGAGAGGGAGAAAATAAAGCTAAAAATTGTGCAATGTGTATTACTAATTTGGTTGTGAAAAGCAGAAATGAAAATGAACTGCCAATCTGTCAGCAGGTCATTGTATATACATGCACTGTAAATGGAAGTGTGAAATACAGTCAATCCTGTAAATCTTTACAGTAAATCCTTTAAATCTCTTTGCGACATCCTCCCGACATGAAAGGAGTTGTATCAAATGCAAAGATTACTATTAATATATCGATCTATATATAATTTACTATCATTATCATCATCATCAATTGGTAAATATTTTAGGATGGAGTATTTTTAAAAACAATCTCCAATTGGTCATTTTTTTTCATCTGCTTGATTTAAATTACGTTCATCAATTTTTTTTGTCAGTAATCCTATCCTCAGCTATTAAAAATCACAGCGCTACCTCCATTTCCTGAATGTAAGTCTTGATATTCGGGAAAGACACTTCCAGAGATGCAACTTGTTTTTCAATTGCGGTGTCTACAAAGGTTTTCAGAGCAGTAATTCCATCCAGATATTCCTTCTTCAATTTGTCCACTTCATCTGCCCGGGCATACTGTCAACAAAGAAAGGATCACAAACCTCAAATTGTCATAAGATAACCATAAAAGATAGTCGTGTACTCTTAAAAAAAACTTTTCTTCACAGTGGAATGTCAATAAGGCCAGGGTTTTTTTTCTGAGGGTGGTGTGGGTGGGCGGCCTGAGGGGAGTAACATTCTCAGAATACATCCAATTCAAATAATGTAAATGGTCAAAAATATTTGTCATTGCTGTTTCTGTCAAGTTTCCCCCCTTCTCTGGAACTCCATCCCTCCACTCCCTCCCTCGCCTCGTTCAACATCTGTCTCAAGGCCTACCTCTTTGACCACACCTTCAGTCATCTTTCTCCTCCCACCCCCAGTTCAGATGCCCAGCCAGTAATGTCAAACACTTTGAGACGTGCTCCCACCATGAAAGGTGCTATATAAATGTAAATTGCATTTTATTGTATGTCGGTGACATGATGTTCAAAACTACATTGGATCCAATAACTCAAAAGTGTATGCGCCTTGAGTAATGGGACTGTAGGATGGGAAAGTGACAAGAGATCAAAATGCTTATAGTTTCCACCACTCCATACGGATTCTGGGTGAGGAGTGGAGCAGGAGGCAAATTAAATTTGGTTTATGTGTACAAAGCAAGGACAGGTTTACAGAGTTCATTCGAGACACTCTTGTGCTGCCAAGAATAAGGATCATGATCCAGATTAAGGCACTGGTGGCATTGTTGAGTTAAATTAACCAACCTGCAGTGTCTGCATTTTCATACAATTAATTACAGCAATCTAATCAACAAAAGCGTTTGCTTCCACCAGAGCAATCAGTGGGGAGGGAAATGGTTCATATACACTTTGTATATCAGGAGAAAAGTTAAGTGATATCCTTTGAAAGATGAGCTTTAAAGGCCTCTTTAGACGATAGTCTGCGATTAAGCCCCAGTGCAAAATGCTCCACTCTCAGACCTAAAACATGCAGCTTGTTCCAGTCACCGGTACTGGAGGCTTCTCTTCCCTGAACACATATGCGCAAAGCCTTGCAATTGGATTGCTCTTACACTGTGCTATGAGCTTTCAATGGAAATATTTCCTCTAATATTTGCTTTGCAAAGGAGGAAAATAGAGCTAAAGTTACATACATGTTTCACTTTCACAAAAAGATCTCTCCAGCGTCCGTTCAATAGCAGCAGTTGTTGTTTAAGGTCCCTGGAAACCAACTCATCACACGTCTCAATGAGGAAATTGCCTGCATCATTCATAACTGTGTGCTGTTGGATCCAATGTGGCAGGTGCCTGAAGAACTCCTTCAATGCAAATGCAAAGGAACATAAGAAAGGAATATTAAATGCATTATACATGAAGTATTGAGAATTTGTCAGCATGAGAACAGATCATTCAATGGATCCTACAACAACAAATTTACATTTGTCAATGCTGGCGTCTACCACAATACCTTAACATCTTCCTTTCATAAGTGGATCACAATAAGAGCACCCGATTCACTTACGAAAGAAAGATGGTAAGGTAGTGTGTTAGACACCAACAGTCCAGGTATAGGACCTGGGTTCAGGTCCTGTCTTGACTGATGGGATGAAAATCTCCTAGGGTCTCTCTGTTGGCTCTAAGGATCCTTACGTTAACAAAGTTTGGAAGATCTGAACCAAATGCCTAGTGGGTGGTAACCCACAGTGCAAAATGCTCCTAATTTCCTCCTCTGGGCTCCCAGCAGAGTAGTGTTGGAGCAAAGACATGTCTTCAGCCATTAGATGCTCACTGACATTTGCCCCTCAGAATGCATAGGACGTACTTCCTCTTAAACCCACTCTCTTACAGACTTGGATAAACCCAAGTTCACCACATAGATCATGTGCAGTATTGCTTTATTAATTATTAGCCTGCACGTTTTCCTATTTGCAAAAACATAGCCAAGATAGTATTTATTTGAGGCCTCAATATATTCCTGCAGATTCAAGAAAAATAAATGAATTTACCCTCTTGGCAGTCTCTGGTTTGTTCAGCGTCTTCTCTGCATCTTCAAGCCAGGCCTGCAGACCCACCACAGTGCCGCTATACTTGTCCCAGTTGGTCAGGACCTCCTCAAGCATACTTCTGACACTACGCACCTCCACAGATAGATTCCGCCACTGCACCACTGATTCATTCAGGAACTTATTGATGCCTTCCCGCTCTTCAGCTTCAAATATAAAATGTAGGAGTGATGTTCAGAATAAAGAATCAAAACATAAGAGTTAGACTTTAATTATACAGTCAATTCACGATATACAAAATATAAATATAAATTCAAAATATTCAGTATATTCTGTGAAGCGCTCTGAGACGTCACAATGATGTGATAACGTGCTATATCAAATGCAAGGATTATTGTTGATTAATTCAATCTGTAAAATATTGGAAGGTAAATCCTTTTTAAACTGACAAGCTACATGCTTTAGCATCAGATCTGTTACCTGAATCTTCAATTTGTGAATACAAATCAGCTGCCTGCTTCAGGGACTGGAAGGTAATCTCATAGTGCTCGAAAAATTTATTTTCTTCAACAAAGCACTGGAAAGAGAAAATTCATGCATTAGTTTGTACATGATTCTGACCAAGTCCCATTTCACATGCAACTAAACAATGATTTTAAAAACTAAATTCAACTACAATTAATTACACCAAAATGCTTCTCACAATATAATTTTGCAGGATGACTTCCACAGATTCCCTTCTGCCATACTTGATGATCCAGGATTTGAGTTTGGTCTCGGTGAGAACCTGGAATGCCTGGAGACGATGCTTCAACTCCAGAAAATCCAGTCTGGTTAAATGGAGTGTGGATGCAGTTGTAATGAAATGAAATCTGTGAAAGTAGGAAATGAATTTAAAGCAACAGCAGAAATCGCCAAAAAAATAAGGAATTTAAGGTGTGAAGCGTTTATCTGTTTTGCATGCCGATTATAATGCCTCTTTGTGGATTTCCAGTGGTTCTATTTTAATTTTGCGCAGAGACGGGTTGCAACAACCTAGAATAGATTTCTTGATACTGGCAAAACGTTAGTGTCAACTTTACCAAATCCCTCACTGCACTTCGCCATCAGTGAAGCTAGGAATCTCCCATCGAGAGACATCAAGGTAGTAATGTCAATGACCCTCTTTTTTTTCTGGCATTTAGAGAGATAATTCCAGATGAAAAACAGTTTTACTTTTACTTTACAATCAGAGAAGAGTTCCCATGGGCAGAAGGGAATTCTAGCAAGATTCCTTATTAAAGAACATTGTTAAGAAATACTGCAAATTAGATCTATTAATATATCCTAACAGATCAAATGGCAATCCTAATCTCTCATGATCTTATGAAAATAATCACCCACATACCTTTTTGCCATATCTTCCAGTTGCTCAGGTGGGATGGGGATCCTGTTTACAGCTCCTGCCCTGTGGATCTGATGGAATGCCTGTCGATGACTCTCTAAAACCTTCATCACATCCTAAGTATCAGGAAGCAAAAGACAAATTGACCAATTAACCTATGAACTCCAGAGGCTGTACACAGACTCTCACCATAGCCAAGCAGCTACACTCAATTGGTAGCACTCTCACCTTTGAATCAGCAAGTTGTGATTTTAAGCCCCATGCTAGGATGTTAAACTCACATAATCTAGGCTGACACTAATACATTGCTGTGGATGTGCTGCATTCATTCGAAGAATGCCAAATGATAAACCGAGGTCCGTCTGCCTATTCAGGGGGATGTTAAAGATCCCATGGCACTAAATAGAAGGAAGCTTCTCTCGTGTCCTATCCAACAATCCCTCAGATAAAATTGGTCATTCACTTCACGGGACATAGTTGTGTGCAAATAGGCTGCTACATTTGCTTATAAAATACAGTCATTACACTTTACAGAAAAACCCTGTGAAAACAACAGAAGAATCTTGCTTCTCTTTTTGAATAATGCCATGGGATCTTTAACGTCCAATTGAACAAACCAAGTGGGGACTCGATGTAGCATCTTATCCGAAGATCAGCACCTCCAACAATGCAGCGCAACCTGGCACTGCACTTATGCGTCAGTTTAGACAATATGAGTTCCAAGTCCCGAAGTGAGGCTTGAACCCACAACCTTCTGACTCAGAAACAAGAGTGCTACCAACTGAGCCAGACTAACATACACAAAAAGCACAAACCCAATCTAACAAATCCAGTGAGCAGAGGTTTTACCTTATGTTGCTCCAATTTCCTTTGGATGATGTTGGCTGTTTCGTCGTGGGCTTCCTGTATTACAATTTCTTCTGCAAGAATAGCCTCTGCCCTGTGCAGCCAGCCGCCTATGGTCCCCAGGGGAGCAGGGAGTGATTTGTCCAGTTGAATGTGCCATTCTTGAAGCTAGGAAAGATAAATAACAGTTATTTCCCAGTAAGTTGAAAACTCCAAAACCAATCATTAAAATGAAATGCGCTTTCCCAGATAGCACATACTTATCACCACTATCCATCTGTGGCTGTGATTAGTGATCAGGTTTCCAGTTAATAACTATGAGAAGCATCTTGAGATCATTTGACTACAAGTCGGTAGGAACTAACTCTGCATAGATCAGCATTGAGGCCATGTTTGGAATTTTGCACTCTTTAACTTTAAGAGAATATTGACGTGTTGGGAGGGTTCAGAGAAGAGCAACCAGAATGATTCTGGAAAGTCAAAGCTCTGTGAAGCCACTTGACTGTAACAGACCTTGAGAATTTTAACTTTGAATTAGAATGTATTGGTTATTTCAGTCAACTTCTTCCATTCAAAATTTGTGGGATTTCGTCTAATTAGAACCATACAAATTTACAGCACAGAAGAAGGGCCATCTGTCTGTGCTGGCTCTTTTAAGAGTAATCCTTTCAGACCCATTTACCTATACCGCTGTAGTTGACTCTTGTACTTATTTATCTGGTTCCCTCCCAATTAGGTTGAGTGTGCGGTGTGCTTCTAATTCTTAAAACAATGAGAGGCATAGACAGGTAGACTTACCCAGGATATCTGACTTAGATCATGAGAGCAGAACTGGAGGGTGGACAAATAATTCATAAGACACAGTGGGGTTAAATTTGGACTCCATACAATGACTGTCACATTGAATGGGCTGGAAGCAAACCCTTAGTGAGTCAGAGAAATTGGGTCTGATTCACTGGACTGGATTTCAGGTTAGTGGATCACAGTCTTAAACTGCCTGATATTGAGATAGCAGCTTTCTGCTAAGTTAACAAGAAATCAAAGGCCATGATCATGCAGACTACACAGAAAAAGCACAGGTCCTAGTTACAGACCCCAACTCAAAGCTGTATCTGCAATCTACCCCCACCCCCAAAAAATAAAAAATGTGCTTTTCTTATCAATTTTATGATCATACATATGCCATTCATACAGTGGATAGGTACTATTGCCAGTTTTAGCTTAGAGTATAATATAAGGGAACAACATGACTTGGCAGCAGAAAATCCAGGTCATGAAAACTTAAATCAGGTGAAAATATGAACAATGACCTCAAAAAAAGTTAAAAATTCTAAAATTATCATGAGCGGCAAAGTTCTGCCTCTCGCAATAGAGAGATGCTCTTAACTGAGTGAACAGAAAGGAAACTCCTGGAGAGTGCAGCAGACAATAAAGTGGTAGGGTTAGCCATTTGGAACATACTCTAGCAGTAACTCTCTCCCACGCTTGCTTCACCATGACCTGATCCAACAACAGCTTCCCATCTTTCTGTAACGGTTGAATTAGGGTCTCAGTCGACTTCTTCTTCATGTCATATTGTGCTCGAAAACCTCTAAACATCTGGGACAAAGGTAACATAGGCCAGGTTAAAGCATAGCTAAAATAGACACCAAACTAATAAACATGCAGCTGCCCATACAGTTTCTCTTTAAACAAAAACAAATTTCTTAAAAAGATTATTCACAACATTGCCCCCCACCCATATACACACAATTCTATTTCATCCCTTCTCTTCTTTCCCCAATACTCTAGAAGACATGCAAAGCATTATATCAAATGCAAGTATTATTATTACTCTCAGCTGTGTCTAAAGCCTTGAAGTGAACATGGGAGATCAGTACTAATGGTTCTAGGAATCTGCGACGTAAAACTGAGGAAAATCCTTTGAATAAGATTTCAAACATATACAATTCACATTCTGAGTACGGACATTTCATCCCTTTCCTCGCCCCCCCCCCCCAACATAGTTTAGCATTGAGCTATATTTCTAGTCTAGTTAGCTAATCTCAGCTGGTTAAGAAATTGGAGCGCTCACAATGGCAGAAAGCCTTCACCTTGTCCTTTAACCCAGGTAAGTGTATTATGATTCTACATAATTTTTCCTCTGGTAAACAGAACACCATCAGCTCATTATTTGTCCAGTGGAGGATGAGAACCATCCTGCTTCCAGCTTAAAAGGCATCTGTCATGTGAGAGGACTGCATGGATAATAGCTCACCAGGTATCGTTCTTGCAGACTTGCTTCGCTTACTTGAACCCTTTTAAGGTCCCTTTCGAATTGTTCCAGCCAGGCCTTCAGTTCCCTCTGCATTATTCCGTCCTCTCGCTGGGCAAGTAACAGAACAACACAAATATCGATAAATAATAGCATTGTTAGATTATTAATGACTAATTCTTCATTAGCTACTCTGGGCCATTAATCAATCATTGTATTTTCAACACCACCCCCAATGCATACGTATAAATACACCAAATGATATTCAGTATTACACCACTCGTATGCATGGATATATATATATCTTCAGTAAAGTTGTGAAACCAATTGTCAGTAAAATTCGGAAACCAAGAAGTCACTGAAATTAGGAGTCAGAGACTTCATGAAAAAGTGATCACTTCATTATATTGATAACCTTCCTTGACACTTGTTAGCATTATCAACGAATAAATATACACATTATGAAAATTAATATTTTTTCACCATAAACTTCATGTCACATTTCACTCACTGATGAGTCAAATGTTCATTTGGTAACACAAGTGAGGCTTCAATGGCACCGGGAGTTACATTTTAGCTTTGCTTTGAAGCATTTACAACGGTTGGTCTGACATTTCTTCTGACCGTAGTTACACTTCGTAAAGCCTTGTCCACCACAAACAGATTGTGTACTGACAGCTTCACAGAGTGACAATGACATCTCCTGGTTGAGCAGCTCAAATTGGTTCCTGGAATAGTGACCCCTCAGGAAGCTGGCATTCACTGCTATCCTGTACTGATTATTGACTAAATCTCTATTAATGATAACACCAAGGATATTCCTGGGATCCCCTCTGCCCCTGTCCGCTGCTGGGATCACTTTCTCACAAAATCCCTGACTCCTAATTTCAGTGATTTCATGATTTCACAATTTTCCTGAAAATTTCAGGGATTTCATAAAATTCCTGTTTTCACAACTTTTAAGCAGACCTGGGTAGGTCATGCGTGTATGCCCACACAATTCATATACAGTAATCAATGGTGCATTATTAAATTCTGAAGCCTAATACACACAATTGTTTGATATCATTGGCACATTGTAGGCAGCTTTTTTTTNCTGTCTCAGACCCAGCACTGCAGCGTTCTAGGATTCACATCACACCCCAATGCAAGCCTAGCATTCAGCCAATCCATTCAGCGAACTGCTCTACTGGAAAACCAGGTTTATCAGAAGCGGCCCCACGCCAGGTAAACTATGTGGAATAGTCAGATTGGCAGACACAGTCATGATCTTGTTGGCTTCATACTAAGAAGGGAAATGTCTTTTTCTTTGGTCACCGCTGCTACAGTAAGGAGCTAGTTAAAATACTGGATAGGGCAAACGAGGATGATGCATTTGCCTTGGACTGTTTCTTTTTCTGTTTCCTTGACCTACTATATCTAATGAAGAAACACGGTGAGGGGAAACAGAAAAACTAAAAGACTTACATCTTCTTCCACGCCATCATTTGTGCCCTTAGGGTCTGGATAGTGCTTCAAGAACTGAGCTACATAGGTCATGATCGATTTTTCATCTGGTTTATCAACATCAACATCTGGAAAGAAAGTATTGTTTCAATAAGAAACTGAAGGCTTGGTCAGAGGTAAAGATCATCATCTCCCTCTCCTCCAACCGTAACAAGCCTAACTATAGCACAGCCCTGGAATGACAACACTGCAGTTGTGTTGCAGCAGTATCTTAGTGCAATTCAGCACTGAAATGAGTATGTGCACACATTTGTAGATATCATCTGCTTGCTTTACATACGGCAAGGAAGGAAGTCACGCATCTGGGGTTACTATCTGGACAGGTTTTATCAATCACAGCCTTTTTCCTCTCTCCCACCAACACACACACACACACAAAATGAGGCATGCTACTGGTTCACTGTGATCGTGGGAATGGAGAGGAACAGGCAGCTTCGCTGAACTCACTGTAAATTGGCTCTCCCTGTTCTAATGAAGGTGGAGCAGCATGTCAACTAAGCGGAATGTAATTGGAGGCCTAGCCAGCCAAGAAGAGAAACAGGAGCAAATCGAAGAGATACAATACAAAATAACATTTGCACAACGCCTTTCACTTCAGGAAGACGTCTCAAGGTGCTGATATGTCAAGCATTTGGACCCGAGCAGGGGGAGAGAGCTGGAATTGGGGAGGGCTCTGGAATCAGGGAGGGTGGAGGGCAGGAAGGGTAGGAGGGTGGCCGAAGGCACAATCGAAGAGGATGGTCTTGAGACGTGCCTTCAATGAGGCAAGGGAGGGAGCGAGGTGAAGGGAATGTGGAATGGAGTTCCAAACATTGGGGGCAGAAAGGCTGAGGGCCCGACCGCTGATGGTTGTCTGTGCACAGAGCATCCCACAAGCAGCCATTGAGTGAGTGACCAATTTTATTGGGGCCAGGACACCAAAAGAAACTCCTTTCTCTTTTCAAATGGTTTTCAACTTAATGAAGGGCGAGCACCTCCGACAATAAAACATGCCCAGCACTGCATTGGAGTGTCTGCTTTAAAGATCTGATTCCAAGACCCGAGTGGTACCACTGAGCCAGGCTGACACAAATAAATGAATCAATTTTCATTTGTGAATAAAACAGTGTTACAAAATAAATCAAAACTAAAGAAATGTTTTAAAAAATGGAATGTGGTTTGTGGGTATATGATGCACAGATTGAGATATTCATGGAAATGAGAATGGGTGTAAAATATTTCATAGAGTTACAATGTGTGATATAGCATGGAAACAGCACATTTTGTCTAATTCATCCTTGCCAATGTTTAAGAATTATGGGCCTGAAATTCCACTCTGTGAAGTGTGGTGAAAGCACTAAATGTGGCAGATGAAGAAATCACCAGCTATAACAAATACGCAGCTGCCGAGGGCAGAAAAGCAGCAATACACTGTTCTTTACTCCATTTAAGCAATGTTAACAGGCAATAAGAAACGATGGATGGATTAACATCTGGGGTTGGAAATTAGCAACATCAATTGTGTGTGCATTTACCCAAGAGCTGGGCCAATAGAAAAGTGCAGAAATATTTGTGGAAAATTGCAGGGAAATGTTTGGCAAGCTTTACAGAAAACTGGAGGGGGTGGGTGATTGGTGCTATTGAGGTACATTTTACTGCCAACCTACATTTTTTCACTTTATTGATCAAAACTAAACATAAGGAAATAACACATATTAGATTGTTGCAAAAAAAATTCAAGTTACTTCTTGAACATAAACTGGGTGGACATTTTTTCTTGTTGGGGTGGAAGAGACACCAGTGAGGCCACAGGAGCTCATTACCTCCTGCTTCTCAGGGACAGCACCGCACACAGACACAGAGAGAGACACACACTCACAGACACATTCTCACAGAGAGAGTTACACACACTCATAGACACTGAGATATACACACACACACTAATAGACATAGAGATATATACACAAGCACAGACAGAGGAGAGACACATACACATTCACACAGAGACAATCAGAAACAGACACACATATAGAAGAAACACACGCAGACACACTCACACACATACACACAGAGGAGAGAGACACACAGACGGACTCACAGAGAGACATTCACAAACACATACAGAGGAGAGAGACACACTCACACAGACACTCACAAACACATGGAGAGAGACACACACACAAACTCACATAGACACACTCAAACACAGAGAGAGCGACACACAGACACTCACAAACACATACAGAGAGATACACAGACACTCACAAACACGTAGAGAGACTCACACAGTGAGAGACACACACAAACAGACACTCACAAATATAGAGACACACATACTCACAAACACATAGACCCACACACAGACACATAGCGACACATGCACACACTCACAAACACAGAGAGACACAGACACTCACAAACACAGAGACACAGACATATACATACACTCACACACATACACACACACACACACAGATACTCACAAAACAGACACACACACAGTGAGAGACACACACACACACAGAAACACACACAGACACTCACAAACACATGGAGTCACACGCACAGGCAATCACAGAAACAACAAAATTACATTTGTAAAGCGCCTTTCACATTAGGAGGATGTCCCAAGGCGCTGGACAGACAGAGTTACGGACCCGAGCTGGGGGGCAGGGTGTCACAGGAAGATCGAAAGCACGAACGAAGAGGAGAGTTTTAAGGTGGGTCTTGAAGGTGGCAAGGGAGGGGGTGAGACGAAGGGACGGGAGGAGTTCCAGAGAGTGGGGGCAGTGTGGCGGAAGGCCCGGCCGCCAATAGTGGGTCGAGTGAGGCGGGGGACGTGAAGCAGGCCAGAGCCCGCTGACCAGAGGGAGCGAGCAAGATGGTAGAGGCTTAGGAGGTCACAGAGGTAGGGGGGGAGCAAGACCATGGAGGGCTTTGAAGGTGAAGACCAGGATCTTGAACTGTATCCTTTGGGTGATGGGAAGCCAGTGGAGTTGGGCGAGGATGGAGGTGATAGGGTCGCAGAGCCTAGTGTGGGAGAGGACACAGGCTGCAGAGTTCTGGCTGATCTGCAGCCTGTGGAGGGAGGAGTTGGGGAGGCCGACAAGCAGTGAGTTTGCATAGTCGAGCCTCGATGTAATGAAGGCGTGTATGAGGGTTTTGGCGGCCTGCGGTGTGAGAGACAGTGGCAGAGCCGGGCGATGTTGCAGAGATGGAGGAAGGCAGAGTAGGTCATCACAAACACAGAGAGAAACTTAAGACACACACAGACACTCACAAACACACAGAGAGAAACACATACATACTCACACACAGAGAGTCATACACAAACACACTCACAAACACAGAGACACTCAGACACTCACAAACACACACAGACAATCACAACAGCGGGGCCTCCGAGTGAAGCCCATTTCCCACTTGTGACACAGCACATCTGGAGCTTGTGGCGTTCCGCCCACAGTGACGTCAGGTAAACAGCAAGTGGCCTGTAGGCCAGAAACTTCTTTTACAGCGGTTTGTAGCAGAGGAGGGTATTTATAGCAGATTCCGTGGGGAAAGTGCAGCCACAATTTTCTATTGCCCATGAGTAGCTTTGTTTTATAGCTACAGGCATTTGTGGCCCAAATTTCCTATCAAGCCTTAGCCCATGAGCGCATTTCATCCGACGAGATGGTACAGAATTGGGGAAAATTCTTAAATTCAGGCTTGGTTTGGAAGTAAACTTTCCACAGCTGGAAAATTGGAAAGAACTGGCTTCGAAATTGAGTGAATTTAACATTTCACAATTCTGCGCATCTTAAGACAAAATGGTTTCACAGGCTGGGTGAAATTTTAGGCCCATAATTCTAAAAAGCGTTCTAATGAGAACTCATGGAAACTGTTACTCACGGATTCCTGACCAATATCGATAGAATCAAAATGATATACGTTACAAATTTACATAACGCTTTCTACGTCAAGAAGATATCCCAAGACAATTAAATATGAATTATATGAATTTCAAGTGGAAAAATTCTAGATTGAGTCAACAGACGCCAACCAGATACCTTCAACTTCCAAGAGCCTTGGAATTCCCAGTTCAGATTCAGCAATGGTGAAAGCATTATCCAGGTTTTCCCTGTTCGAGCGACTCTTGACCTTTTCTAAGTCTGTTAAGTCTGGTCGAATAGCGTGAATAACCGAGTGAAAGGCAAAACCACTCCTCCAGCTCGGACCGAAATCTTTCACTTCAATCCCCGCCCGCCTTCAAAACAGAAAGGAAACCAGTGAGAAATGCATCAATCAGTAGACCCCTCCCTTCCCCACCCATTGCGTTCAAACATAAATACTTCCTGGGAAATAACAAGCTAAATTAGCAACTTTTAACAAGATCGATATGTTGTGGAGAAGGTTTCAGGAAATAGCAGAGATGTTGATTCTAAAATTTAGGCTGGACAAGAGAGACCATAGGCCAATTATCAGCAACTTCAAGAGGAAATTGGGCAGCAATTTAGCAAAGTTGTCAATTGATGCGTGTGAGAGATGAGCAGTATTTGCTTTGGGATGAGAAACACGGGAAGTTCTTCTTTAAGCAAGTAGGTGTCAGTTGGCTTAATTAGTAGAACTCTCACCTCTCAGTCAGAGATTTATTGGGACTTTGAGTTCCTCGTCCAGGCTGACACTCCTGTGCAATGCTCGGGGAGCACTGCATTATTCAATGTGCATCCATCGGATGAGACATTAAATCAAAGTCCCATCTGCCTGCTCAGGTGCATGTTAAAAATCCCATGGCACTATTTGAAAAGCAAAGTTTCTCCCAGTGTTTTGGCTGACAGTCCCCCCAGATAAAATTAGTCATTCATTTTATGTCTGTTTGTGGGACATTGCTGTGTGCAAATCAGCTGCTGTATCTGCAGCAGCTAACACTTTACGGTACAGTGCTTTGAAACGTTTCAACAATATGATAAAGTGCTATGGTTTATTATTATTATTAATTATTATTATGTATATTCCTATGTCCCAGCACCTAACTATTCAATGAATTTCCAATATATGCAATTGCTTTGGAGCTAATTATAGAAATGAACAATAATATGGAGTAAAATAGTTTCAAGCTAATTAGTTTCACAGTCTATTATTGTCCCATTAATTATTTTGGCCTGAACATCATAAATTAGGAGATTAGAAACAATTTATTTACACAGGAAGTGGTTAGAACATGGGATTCCCTGCCACGTACTGTCAATGCAGCAGAGTCCATGATCTCTCTTTTAAAAGGGAATCAGTCATCTGATAAAGAGGAATATTTCAGGGTGTGGGAGAATGAGCAGGAGAATAGGATTAGATTAGGTGGCTAATCTGAAGAAAAAACACCAGCGAGCAGAGAGTTAATGGGCCAAATGGCATGTTTCTGCCCTGTAACTTTCTATGATTCTAACTTTACTTTGAAGAACCCAGGTAATCTACAATTTGTTTGATCCTTAGTCAACAGTACTGATCACATCCTAAATTTATTGTGTGTTTATTGGAGTAAGACTTACTTTCCTGCTGTGTACTGCACCCATTTCAGAAGCGCCTTCTTGGCATTTCCTTTAAACGGAGTGACAACCTTCCTCTTGGATGGTGGACTTGCAGTTTCAGAGTTGACCTGGCTGTCCACAGAGGAGGTACTGCTGGACAGTGACGAAAGTAATGTCAGATTGCTTGTCAATTCTTCAATCTGCAAATAAACAAAAAAATCAATCAAAAAAGAAATACTGTATAGAGTTAGTTGGCAACATATTTTTAATCAAATTGGTGTAATATTTGGGCAGAGTATAACCTGGAAGTACAAAATGATGGTCCACATCAAACCAAGCACAATTGACGGACGGCCATCGACAATATCAGTCGAATTAATGTTCACCAGTTTGATCTGTAAGAAAAACACAGCCGTGTTAAAGTAAAATAGGGGATGGCACACAAAAACTTAGAAGTATTCAACATTATTCAGATCGCTGAATAACTTCAAACTCTCCTGAAAACAATTTATTTTCTATCAAGTATGAGTGAGATGTCAAGAAACACACAGTAAAACAAGCAGTAAAGTTGGGAATATTGTCCATTTAAGTGGTCAAAGTGATTTCTAAATTGCCCAATTTTGGGGCTTTTCTCAAAAAAACCTTTTGTTTGTGTTTGTACTTCAAATGATCAAGAATATCTTCTACAAACAATGGGGTTGAAAATTATACTATTTGCAAACCGAACATTGTTAAACTAATAGCAACTTCTGTTCACAACTGCTGTGGACTGAACTGTAGAATTCACAAAAAAAAACGGCATTTTGCTTTCCATTTTTTGAACCGGTCTTTTCAGCCCCTTTCTCAGCCGAGAAACAGCCAAACACCAAACCCCAGCCTCAATCATGACATCTGGTTTGCAGAAAAATTAGGGGACAAAACAGAAACACAGGAAACTTGTGAAAATAATTCACATCTTTGAATCACTAATAAATGTTAAAATTCTACTGACCGGTGATCCTCTGTACATAGACTGAATCGTGCCAGCAGAAAAAGCAGATTAAAAAGCAATTGCATTAGGTTAGTCACAGTGGTTCATTCATTGTGCAAACCTTTCACTGAAGTTGTTTTAATTATTTAGATATGCTTGAGTTCTAAATGTAATTTCATGGTCAGGTTGCTGAGTTCTAGCCACAACCAACATAGCTGAATATACCTTGGCTTGTAATAATAATCCTAGCATTCAATATAGCGCCTTATCACGTTGTTGAGACGTCTCAAAGTGCTTTACGGGTTTTATTATAAAGTGTAATTTGTGTATTTCTAGGCAAATGTGGCAGCCAATTTGCGCACTGCAATTCCCACAAATAGTCTTAAAGTTAATGATCAATTTTTAGCTGTTGGCTCCCTTCTCGTTTTGAATAGTGCCAAGGGATGTTTAACATGCAGACGAAAAGTCAGATGGGACCTCAGTTTGATGTCTCATCTGAAGGATGGGACTTTGACAACGCAGCGTAGGGCTTTGACTTGCAGGGTTAACAGGTGGGAGCAGAGTGGGATGATTCTGCTGCCAGTGACTGGTCTGATCATTCAGAACACCTTTGAAATCACATAAAACCGTTTCTGTAAAAATTTTTTTGCTGTCTCATGCCGAGTGCTGGTGACGTTATCGGATAAATTCCAACCTTACGTAATGCGCAACCTTTTGATATCAGAAGGTAAAACAAAGAGAGCTGACATGGACTCTTACCCGTCGACCCTCCAGAAACTTCAAGGCAGTGCCAATGTTGCTCACCCAGTGGATGCGCTTTAGCTTGCGGCCCTGCTCTCCAGGCTGAAACATTCAAAAGCGCAACAGAATTAAATTGAATTGCACATTCCCCACAATAAAGAGCTACCAAGGGTATATTTAAATGTTTGTAGAGTTACACTACATCTCTCTCTATTTCTATGTAAAGTCCATAAAAGCAACTCGAGTACTCTTTTTATTCACCGATTCTCCTTTTGGTTGCAAGGCTGTAATTCGATCAGCCAACGCAATTGGAATGATTCCTGAACGAAGCCATCAGGATCACAACACCGTGACACAGGAACCACTCCACCCCAACAATATATCAGACAATCTTGCACTGGCAAGTGGTTTACTTTTAGCCGGTTTCATTCCAGAAATAACCTCAATGCACACTTTGAAATCACTAATGGAAATCTAATGCTCAGAATGCCTTGGTTGTAATCTGTTGTGGATTGTCCGGTATTGACCACTAAATTTAACGTTTATTTCTCCTGGTGCCCTGCTCAATTAGGAAATAAATAAATCAGTCACAACATTCCTCTTAAAATTACTTGTAAAATTACCCTTGGTTGTTCAAATAAGGGTCCTCAGCGTAAACCACTGTGACTTCATTACTTATTTCATAGAATCATAGAATTCTACAGCACAAAAGGAGGCCATTCGGCCCATCGTGTCTGTGCCAGTTCTTTGAAAAGAGCTATCCAATTCAATCCCATTCCCCCGTACTCTCCCCATAGCCCTGCAAATTTTAAAATATTACACTTACCAGTTTCTGTCCAGACAGAACCTCCAACAGGGCAAGTAGCATGACCCCATCTTTAATGTCTATAAACAGGTCATTGACCACAATAGGCGGATTGCGCTGAAACAAAACACAGTTTAAATAGTTGATCTCTTGGAAACCGAGGTGTTTGACTTGTAAAACATTATGTACGTCTCCACACAACCCTTTGAAGGATCACTTATTTCTTAAAACAAGCACAACTCTGCTGAATAAATGACTTTCAAAATGCTATGAATCCTAAACTTTAAAAACAGGAAAAAAATGTTTAAAGTAATATATTATCTAATGCACTTATTCAGAGCCATTACAGTGAGACTGGGGAGGGGGGGATTTAGGAATCTACTCAAAATAAAAACTATATTCCACAATTGTTAACAATAACCAGATGTTCAGGGAGTAAATAGATCAAACAATGAACCTCCTGGTATTCCACAACTTAATTGACTTATACCAGACTCATAATAATAATAATCCTTGCATTTGATATAGCGCCTTATCATGTTGTTAAGTCGTCTCAAAGCACTTCACGGGATATATTGTAAAGTGCAGTGACTGTGTGTTTTGTGGGCAAAATGCGGCAGCCAAATGCACATAGCAGTGTCCCACAAACAGTCGTGCATTGAGTGACCAAATTATTATTAATATGTTTTAAGGGATTATTACCCCTAGAAAGCAATCCGTCAACCGACTACCAATCGAGTTCCTACTTACTGCTTAGTAAGTAGAGGCGTGTGGAGTACAAAAACTTACCTAAAGTTTTACCTCACCCGGGAATCAAACCCAGGTCCTCTCGCTTGCAAGGCAAGCGCTCTAACCATTAAGCTATGAGGTAGTAAGATAGGATAGTAAGATCATAGAACAGTCTGCCACATCCTTTAGTCTGCCACATTTTTTTTTACCCTTGATCAAAAGGTAAAAGCAAGTGGATTGCAGTATACAGTTTATCACTCTTGTAGAGTGGACTAGACATTGATGCATGCAACATGTGTGTGATGTATATATGACGTAGCTATAACGGACCGCTGGGGCAATCATGATCACATTGTTCAGGGACTGAAAGGTGGAAAGGGAGGGAGAAGTTACCTTTACACCTTCACACGGACCTCACAACACAGCACAATGAACAATCTACATCTAACCATTCTCGATGAACTTTCCTTATTCTCACTGAAGCAATTTTCATAGACCTACAAGCACTGAACAATGGACATTGATGTAGCCCTATGACAACTGCTGAAGATTGTGTTAGTCATGCAGAAACTGGCAAAGCTCAAGGGAAGGACGTACATACACACAGACTTTCAACTGCTACGATGAAGTAAGTTAACAAACTGAGCAACATTTAACAATGTGAAATATGTTTTCCCAGCTATTTAACTGTGGGTCAGAGGAGGAAACCAAACAATGTTACTGTAACAATATCTGTTTACAATGCTTATTTTCCCATTGTTCGAGCTGTAACATTGACATTTTTAAATGGATGCCGGTGGCATTGATGACGTTTATGCAGAATCTGGCAAAACATTTTTACAACAACAACTTGCATTTATATAGCCCCTTCTCGCTGGGCTTAGCAATGAGATAATAAGATAATAAGCTTGACACCGAACCGGGGAGAAAATGGAGGTGACCACAGGCACAGTCGAATAGGAAAGTCTTTGAGTGTAGTCTGAAGATGGGCAAAGAGAGGGCAAGGAAGAGGGATTGAGGCAGGGAGTTCCAGAGAATTGGGGCATTTGGGGCCGAAAGCACGATTGGCAATTTTGGTGGGGGTTAAAGGAAGTGCAGAAGGCGTAAGCCGGCTGAGCGAATCGAGGCGGCGAGAGCAGGTGGCAGAAGTGAGCAAAATCTGGCAAGGACTGGGTTGACGGGGGTACAGGAGAGCTCATTGGCAATGCAGTTTTTCAGTGTTACTTAGGTGATTCTTTGCTACCAGTACAAACCATGCTTCTGAATATTCTGCTCATTGCTTGGAAAATCATACGGTTGAATATTCTGTCCAAACCCATTCTAGTCTCACACAAGAAGAATGGTTAGTTGTTGAGTTTGATACTGAAAACTGACAGTCAGTCCCAGTTTAGAGATCGATAGCTACTGTACTTGGGAATAAGATAATATCCACCATGTGGAGAACTGGCAGGAAAACAGAATTAAAGAGGAGTTCCCAGCGATGTAATGCCAGATCAGGCTCCATGACAGATTGCCCCACTCCTGTTCATTCCTATGTTGTTAAATATTATGGTGTATACCTTCCTGAAACCTGTTCTCCAATATTTAATTATTTTATAAGGAATACTTGCAATAAAAAAAAACGGCTCTTGGGAGCTTTCAGAAACTATTAAGCGAGCCGCGGTAAGTGAAAGTGCAGGGCAACAGCTTTTTTCTATATAATCTTGTAACACAAAATATGACTCGGGTTCTCATTCTGTTTCAAAGGATCAGTTTCCGTATTGAAAAAAAGTATCTTTTAAAATGTTTCAAGAACACATGCGAGAAATCAATAGAACATTTTGCTGAACCTGCCATCTGACTGGGTTTCTAATCAGCACTTCAATTTTGTCCTTCAGCCATTCAGTGGGCTATTATTTTTTTTAAATCTTTCAAATCCACCCTCTCCAATACGCTCAGTGCTGAGAGCAATGGTTTCACAGAGGTTATTCTCTCCTTCTCTTCCCCCATCCCCCAACTTCCTTTTACCGTTTGTGCCCATTCCCTGGCCCAATTCTTTCCATTGCCGCGTTTCACCAACAAAATATAAAGTCAATTCACTTTACAGTATATTCTGTGAAGCACTTTGAGAAGGATTATCACTATATATTATAAAAGTTGGCAACTTGAGCTTCAATAGGCCTGAGGCTCACCAGGATCCAGCAAGTAGGCTGATCTCGATAAAACACAATTAGAATTTCTAATTTTATAACAGAAACTATAATTACACGATAATTAATAATCCCTTAAAAAAATTTTTTTTAAAAAACAGATGTGAAGTCAGCATTTATTCATTAACTCAGAAAAAAAAGCCTAATCCTATTGTGCCCCCACCACAGACAGACAAGGGCATTTGGTTCTTTTTGGGTGGCAGCAGCCCTGAACAGATTGACATCCAAGGCTGGGGTAACTTTGGAAGTTATTCCATTGAAAGAATAATCCTTGCATTTAGATATAGTCCCAGGCATGAATGACTTTTCCATGAAACTCTGTTAACCTCACTACGTTGATAGCTATTGAGCATTTCTGTCTTGAACACATTATCGCTCAATTTATTTTGAGATAAATAAAAGCATATAAAAATCTTCAAACAATGCAGATGAAACTTACCCAACCAGGGTATGTATCCTATCAGTAATCATTTATCATATCAAGAATTATTATTTTTATTGATCACATTTATAGTTTATCAAGAGCACATTGAATAGGTCAAAACTCTCACACAAGCACGTATGATATTACTTTTTTTTTATTGGTGAACTTAGATTTGTGCCTTCGTTCTCCAGTCAGTAAACAAACTGTCTAGTGCTTTCACAGACCAGGCCTAATATCTGATCCACACTCAAGTCACAGGGTTGCTGCACTCAGCCTCCACCGTCCTAGGCTTGGGAGGAGAAATTAAGCCAGAATCCTTGCTCCTCGCCAGCATCTGGTATCCCTGCTTGAAAAGTGTCTTCATAAGAAGATAAAGTGCATGTTCTGCCTCAGCTGTGATACTGCTTACTCCCATGGTACCCAAGCCAACAACTAGCTAACTCGTCACACACAAAGAATAGCCACATTAGTGCGAGTTCAGGAGAACGACTGGTTTAGTGGATTATGAATCAGGAGACAATCTTGCATTGATGTAAGCATCTTTTAGATAGGATGAATAAGAATCATGAAGTCAGGGTACTGGGAGTCGGTGGAGCAGTGTGAGGATGGGGTGATGGGTGTGCAGAGTCTGGTCGGAGGAGAACATGCTCTCCATAGTTTTGGAGCTCATAGAAGGTAAAGAGCAACGATTTGCACAAATATAGTCCCAAAGGTAACAAAAGCATGAATGAAAGTCTGGGCTGTGGAGAGGATGATCTTGGGGGGAAAAAAAGGAGTTACCTAGTATTTACAGTTGATATCATTCCCCGAGTGTCAGATCAAATGGTTAGATGTCTGATTGCTGTGCAAAATTAAACTATAATAAATTTGTTTGAAGGCATGGATCACAGAGAACCTAAAATGTGCATGGAACACGCTGATAACTTATCTTGATGTTTCAAAACATTGTAGTTTTATTTTATTTATATATAACATTATATTTCATCATAGTGAAATAGGGTTTTCAGTTCTGCATTTCGAGAGGCTCCAGGATTCCCCATTAAGAATCTGGTCATTTTATCTTCACACAGAGGAAAGGAAAACTGCAGATCCCCAAATAAAGTACATTGCAGCTTGTTATTTCAAGCAAGCCTAACCTACCATCAGTTAACTGAGCCTTCGGAGACTTTGAGTTTGATCATTACTGTTTAATTGTGTTCACTCATGTCTGCCTTTTGTAAATGCATCTTCCAATTACAGCATTAAGCTGTTTCTTAATTGAATCCAATATCCTTGCCTCAATCACCCTTCCATGGAATACATTACAATTGTGAATTTGAGTAAATAACTAATTCCTCTTATTTGTGTGTCTTGCTCCCTTTGGATTTGTGAAAATATTGTTCCATATTAACTTCCTCCCACAAATATGGCACAAATCTAACTTTCTTCCACAAAGTGGGCGTTTCACCCACAAACATAGTCAATTCACTTTACAGCATATTCGGTGAAGCGCTTTGAGGCGTCAAGAAGACGTGAAAAGCGCTATTATCAAATGCAAGGATTATTATTATTATATTATTATTTCTCTATCTCACCAAGTATCTTATATACCTTCATACCCTCCATGTTATCTCTTTGAAAGACTTAAAAAAAACCACCACCTATTCTTCATATCTCTACCACTAGGAACAAAACTTTTGCACTCTGCATTCCTTCCCCTGATTTTCTCTGAGATAAGGCAAGTAAGTTCTTTATGTAACAGTGAACAGAAGTGTATACAGCCGTTGAGGAACCGTCTATCCAGACTATTGTACAGGTTGAGCAAGATCGTTGGAGATCTGACCTCAACTGATTAGTTCGCCTTATGTTGCCACTTCACACTGTTTGGACAAACTGAGTGATGAGTCAACCAAATCCTCTTCCAACTTCCCCTATGGCAGGCTCCACTCCATCCAGCAAGTACACCTGCTTCCTATTTGTCTCCAGTTTCACCTCCATTGGAGTTCCTTCTTTTTAAACTTCCTCCTTAACTACCCACTTGCTGTAACAATATTGAAAGAATTAATAATAAACCTGGCATTTGATATAATGCCTTATCACATCAAAGGACTTGAGAGATTTCTCTGTGGGTGCAGTGACTGTAGTTATAAATAAACAAAGCAGCCAATTTGCACACAGCAATGTTCCACAACACCCACAAAGTGAATGATCAATTATATATCTGAAGTATCCAAAACTCTGCAGCCTGTGTCCTTTCTGCACTGGGCTCGACGAGCCTATCACCCCAATCTCATCCAGCTTCATTGGCTCCCAGTGGATAAAGTTCAAGATCCTCATCCTCACCTTCAAATCCTTCCATGGTCTTGCCCCATCCTACCATTGCGACCTCCTCAAACCATACCGGCCTGGCCGCTCCTTTCACTCAGAAGCCACTGGCCTGCTACATGTCCCATGCCCTACAGACTCCTCCATCGGCTGTCGGGCTGCCAGCCTACCTGTTTCCACTCTTTCGAACTCCATCCCAGAGTCCCTCTGACTCCTGCCCACTCCCTCTTAAGATCTGTCTCAAAACCTTCTTCTTTGACCATGCCTTCAGTCATCTTTCCCCTCCCCACCCTGCTCCCAAAGCCCACTACAGGTGCCGAGCTAAGACTGTCAAGTGCCTTATGACATCCTCTCAACATGAAAGGCGCTATGTAAACATAAATTTTTATTGTATCTGGAGGATTGTTGGCCAGGGCTACAAGATACAGTGGCTTGATCTTTAATATCTTTAACAGGTAGACCAGGCCTTGGTTTAACCTCATCAAAGGGCAACACCTATGATGATACAACATTCATTCCCTGGGGTGGGTGGAATCGCTTTTCCAGGGGTCATAAATAATTCCTTCAAAAATAAAATATAGAATAAAAATAATTTGGCCACTCAATCCATCACTGTTTGTGGGGCACTGCTGTGCGCAACTGGCTGCTGCGTTTCACCCACAAATATACAGTAAATTCACTTAACAGCGTAATCTGTGAAGCGCTTTGAGACGTCTAGAAGACATGAAAAGCGCTATATCAAATGCAAGGAATATGATTATTATTATTATATAAAGTGTCAGGCTTGAATCCACAGCCTACTGATTCAGAGGCAAATGTACTACCAATTGAGTCAAAAATGACACCAGAAAACTTGGGCATCTGCCGTTTAGTTTCTTTGCAGCTCATCTCCCCCATCTCCCTTTTTTGTTAACACATTTAATCACTCTGTCCCTTTTTCCTATAGTGCATTGGGACAAGTGCCCAACAAATGTAAATTTTCCTCTTTTTAGTTCACCTTTAAATTTTCGGCTCAACACATTTCAGAGCATTTCTGCTTTGTTTGCCCTGTACCAAAGAGTAACAAGGATAATTCTGGCACTTGGAGCTCCAGATATGAAGAGAGACTTGTAAACATTTGCTTTTGGTTAGAGAACATTGAGGGGGTAAGAAATTACAATAGTTAAAATGTGGAGTCATTGGCAGTAGTGGTGGGGTGGGATAATCCAGGGTCTTTAAAGTGCACAGAGGCAAATGAGAAAAGCAGCCAATTTGATTTAGACTGAGCATAGAACAACGGCACTTAGGTTTGAATGAAAGGATTCATAATTAAATTAATTGGATTTATAACACCATTGCAATTTAAATTCATAATATTTTACTTTGCTTTCAGAATGAAAGCTCTAAATGTAAATTTGAAAAACAAACATGGTTATTCTCAACGATCTCTCAGCTATCTGTGCAATAATTGATATTTTCTACAATATCGGGGGGCATTCCAGACCGCACACAATGTCAAGGGCGGTGCGGTACTAGACTACCTTGTCTTTCTCTTGAGAATGTAGATTTTATAAATAAAGTAAGTATTAATGTTGTAGAAACAGAACATACAGTTGGGCTCGGAGAGTATTTATTCCAGCCCAAGAAAATCTTTGACAGATCTGTGTTGCTGTCACCTATGAATTACACCAAGAGGAGATATATAAAGACTATGGTATCTCAGGGAACACTTAGTTACAATGGGTTCAGTAATTTGTCACTTATTGGTATACGCAACATACATACAAAAATATCAAACAGTTCTGCATCAAATTCAATTTGCCAAATTTTGCTCTCACTGAAATGCTACGTTAATAAAGTAAATCTAATCTCAGGTGGAATTTATATCCCTATGTTGTGCATTTTCTTTTTCACATCCCCCAAAAGCATGGGAGGATGTGAAAGAGGAAGAAGTGAATGGGCAGAAAAACAAATTGGAAGCATTTGGACTGTACAAAATGCAGAAAGCAGCAAGTTGAGTGAAAATTCACCGGGGTTTACAGTTATGTAGCATTTTAGAGCATCTAGAATTCGGCAAATTATTCATTCAGTCTTAACCTTGAATTTAGTTCTCTGTAATAAAAAAAACTTACAGCTTGAAAATTAAGGCTGTACTTAAGGCATTGCCAAATTCTGGACACTCTAAAATGTTACGTCAGTGGATTAAATGAATCTCCAGGAGGAATTTCTCCTCATCATTGAAGAACAGGCATCAAGACAGTTGTGGAATTGAAAAACATCTCTGCTTTCTGAGTCGAGAGCCGGCAGGGTCATCCTGTGACGTATTTGTTCTCTCTATTTAATGACCACCTCAAGACCCTCAAGGAAAGTCAGAGGTTTAGAGTGCAGTCTGCAGCTACTGTTACAATATCCAAGGAAATATTAACTGAAAATTTAATTTGCTAAACAAGTCAACTCAGGCATTTCTTATACAGTGCAATTGTAGATAATTTTGTGCTTGATAAATAACTTGCAATTATATTGCACTTTTCAAAACTGCTCAAAGTACTTTACAAAATATAAAGGTTTAAGAAATTAAGTGAATGCTGTCCTACAGACAAAATGCATCAGCTGATGTACAGCCTGCAAAGTCCTTTAAACAATGAGATGAGCAGCCAATTAATTTGAATATGGGAACAAATTTGGATTAGGAGGGGAAATAAGACAAAAAAAATCACTTTTCTTTGTAATAGGAACAATCCCTTTACATCCACCCAATGATAGCCAGAACCTAAAACAAATAAGAAATCAAAGCATAGAATAATTGGCATATAACGCAGAATGTTACGTAAGCTTTCCATTTCCATCAACTGGGAATCCCAGTGAAATTTGTGGAGCCAGGAAAAAAAACATTATTTTTCCTGCCCTCTTCTTCACCCTGCCATTCCCCCTAGTTGGACATCATCCACAAACTTAAAAATGAATTGGACGAAGAAAAGGTGTGGCACTCAGCCATACAGTCAAAACAGCAATGTGTAGAGTTAGCTGACCTCAACTAGGGTAGCAATGGGGCAACAACTAGATTTAATGCAAATCCAAGAAATAAAACAGCACTGCGCTGACCTCATGCAACACACAATCTTCTATTCAAAGATCTTTCCTTGTTTTCTGTGCAGTCTCTGTATTTTCTACGGTGATCTATGCCAGCAGCTGTTGTCATAGCGACGCTTTTCACGCTGCTTTGTTGACGCATGTGTGCAATCTACCTTACATTTTCACCACCATCACTTAACAAGGATCAAGCTCCCAACTTTTGATCAGACTCCAAATTAATTCATACACTTCCGAATTTAACCAAATTTGATCAATTTAAAGCTAAAAGGATGACGGTCCATTACCCAAATCAGCAGCTTCAAGCTTTGTACATTACTGCTGCAATCTGCACACAATATTTCATAATCCTTCATGTTTGTGATTCCAAAGTTAAAGATTTGGATAACGTTCCAATTCTCAATTTCCTCAACTGTGCTTCTCACAAAACAATACTGAATTAGGTTAAGCACCAATTTTAAAAATGGACCAGGAATCTGGGTCAGTGGCTATATTTTGTTCAGTCGTTGATACGAATGTTACATTTATAGATTTTGAGAACAGGTAATGTTTAACTGTGAGAAGGGGGAGGAAAATTGATGTCCAATGTCCCCTATTGGAAAGTGTGTGTTGGCTCAGCTGCACTTTCTCTTCTCTCTTCTCCCACTGTAATAAGCTAACAGCACTCACCATCTGGATCCAGACACGAACAGTAGGAAGTTGTGTGAGATGCGAAAGGGCAGTAAGACTTTGTGGCACTATATCCCAGCACAAGTCAGTGCTTTATGGAGAAGAGGAGTCAAAAAGTATGACGAGAAAGGAGGCTTAAACAAGAAGGATTGACAGTCTGATTGTTAAAACTCTTTGAAGGATTCCAGTTGTCGTGAAGAGTTGAACCAACCATTGTGTGATTCATTTGTTAACACACGTAATACAGAAGCATAATTGGCCATCACATCATGGTGATGAATGACCCCAGTTGTTCTTACTCTTCAAATAAAACCAGAAAAGTTTCAAGAGGTTTGTTCATAAAGGCATTTTCCTTTAAAAGTAAATTGGCAAAAGTGTGGTTTCCTCAGTATAGTATTAAAGGCAAATGGATTAAAACAAGTGAAATTAAGCCATCTCGGTAGAAACCAGCACTTTGAGACGTCCTCCTTAAGTGAAGGCGCTAAATAAATGTAAATTGTATTGTAAGTAAAATAATGCCGCAAATGTAATAAGGAAATGAAGCATCTCCTTACCTTGGCCAAATGAGAATTGATCCACTTGGTGAAAGTTCTCTTCTGCACAGCTTCTTGCTCATCTGGAAAACAGACAGAACAAATAAATGTTAGGAGAGGTTACCTGCAAGTCTCAGATGATAAATTCTTCTCACATAAGCACAAGAAATGCACACTTGCCCCTGGATTTCATACTCCAGCCTAGCACTGCAGTGGCGATTGATGTTAAATTGTCTGATGGTTCACTTGGATATTACATCAGCAGCACTATTAGGAAGAAAAGCGGGGTGTTCTCTTACTGTTCTCACCAATATTACGTTCACTTATCCAAATGCACCAAAAATATTAACTGATCATTCATCTTGTTGCTCTATGTGCGTCACCACTGCGTCAGTCACCATACTTCAAAATAACTCATTGTGCAAAGCACTTCAACGTTTAGACATAATCAAATATAAGATAACAAGCGCAAATTTTTCTCTCAGTGAAACTAATAGATTTTGTCAATAACCGGTATTTCTGTACACAAGACTTCAAAATTCAGCAAATATTATTGCTTTTTCATGGAGTCTAACATAATTTTAAAAGCAGCAGGGTAATTCAAACTCTGACTCTCTCGATTACATAATCTTCAAATTAATCAAACCATCAGAATGGAATGAAAATCTACCCAACTACTTGCTTCAGACACATCACCAACAAATACAATTCCTTATATGTATTCACTGGGTGACAAATGAATAAAGGGAATCTACCCAGAGCTCAGCACTGCTGCACAGTGAGACTTTCAAATGGTGCAAACAGCCCAGCTTTGCACAAACAGAAAAAACATGAGATGAATGTTAAAGGAAAATGTTGCAACTTCAATCAGTGTTCATGCTCACGCAAAAGAAAACACTCGCAATAGAAAAGCAAACTGCTCAGAGAAGAGGCAGAATGAGCACGATAAACTCTTCCTCCACTCCCTCAGTATCATTATATTCCTCTCATTTCAACCATTCACATCACAAACATAACTTTTAAAAGATTTCCACTGACACTTGACAAAAGAAATGTACGTCAGCGCATCTCTGCTGGCAGCACCCTTGCTTCTGAGTCAGAAGGTTGTGGGCTCAAGCCCCGCGTCAAGACTTTGAATTCACAAAGCTTTAAAAATTGGGTTGCAATCAATGAAAAAACTACAATGCAGTCCTCAGGGAGTGCTAAGTTGTTGGAGGGTCATCCTCTAGCGAGATACAAAACCGAGGTCCCATTTGCCCATTCATACAGATATTCAGATGGATAGCACTATTCAAAAAGAGGAAGGAGTCTCTCCCTGTGTCCTGGCCAGCAATGCCCCAGATAAAATTGGTCAGTCACTTCCATAGCTGTTTGTGAGACATTGCCACGTGCAAATTGGCTGATGCACTTGCTTGCAAATTATATCACAACACATTAAAGTAAATCCTGTGAAGAACTTTGAGACTTAAAAGGCTCTCAAAACAGACTAGATCAAGTATACGTTTTATTATTAATAAGTAGGTTGACACAACATAAATTCTGTTGATTTCTGGGGCCTGCGTTTGAATCCACCTTGGGCAAACAAGATGGGTCCTTTCTTCCTGCTAGATATGAGCATTTGATGTTGAATAGCTTTGAGCATCAACCCAAGTTGTCACAACAAAACTACCATTAAATCAGCAATAAGTTGCCAGCCTCCCTCAGATGGAAACGAAACAGAACAGAAAACCAACACAATTGTACTCTAGAGATGTTGACATTAATAATACTTTTAGCTGCTTCCACCAATAGCACTGCAAGATGCAAGATTTTCATACTTTGCCCATGTGTCTTTCAATGGTTTCTGGACCTGTTGCCTCTGAAACCCCCCAATAACTACACTGCCACCAACATCAAGCTTATTTTGCTGATGTCATCCCACAACACATGTGGTAACCTCAACAGGAAAGTGACATTATCCCTTGTATGAGAACTCATGCATCTGCAGAACTGACACAAACTGCAAGCCAGAGGCAGAGGCTGCAGAAATAGTGGTGCCTGGTTGCCTTCCACTTTTGCATCTCACTTCCTGCCACAGAAAGTGTAAACTGAACACATCACACAAGTATTGTGGAGGCTGCATCTCACCCACGTCAGAAATTAGGGATTTTTGGGGGGTCACACGGAAACCCATCACCAAAACAAACTGAGAGTTCAATGCATCCCACCTATACATGGAAATCCCAGAGATGGATTGTTGGAACGGATTGCACATTCTCTCCCTGGAGGGACACATCCTGCTTACCTAATTCCGGAAAGTATTCGGTGCAGGTTGGCATAAGCCAAGCCTTAATGGTGAATCATAGGTGCTGTAGAATTAATAAGAATATCTGCCCTGTAACTGATACAGATACAGTTGCAGATGCGAACAGGTGGCTTCTTCTCAGTCTGGCTACCCGCATTCAAAATGAGATCTCAGGCACTGAATACGAACAAAAACCTAACAAGGAAAATCAGAAGCAATTTGACAACTCATGCGCAAACACTGAAAGCAACTGAGTGCACTGAGTGAGTGCATAGAAGGTAGAGACTCGGTACCAGAGCAACAAAGCTGATCGCCATCTGATACAGTTAAGACAAGGCCCAGCTGGACTTATTTGTACCAAGCTAACATCAGGTTGTGCTTGGCTGTGGTGTGGTACTGAGTTGGAGTGGTCTGTGTTCTTTGCAGGCTTCTACTTCAGCGGATTACTGTGAGTCTGTTGACATTGGGAACATGCCAATTGGTTAGATTGAGCCAGGTCGTCATTGGGGAGGAAAATCCATTAACAAAATCTACAGGAAGATCACGTTCACAGATCATGGCAGGAAAAACAAAGGTGCAACTTCAGTGATAAGTGAGGGTGGGGAGGGAGGAAAACATGTAGGTGACATCCAACTATGCCATGCAAATACCAATGGGCAAACAGGTATCACAGTCCCAACATTACCCTCCACCACCAATTTAATTGCTGGCTGTTTCCATAACCATAGTTTTTTTTTCATCAGCCAGGTGTCTGACACGAGCAAAAGTTCATCACCATGGCTTAGAGTATCCCAAACAGAATTCCACGTTTGCCACCTACATATGGAAATTCTCATGTCAGGAATGGAATACGCACTCTCTCCTCAGAGAAACACACCCCGCTTACCTAATTCTGGAGAGTATTAGGTGCAGGTTGGTGGGAACCCAGGCTTGGGGACCTCAGAATGCATGTTGAAATACTGCTGAGTTTAACCAGCAAAATCCACATAGTTACTCGCTGCTCATCCAGCTATGGCAACCGAGGTAACCAAGCAGTGCTCTGCACGAGTTCTGCAGTGTGGAGGATGAATGAGCCTTTCACTTAAGAAAAACCTCCCTCATCGCTTAGCATATCTTTACCATCCTTGTGATCTTCAGCATCACAAACATATGAAACGCAACGTTCGTGAACAGGTTAATACTCTACTGTAATCAGCTCTACTGATAATTCACAAAGGAAGACAGAGATCTGTGCTTATTACACATTCTGTCGAAGCCTCCAAACATTCCCGGCGACAACATATCAAAGCTTAAACCACCCATTAATTTGCAAATAGCAACAAGTCAAGCTCACTTTTGACAACTCACCCTGGACATACTGAAAGAATCCGGTCACCAAATTCAGTGAGGTGACCCTTTTGCCAGAGATTGTTTTGCAGCTAGCCATTATAAGTGACGCATCTCACAATGAACCGATTCTCCTCAGACTCTACAGATCCCAGCGAGAGTCAGATTCTGCATGGAAAAGCCTGGTTATTCCACACTTGAATTGCAACGTGATCCTTAATTAACACTAACTGTGGCGCAGGCTTAAGTAGCCGTGACCATTTCCTTCCCCCTTCTTCCTGTCCATCCTCAATCTGAATGTCACAGGAATTTAATGATTACCATTATTCACCCGCTCCCACACAGTCGCCTACCATTTTAACATTCAATCAAAGATTTCTCTCACAACACATGCTCGACGGAAAAATTGTATTACCAGAGCACGGGCCAAGTTGCATACATTAAACTGTCATGTCAAGAATCCAGGAAACAGGAAAGGCACAGCATTGCTGTGCTAATCAGCCAGGGTAACAAACTGCGATAATCCAACCCTCTGACAAACGGGACATAAAGAGCTATTTACACAGCAGCCGCGATGCACACACACATACACGCACACACACTCCAAGAGTGGACTGCAGAGGAATGACAAAGCATTGAGTCACTGCCTGAAGAATGTTTAAATTAGACACCAGAGATTACCTTCAAGGCAAAACCTTAACATCCAACAGACATTTTTACTGTACATTTATTTTCCCAACCCTATAACTACATTCACCTCATTACTTAAGGTCAGCGTGACTGCTGGCTAAAACAAGATATGGATTATTTAAAAATATATTAGGTTTTATAATATATATATACCTTTTGTATTTTAACTGAACATCTATTACAATAAACTAAGTACAGTTATCCAGATGGAATTTTAAATTAAGCTTCACAAGAATGTATTCCTGCAGGTTTTGTGTCACGTTACCAAGTTGTTCAGTCAGTGTTTGCAACATTCATGGCTGGACAGCATTCAGCAGGATGCAATTCTCCCCCTTGCTCGTCTTCTTGTGAAAAAACAGTCTTTTGACTTAAATTGCAATTTAAAGATTGCATGCACTTACTGAAATGCAACACATCTTCAGAGCTCATTTCAATCGGTTTATTTTTTCCAACTTGTTCACAACTTCAATATAAACAAACGGATATACTTTTCTCTCTCTTGCTAATTTTCTCCCCTCCTCTCATCACCTTAGCTATTTTCCTCACACTCGTGTTCAAATCCATTCATTCCCTGGCACCTCCCTACCTCTCCGACCTCCTCATTCCCCAATCCACCACCCAGTGCCTCCGTTCGACTGGCACCAGTCTCCTGCTCATCCCTCACACCCTCCACCCCACCATCTGAGGCGAAAGGCCTTGCCTCCTCTCTCCCCTCTTTCAAGTCACACCGGAAAACTTTCCTCTTCGACCCTGCTTACAGTCATCTCCCACCTCCCCCTGGCT